TGAATCTTAGAATCTTTAACATCATCAGCTAGATTCTTCTGAATCATATATGGCGACAGACGCAGTCAAAATATTTTGTCTGAATTAGGTGAGATATCTTTTACTTGGATACTGACAGGAACCCCTGATACTTTTTTGTCGGATGGTTACATGAATTTACACCAGTCGAGGCACCCTTGCCTCTATTGTAGGAAGTGCTTATTTGTTCGTCCCTAACAAAGCCGTTCCTTATTGTGGAGTATCGAGTAGAAGAGAGAAGAAGACCACTGGAGATCATCATTGACATTGTCCTCGCAGCAACCTTCCGAGAAAGCTCAGGACTGGAAAGCTTGTCGCGGATGCGTCTAAACTCACCGCCTCTCCCAATAGATTGCCTTGCTTGTTCCTGTGCAAGGGTTCCATAAGTAAGGACTTTGTACCAAATGAGTGATTTTTATCACACAGACGAGATTTTGGTATCTTTAGGTTATATGAACTTTTGGAAAATCTCGATGGAATTTTTGGCGTTTGATGATCTTGATTTTCGACCGCGATTTGATGATCTTGGTAGTGGTGCGGTCCGGTCAAGACTCTTTGTCCCAAGACAGCACGATGTCCTCCACTTGAAGTATAGGAAAGCCGATGGTTGAAGTGTGCCCAACTGGATGTGACGATTAGCAATTTCCGATCTGGATATTTTATTATTTTCATCATTTCAGGATGGTATTTGCATTGAGGATTCTTGCTCTTCTGCCGTATATTGTGGTACAACTGCACGCAGTTGTACCACAGCCTTCAGTCACTGATGCATCCACTCGATGAACAAGAATTCAAACTTGGTGTATTAGTGCGAACACGTGATCAATTAATCTTGGTTCTACGTTGAGATCCCTATACTTTCAAAAACTGTCCTCTTCTTGAGGTTTAGGGTTTATGACCGTCCCCTTCTTCTTCGATAATCCAAAATGATTTATCGAGCGTCTCCTTGAAAAGCAAGTTCATTTTTCTATATTCATGCTATATTCTAATCCATCGAGTTTTAACGGTGATAAGCTACCTTGCTGCTTACAGTAGCTTCATAACGTCGATTCGATCACAGCAGTGCACGGAAACTATTCGATAATTGATGTACTCTCAACGATATACAAACCAACTTGTGAATAATAGGCAGGAGGTTATCAGGCAGAAAGGGTGCCAAATGATAAAGCAAAAGGGATGGGAAAAGTCGTACAGGGAGAAAAACGGGTAGGAACAAACAAAGGTACCGAGTACCTGTCTGCTATTCGATGCCATCTATATCCTCAAAGTACCCGACAAAGGAGCATGTAAGATAGCAAAAAGCATCGGAAGACACATGAAACCAATCGGGTAGGTGGGGTTAGCGGCATGATAATGGGGCTAACCGTGGCCCCATTATCATGACAATCCCAAATATGTCTAATGTATCTGATTTACCCTATATACTACCGCAAACTACAAAGAAACACACTCAAAGTGGAATGCAACCGTCGTAATGTTAGCAATCATGACCGAGGAGAGAAATGGACAAGAATATGAACAACAAGGTCTCTGCATACCAAGAATAAGGAAATTGGCTAATCCTTGGAGTTGCTGGAGTATTATCTTGATACACAGAAAGTCCGGAATTAACAACAACCACCTGAAATGACGTTTTAAAAGTTTAATTAACATGGATAACCATTAGACTCACCCCATGTGGTAAAAGGTGCACGAGAATAGCACCACTAGTGTTGATGCTCCTTTTTTCTTTAAAAAAATTTAAATATCTGTTTTGTAGTCATGATCGCTGGTACAAATTTACATTCTATGAATATATTTCTCCAATGAAACTTACTAACCACATATCTGATTTGATGTAAGTTTGAAGTGAGGATCTACTTTCTTGTTGAGCGATACTTGTTATCTTTTGTTAATTTTGGAATTTAGTGGAATAGGTAAATATCTATAGACCTGCAATTAAGAACTTATATGCAAAACATGTGTATGAAAAAATGCATCGGAATACCTCTTTAAGCTTTAGGTGTAAGAAACTTTAGGTCTTAAGAAAGTGTAGGTAAGGACTTTGGATCAAATAATATCACCATCAGATTTACGTCGTACAAATGGATTCATGGTCATTGTACGACTCTGAATCCAATTCGTACTCCACATAAAGAAAAGAAGCAAATGAAATAATATCCACTAACTCAATTGCTTTTCAATATATACCATTATCAAATTCCATCTATTATGCAATCAAACACATAGTTGAAATTAAGAATCGCAATATTATAGAAGAAAATGTCTCGCTAGCATAGCGTGATAACATTTATTTATAATAGCAAATGGAGTAGAAGAAAATCAAATCTCAATGTGAATTCTTGCATAGGTAAATTGATCATCAATTCACTTTGTTGGAAGTGGAAATCTTTCATGGGTGTAGATTCTATTTGTTTACCGAAATTGAGTGGCATGACATATCTTATTGTTTATGCACTTCCATGACGTACACACATGTCAAATTTATTGTTTTTTAACATCTTGAAAATTCAATAATAATCAAAATTATTCGGAAGATGGTATTTTCTTGTAAGTGTGCATAAAGAGTTAAATATTGATAATTAACTTGATTGCAATAAAAACATATATATATATATATATATATGATTACGTCAATACATGAAAATTGTTTAATGTCATTTAAAAAATATATATATTTCATCTGTAATGTACTTGTAGAACAATGAGAATAAAAGTTGCTAACATGTGTTTTTCTTTAAATTAAGTCTTGTTATGAAAACTGTTAAAGATATTGGATCTATAGTTGATTTAGTGATTTGCATTTAATATGTATCATAGCCCAACATTGGGTGCCCATGGGTTTTGCGTGACATTATTTTTCTATGGGTGTGCATAAGTAATGCTAACGCATCGTTTGTCAAGATCCAACCAAGAATTTGGGTAGTATAGGTGGGCTTAGTTTGCTGCGGATGCTTATAGTCTGGTAGGGCTGCAGATTTGATGTAAATTGTTGGCTTCTGCTATGTATGTTATAACATTAAGTTTTCAAGGTGAGTTGAAAAATACATGTGCACTTCCAAACCTCATCAAAAGTTAATTTAACTTTAATGTAATAAGATTTTCGTAGGATTGATTGACAATGTGAAGTGGAGGTATGCGGCGACATGAAACTGATGCAAAGAAAGATGGTCGTGGGAAAGAACAATGATACATGAAAAATATGCAAAATTGTAGACATAATCATAGCTCCTCAATTGCTCAAATGTTTCATGCGTTTTCTTCATCGCCCATGGTTACAAATTAATGACACCTAGCTTATCTAAAATATTATGCCAATTCTTGCGACTAATCTCACCACTTGGAACAAATCCATGAAAGGCTAGAACGTTTGTTTCCCTGAAAGTGGGACCGATTATGCTTATGAACTATTGATGACAACTCATGGATGATAGGATTGGTGACATGGATAGAGAATGAACAAAAAAAGGCAAATAATCTCGTCGATACACTAACAGCTGTAATGTTATTGAGTCACCCATAGATTGATAGAAAAAACGTAACAACTGAGTAGAGTAGAGTAGCCTCGAGCAAAAGATAAAGCTCACATGAGGCTTTGTTGTACTCTCAATCTTACCCCGAGATTATACATTAAGAATTCCAGCCAAACCTGAAATATCTTCTGAACGGTATGTTTATTGGGATATACCGTATATCATGGACTGCAAAGCTTCCAATTGGGAATTAGAGGTCCAATGCAGGAAGAAACCTTCGATAGTCAGAATCGTTAGGACAGGCGATCCTCCATCGTATACCTTCAGTCGACATGGGAAAGTATACCCACCCATGCCAAACCACGAGACGAGTGCCCGGGAGAAATAGTAATGTCCGGTAAGATCTCCAAATCCCACAGTACTTTCGAGAAGAGGATAAGATGAGGAACACAGATCCGACCTGTTACAGCTCTTGCTGGTCGTGACTTATGCCGAATGTACACACATAATTTTGCCATTATAATACCGACATTGGTAGATGCCCTTCGGCTCCAGATCTTGAACTTTACTACGCCTCGCATTGGGATGGGGTTAAGCGAAAGATACAACACTTTACTAAAAACATAAATGCAGTCGAGCAAGTAGGTTGAGACATGAACAGTTCTCGGTTGGAATGTTCAAGCGCTGATGGAATACAAAAGGTTGGTCAAAAAGCCAAGCTAGGGTGTATCCTGTAGTGCGGCAGGAGGAAATCACGCGCGCGATTCGGCACATGTTAGGAAAATGATTGCTCAACAATTGTACCGAATGAACACTTATTATACTAAAAGGAGGGTCAAGATACTGACAACGATATAACATCGACATTAGTCGTGAGGAGAATGCCGGACATGGGTGACAGGAAAATGCACCGACCGCAATACGAAGGAGAATACAATGAGAAAAGTCTCGAGAAGACTCAAGATCGAAGCGAGATCTTCACCGTACGAGAGCACCAGCTAAACGGTGGAGGATCGTAGTTCCCGCAGGAGCCCGCCGTTCTTATACGAAGAAGGAAGCGCCGCAACCTGCCGAGACTTTCTGAGTCTGACCGGCGGTCAGAGCCGATATCCGTCGAGGCGACTGCCGACTCATGCGGGCAATAATTTGACGATGATTAGATTGACGGTTGGATGGTCACATGTGAACCTACTGGCCGGGGAAAAATCACCAACTCTGCCGCGCATTATGTCCCTGAGAGCAGGTCGCCGGTAAATTAAGCAGCCGTCCGGCCCGCGCCGTGGTACGAAGCTCCCACTCGGGTTACGAGAGTGAAGGACATTGATGGCGGGAACGCTCCGCGGAGGATCGACGGACGGAGAATGCGGAGCAGGAGGAGGAGGAGGAGGAGAAGAAGGCGAGATGGCGACAGGCTCCGCCGGTTCCGGACCGAGGGACAAACGAAGCGTCCGGACGGCGAGGACGGAAGTGGAGGAGTGGGATGTGGGAAGTCGGGCCAGCAGGGCGACGAAAGGAGGAGAGAGAGAGAGAGAGAGAGAGAGGCGAGGCCCGAGAGAGAGGGAGGGAGGGAGGGGGAGGGGAGGTCTTACTGGGAGAGAGGGGAGCACGACATTCGCTGACAAGAGCGGAGCATTTGTTTGCAATTTCTTTTGCATTTGCTTCGATATTTCTGCCCGTCCTGTCTGCTGCTGCTGCTGCTGCTGCTGGCGCTCCCTTTCGCCTCACCTGCCGACGATGCAGGTGGTCGTTTAGCGCCGGGGCCGCGCCGTCGCGCCGAGAGGAGGGGAGCTCGTTTGTACAGCAGCGGCGGGTCGATTTTATTTGCCCCAGCGCTGGAGCCGAGTTAGAAGCGTCGGAGAAGTGTGTGTTTGTTCGCGCAGTTACATTTCTTGGAAGACGGCGATGCGGACGGAATAGCAAGACAGGCAGGGAGGGAGGGACGCAGGAGGAGAAGGAAAAGAGGTGGAGGACGTACTGCGCTCATGAGAGCAGAGCAGGCAGGAGACTGGCGTAGGTGCCGGAGCTTGGCTGCTGCTTCTGCGGATGCTCTTTCAGCAAGCCTGGTGGCAAGCCTTCTTTAGCACCTTTTCCATCTGCGATTGTGGCGTCTCGCTCGGTTTGGGAGACGGAGGTCTTCCTCGGGCGATACTCCTTGCATCTCCCGAGTTTGGTCGAGGACAAGTACGAGCTGTTGGTTGCTCACCGGCCCCAGTCTCTGCGGCAGAGGAAGGAGGAGCGGGCGATACTCGCTTCGCAGGTTGTGCTTTGGTCTTATGAAGCTTGCCGTCCGAAAGAACTCATTCTTGGTTGTGGATTTTATGAACTTCGACAATTTTCTTTCGAACGGACGAGTGAGACGGTGGCTCGGTTTAGCTCGAGAAACCATCTGGCTCGAACCTTTTAACTGCATTGGACCTTTTCTGCGTTCCGTATGCCGTTCCTCGGTGAAGTCCAAGCTATATGTTTCCGTCTTCCCGGCTTCTCTATGTGACGGAAATTTCTGGGAGTAGTGTTTTTGTTTCAAACTTTAGCATTTCATCTTTCTGTATAACCAGCTCCGACTTGCTATCCCGACCCACTCCTAGGTACCATTCTCCTCCCAATTGGTCTGGAGCATTTTCGCCCCTCTGCTTTTGGTACCTCAGAAGCGAAGTGGCCAGTTGTTGGCGCTCGTGTACAATTTCGTCTGTCTAAAAGATCATCCGCAGCTGGCTGATCGACTTATGTGTTTTCGCTTGGTCAAGTACATCGAGCGAATAATTTTTATCAATTTATCGATCGTCAGTCAGTCAGTCAGTCAGAGAGAGAGAGAGAGAGAGAGAGAGAGAGAGAGAGAGAGAGAGAGAGAGAGAGAGAGAGAGAGAGAGAGAGAGAGAGAGAGAGAGAGAGAGAGATTGTGTTTGATCGCAATGAAGTGGTTCATTTTCACTAGCCAATGTTTTTCCGATGACTGCCTCTTTACTTCGCTTCTTGTTTTCTTGATGGCTGATAAGGTGCCCATTATATCTTGTCATGCCTTCCCATCACGTGCCTCCGGTATTTTCCATCGTGTAGAGAGTTTCCGTTGTTCAACAGCTTTCAGAGCTGTTTCCCCAGTGTGTAATTGAACTTACCGGTAAATCATTTGCGGCCATATCGCAAGACATGTTTCTCCTTCTTTATTTAGGGCGTGGAAAAGCTGAAACACCCAGAAATATGTCGTTCTTCTTACATCAGCCCCTTCTTCCTACATTTCCAAAGGTAACAAATGTATTTTTTGAACGTGTCCGTACGCGACTGCAGGGTGAAAGGTTGCGATGCAGGAAGGGTCGAGAGAGTTCGGTGGAAGTCCTGATCCCACTGGTTTCGACTCTGAGGATGACGGCGATGATGTTCCGACTGACGGTCCCATCGTTCTCTCCTCTCATCGTAAGTTTAATCTGTTCCTATTGATGCTGTTAATTTTTTGTTGTTACAAGAAACTCATCCACCTAAAATTGTAATTTGATAAATCTGGACGCCTTGAACCTCTGGCATATCCGGTCTGAATTTCGAATCAAGCACTTCTCACTGGTTAATACGCCATTGTAGTTGTTTGCAACGGTGGAAGCACAGAGTGATCTAATGAGTAACGGTAATCCATCCCTTGGTTGTTCCACCTTCTGCTTTAAAGGGGGTGATTATTTTGGGCAAGTAACCTGGCTGTGTACTATCGGAAGGTCAAGCTTCACCTCTTCATCCTTTGGATTGAGCTGGCTTACTAGTGCATCAAAGAAGCTTCACATGGTGGCCCCTTTTGCAAAAAGACGACTTATGAGACTTGGACCCGCCGCCACATAGTACCTGTCCAATACCTTCCTACGCGGTGCAAGTATCTCGAAAATAAGAATGTCGAATACAATGTTTTTGACGTGAAATGGAATGTGTCTTGGAAACGACAGAAGTGAATGAAAAAGCACTGGAGCTGGAGAGGCAGCAAGCTGGTCAGCTTTATTTTACGGACAAGGTCCAGGCATTGATGAAGGACATGTTCAATGAAGTGTATGCTGCTCTGCAACCTAAGCCAGATGACCGGGACAAACGCATAAGGGTGATAAAATTCATTGAGAATTTTGTCAAACACAAAATCCCCGGTCAGTGGTAATGTCACTATTTCTACTAACCTTAAACCTGGGCATATGCATTATGTCTGAGCTGTTAGAGAAGTCCTCTGTTTTACCTGAAAATGATTGGTCCTGGTTGCGGTACTAATGCATTGGTTAATTTGTTGGCTCATTTCAACAGGAAGCAGCATTAGTGCGTTTGGCTCCTTCGTGATGGATCTGTACACAGCAAGCAGTGACCTGGATCTGTCACTGAATTTGTCAGACGGGAAACGTCAATGCTCTCGAAATGACAAAGTCCACTATTTGAGAAAAGTGGCCAATGCCTTGTATGGACTCCAAAAGGGTGAGTTTTTGCTTCCTGTCTATCAACCCTTTCCAACTAGCGAGTCGGTTATGTGCTTGGACGGGAAGAATTGCCGTTTTAATGTCAGCATTCAGCTTCTGAAGCTTGCTAAGTTTCTGGGCCTGCAAATTTACGTGCCGCTTGCGTTGACGCAGGTCAAAGGTCTGTACGGGGAATAGAGACAGTATATAGAGCAGCTGTGCCAGTCGTCAAATTTGTACAATGTAATACTGGTATAGAATGCGATATATCCGTGGAGAACAACGATGGCGTCTTGAAGTCAAAGGTTTTGGGGATGTTTGCCACGATAGATACCAGATTTCGGCAGTTGTGCTATTTGGTTCGTGTTTCTTTCCGCCCTGATGTCTTTCATCTCATCAATGTGATATAGATGGAGACTAAGTGGAGTAGCCGTTTTTACCATCCTAAATGTAAATGATCGACAAGTCCAAGACATAATATCTTGAATGCTGTTAAGTGGATTTGCTGTCGGGGAGACTTGATAAGTCGCGTGTTTTGTTCGTGTTGATGTATGTATTTCTTCCTTTACAGGTGAAGTCATGGGCGAAGAAACACAACGTCAACAGTTCGAAGAATGGAACATTGAATTCGTTGTCTATATGTTTGCTTGTAGCGTTCCACCTACAAGTGAGTGAAGTACATTTTTTCTGGGATTTCAGTGAAAGAAACCAACCTTCTTACTCTCTATTGTCAGGATATAGTACATTGTATTCAACGTGCCAATGTGTGCCTGCGGGGATAGTCCATCTGAACTGTCTTTTGTTAGTTTCTTGAGGTAATCGATTCACATAAATGTAAGATAATGGTTCTGTTCGTGCAGAGGAAGGTGTAGCAAAACCTTGGATCTGTATAATGATCATGCTACATATTTTCATGATGTGCAACTGTGCAACAGACACGTTCGCCTCCAATTCTTCCTCCATTTTCGGTCTTCATGGAAGGTACTTTCCCTGCTAATTCGAAATATGCTTTCCATTTTGCGTTTGTTAGTTCTACGTTATGCACGAAAGACATGGCCAATCCTCGTGAAGGTTTCTCTGAAGTTTTTCTTGTAAAGAAGCCCGATATGTCCTTTGCTATCTTTCAACCATGTTTGCAATTCTCCATTTGTACTGTTGGCGCTACTAATTCAATGACTTTGCACGTGCTAGAGCAGGGTTGTTCCTGCCCGACGTGGAGAGTTGTTTGAATGTTGTCGCTACCCGTGTGTGGTTGTTCAAGGATAGTGGATTCGGAGCAAACAACCTTGAGTCTGTTCCTGAGCTCTTCGGTTCTTTCTTCGTCAAGGTGCGGAATCAAACAGCTCATAGGGAAAGTCGAAGCCTAACGTAGTGATAGTGCAATTCTTGTTTTGCTGCTTATCGGGTGGATTCAGAAATTTGAGATTCGAGACAATAATGCGTTAGTGTAGACATTTATCGATTTCTCACTCGGTGGAAAGTGGACTTCGGTTGTAAAATCTACGTCATCGCAACTCGTCTAAGTTCCTCTGTTCATGTATTCAAGCCCTCTGCACAACTGAATGTGATGCAGCTGGTAGCCGTGGAAAACTTGTGGGGACATGGTTTGTGTTCCAGCACATACGAAGGAAAGTGGATCTCCAAAATCTGGCCGAAGAACCACATTGGCTGTATCTCTGTACGTATATCCATCTGCTAGCTTGTTTTTAACTCACGATGTCTTGGTTTCATGCATCGTTCAGCCATGGTCTTGAGGTTATGACAGGTACGATCGAATGAGTACAGTCTATCTTCCATCTATCAGCGGAACGTTCAAAGCGCACCGGTTCTTTATGTCGACTACTCAGATTCAACTCTTTCAATAAAATTCAACCCGGTCGTTTCGTGTTAATAGCAGCCTGTTTTCTCCCGGCGATCTAGGGGACCAAGATTAGTATAAAATCTTAAGGCCTCATTGAAGCTTCAATCTATCACTGTATATACCGACTTTTATCACTACATGCCAAAAAATGTCTTTTTGAAATCTTTCTTTAGACTAGTATTTTCCCTGAAGGCTGGATTCATACTTAGCTGTATCATATGCATTATGGCATTCTACCTTCAAAATGACGGTTTTCTGAAACATTACATTTTATTCATCAAGAGCAGATTCTAATTTGATGATTCCGGCTTCCATGTGTTTACTGACTGTCAGGTGGAGGACTTTGCAGATCGTACGCAAAACGTGGCTCGATCAGTTTCGAGGAAGGAGTTCGAGCTTATCTATCAGTGCTTTCATGCTACGTTGTCCAACCTCAAGGATCCAGTTAACAATGTTATGGACTCTACAGATTTAAGGGTTTACCTTTTTGGAGCGAAACAAAGACACAGGGCATTGGATCATGCCAGACTAGCTGCCACACACGTAGACTTTTCACAAAGCGGAAACGGTTGGTCCACGAATGAAAGTCGAAGCAGCGTATCAAGCAACAGGGGACATCAACCTCATATGGACACCTCCATTCAGTTTAACCATAGTCGTGTGCATTCTGCACCTTCCCATACTACTACTGGAGCCTCTGGATATAGAGACAACGCTCAGGACGGGCCAGGTTTTCAACATCATATGTCTCGTAGCTGGAATCCTGGACGTGTAGTAAATCTCAGCCATGGCCACGCAGTTAATCCTGATCCTCAACGTGCCGTACAGTTTACACATGAAGATCTAGAGTATACTGTTACGCATGTAGATCTAGTTAATCCTGATCCTCAACGTGCCGTACAGTTTACACATGAAGATCTAGAGTATACTGTTACGCATGTAGATCTAGTTAAACGTAGTCACGTTAGAGATATTGGACAACCCACTCTGGATTCTGAAACCGCCTCTGCGGCTTCAAGGAACAGGCATGTATATAGGAATAGTAGAGTACTGGGCAGTCGAGTTGCAAGATCGAGAGATTCTTCGTGTGATGGCAGTGTGGTTCATGTCGAACCAACTCAAGTTGCACGTAACGGGGATTTATCGGCGACAAATAGGCCAGGAACGTACCAACCTAACACGAGTGCTCGGGGTACGACTCCGTCGGGACATCGTCGTTATGGGCGAGGCAACAGGAGCCGGGGGGCGTGTACTTCTGTGGTAGGAGGAGATGTCCAACCTCACAATTTGAGTAATCACCAACGCCATGGAGATAGCACTGTAGATGGTCGATGGCAAACATAAGCTCTTCATCCCCAGGAGTTTTTGATTAGGTAGATGTTCTAGCTCATTTTTTGGGATGGATGGCCTCGTAATCGGTGGGTGTTCCTGGTCCCTCTAGGTAAATCGTTGATCTCTACTTCAACTACGCTTCTTCTGTTTGGTGGACACATTCATGTGTCCCTTCTTGTACATGTCTTCCCGTCTTCTCTATTTGAGAACCCAAAGTGGGTTCTTCGTCTTGAGAACAGCTGTAAAGTTAGGTCTACGGACAACCCTCTTCGAAGAGTGGTTTGTGATTGAAACCGAGATTTTTGCTACATCCATTTGCTTACCACGTGTTCAGTCAGATATGGCTGAAGACTAAGAGTTTGTTTCCTGGGCAATAGTGACCCAAATGTTCACGAAGTCCTGCCGTTGTATCAGAGAAATACAAGAGTTTTTGCACCTTAAAAGAATGTTTTATCTCAACTTTTACATTCACAGAATTGGCAAAAGCGGCTAGTTTTTTTAAGATAGAGCCGATGAAATGTCATGATTACATGCTTGGTTTCTGTGATTCACTCTGCATTTGTCTTTAGGTGATGAAATGAGCAACTTTGCTGAGTTTGGAAAATGTCCTCGTTTTCATTTGAATAGTTACAGATACTTTTTAGGGTGGGGTAATGTTTTGATGTTCGTGTTCCAAGACCTGCACTGAACTTTCAAACTGTGTCCGACGCATCCAACAGAGAATATACGCATTCTTTACTTGCATCTCAGCAGTATCTCCTCTGCATGAGATTTTTCAGATATGTGAATCTACAAGAAAATCGACCTGGTTTACATATAGTGCTCTGAACATTACTGTGAACCCCTTATGACATTGTATAGGGGACTGGGGTTAAGGCCCATGTGGGAGAAGAAATCAGGGCAAAGCCAAACCAACAAAAACCCTCAGTATCTACCCTTCGCTATGTACATAAGTGAGGACAGCTCCAGATGTTTGGATATTAAGTGACACGCCGAAGATGTGGAAGTCTGGGTGGCCGTGTAACAAGGCGATAGTTATGTTTGAGCGACAGTACATATGCACACAGGTAATTTACATTTGTCACATGTACATGTTGGTTGTTTACTTAGTTAGGGGTATATGCAATGGAGTAATTATGTTGAGGATGCCTGCTTTATCTTGACTTAGGCCGTTTCTATATATAGAGAGTAAACTTAGAATTGTGATCACATGTAGGATCAATTGGCTGCTGCATTATGCTACTGAATTGAATTTCATAGATGGGAAATTTCGATCATTTTTGTCTTGCATCTGAAATAATAAATTTTTAAACAGTATATCTGTTGACTATTTGTGACTTATGTATGAAATTTATATATACCTGGAGATGAGACGAGAAATTGTTAGCATTAAAGCATCACACAATTTGCCTAGTTCGCACTAATACCACGAACTTCAGCTGTGACATTGAGGAAAGGGAACTACCTACTATGTTAAAACTATAGCCATATCTATCAATGAAATTGATAGATATGGGAATTGAACTGTTTCAATTCCCATGGATGAAGTTTGAACTGAAGATCTTCAAAAATATATACCTTTCAAGTAGAAATTAGAACAATAGAATCAAATTCATGTGCATAGTGTTTTTGAATATAAGTCAAATATTTTTCATAATAGTGCTAGTCTAGTGCCACACCCGTTTTTGCTACGGCCACATCCATTACATACAAACATATCCATTACATACAAACAATTGATTGCGCGTCAAAGCACGACTCCACTCAAACCCTGCTGCCAACCCGAGCTCGTCCGCGAGGCAGAGGAGAGCGTAATCGAGAGTCTTCGAGTGGCGCGGTACTGCTGCGGCCGTTGTTGTCTCCCGCGTTGCTGGGGCTTGGGCAGTAACATTGCGCTTGGGTTGTAGCAGAAGTGAGCTTGGATAGTAGCAAAAGCGGGCATAGGCATGATAATTAGGGTGTGATTTAGTCTGGTACTTCATAATATTAATAGTGTTCCTTTTATTTAAGGGAGGATTTATTTAATACCCTTAGTATATCTTCGCATCTACCTACGAAAGATTAATGTCTGGCCCTTCATAATATTAATAGTGTTCCTTTATTTAGGGGAGGATTTATTTAATACCCTTAGTATATCTTCGCATCTACCGATGAAAGATTAACTTGGAGTAGAGTGAGTGCTAATTAGCCCTTCGATGTTAGAGTGATAACTAGCCTCTCCATTGATTTATAATAAAAATTACATATTAATTTATACATAAGAGTATAACTAATTTGGGAAAAAAAATTGCATGAGCAACATTATAAAACAATTTAATATATATTTATCACAGTTTTAACCATCAATGACTAGTTCACCCGCCTATTGGATGTTTTAGGTCCACATTTTGGAGTAGATGGAGGAGGAGAAAGATGCATTAGAAAACAAGACATAAAAACTGACTTCCATGGACTCTCTCAAAATCATGTGGACTTGAATTTCGGGTATTGTATAGAACTGAATCTTTGAAAGCAAAGAGTTAACGCTATTTTCACAGATTTACATTTGAGAATTTCGAATCAGGTCACTCAAATTGCCACCTCTGTAGTAATCACCATCGCTTTCCGAATAACATGATTCTCTTGAACCAAGAGATTATGATCTTTTACCATTATGGGGGGCAAGGCATACAGCACTAGTTTATTCTGAAAGTGTAAGTTTGGACAATCTACATAGAAAATCGATATATGATATTTTCCATAATTCATAGCAAACACTTTTGAATAAATATTTAAAAATATTCTATTATGACTTCAAATATGCGGCAAGTGGTATGAATACATCTTTATGATGCAATAAAACAAAGTGTAATCAATAATAATGTACCTACATGTTTAAAGCAAAATGTAACTTCATCACTGTAAAATGTTTTAGTGTATTTTTGATAAGCCATAACATCAAGTCCAAATGCATGAACATGAATATGTTAGAGCAAGAAATTAAGAAACCCTATTTATAGTCAACAAATGATACATCATCCAATTAGATTGTGAAATAGTGGAAATGTATGTCATTTTGTGAATTTTTATGTTACACAATTAATGATAATCAGTTCTAAGCGTTGGCTAGAAAAAGCAACGATCCAACTTGCAAAGACCTCGAAGCTAATAAAAATATAGGTTAAGGAAAATTCATGCAAGGAAGATAATTAAATCTACGAGCAATACTTTACTTTGGATAAAGTAAAGTAATGCTCATGTTGCTTTCTGAGCTTATAGTGGGAGATAATCATCTAGGTGCAATACAACATTGGAAACTTTTTTTTGTCACGTTAACTTGATTAACAAAAATGGTTTGGATCCAACATGCATTATTAATTGGATAAGTAGCTTGGTAATGTCATACATACACACCGTCGGAAGTTTCAGATGACGAAGACTACTCAATAAATTAAAACTTTGATTTTCAAACATACAAGATTAAACTTTTTATGCATATAGTGAAATTTCTGTAGAAATTATCAAGATGCCTCATAATGCCCGGGAATAATTATGTGAATTTTCCAAATTTGTAATGAATCAGGGCAAATAGACATCATAACCTTTGTCAAGCTACAAGAGTAAATTGTAGAAAAGTGATAACTTTTTGTATGAAGACATGTTGATAGAATAGAGAAGAATTTGAACAGTAAACAATCAAGCGAGAAGTAGGTTAAACGAACGTCCATAAATTCTTCACACTCTTAAGAGACAAACGGATGTGATTCGAGAGAACCAAATGTAAATGCACATTTAAAAAAAATTCTTATGCTCAACAATATGGGTTGACAAACTCTTAAGCAATCAACTCCAAAGAACTGTGGTCAAAGAGGATGCTGAAAGGGTACACGATGAAGCATGAATTGTACGACTAGCAAGTCTTAATAAGATCTTTCTATGAGCACTCGGTGGATCTTCACTGACTTCTTCGATGGTTTGCAACTCCTTGTTCCTCTACGTGGTGCCCATACTTTTGCTTCAGGTGTGAATCATCGAAGTAAATGGTAAATAGACCAAAGGGTCAAAAGGATGAAAAACACAATAAAAACAATCTAACTCCAACTAGTAAATACGAAGAGACACAATAAAACCCATCCCCCACGTTTATCGTCGCTCAGGTAGGCGCAGTCGATGATCTAACCTGGTCGTGGTCGTAGTCGTGGCAGTAGATGTGCTAACCTCGTCGTGGTCGGGGATGGAGTTGCCCTCGGAAGAACGATGGATGGTCATGCATCCGAGGATGGATGGCGCAAGATGGCGGCCGTCCCATCCCATCGATGGCATGGAAGGCGGAGAGAGGCAGGTGGCGATCGATCGAACGGAGACGAGGAGGATGAAGATGGACGACTGAGAGCGGGCGAAAATTCGGGAGCCTTTTGACCCGAATCGAGCGGAGGGCAGGCAGATTGCAGGACTGTCTGTCGGGCGCAGGAGCAGCAGCAGCAGGAGGAGGAGGAGGAGGACGAGGCCCTGCCTCGCAACTTTGCTCGCAAATTAACCCCGCGAACTTGGCGAAGGAGCACCAGGCCTCGGCCAATCAAGGCACACGACGAAAGGAAACGAAAAGAGCGAGTAATCAGAGCGAAGGAAAGCAAAGGAGGACCAGCAGCAGCAGAAGGAGCAGGAGCAGGAGTAGGAGAAGGAGGAGGAGGAAAAAAAGTCAAGAACTCGTGCCTCCCTCGACAGGCTTCGCCCTCTCCCCGTTCGCTCCCCACTCTCTTCACTCCTGGATTGTCTGTCTTCTCTCTCCCTCTCCCATCGACGGCGTTCTTCTGCTTCTCCCGGTCGAAAATTGCACTTTTGTGTGAGTGAGTGAGTGAGTTTGTCTGTGTGTAAATGTGTGCGTGCGTGCAACTGACGACAGAGAGCTGCGCTTTTCCTCTTCCTTACTCCGGCTCGCTTGCCTCGACTCGCCTTGACTTTGGTGGGGCCGATTCGATTCGTACGTGTTATTAGGGATTGTGTAGTATAGTACAGGTGCTAGGGCAGGGTTTGGAGTGAGATTTATGAATCGAAGCTGTATCGTGTGTGGGAGGAGTGGGCACAGTAGAGGTCGGAGCTTGTTTTGGATTGGTGGGATTTCGGTCGGGTTGACGGGAGCGGTCCGCTGATCGATTACGTGGCGGGAAGGCGGAGGAAGAAGAACAGTGGATCGATCGGGGATTGTTAAGCAGAGCAGAGCAGCTGTAGGTGTGGAGGGAGATCGGGGAGTTCGCTGGACTCGTTGACCGGAGGGACAAGAAGGATGACGGTGATGATCAGGGAAGAGGAAGTCGGTTCGAGGAGAATCGGTGGTGGATCGGAGGCAGCTTGATCCAGAGAGAGACCTGAGGCGTAGTAGGAGGAGGAGAGTAGGTGACTTTGGGATAATCGTGGTTTAAGCAGGACAGGAAGGAATTTCAAAATTTTGTTCCGATTGTGGAAATGATGGGCTCGGAGGATGACGAGGCCCAGCAGGCCAGGTTATTCACGTCCACAGATGCGATGGAAAGCTTAGTGTTGGATCAGTCGCCGCACCCGTTCCTTTCCAATAGTGATTACAGGAGTGCCATGTCCGGAAGCACTGCGTTGGATGAGTCCCATCATCCACTGTCTTCGCCTAGACATGATTCGTCTCAAAAGAGCTTCAAGGATTCTTACAGAAAGAGTTTTCAGGATAGCTCGAATTCTTCATCCTCCAGGAAAAGCTTCCGCGAAGCGGATCTCGTGGAGCCTCCGTCGTACGCAGATGCCATCTTCACTCCATACATGGGCGAAGCTTCTTCCGTCAATGGGAACGGCAGGGAAGTAGGCAACTCATCTTCGTCTTCCCTTCAGTCGTTCCCAGTATACAGCGATACCCTAATTATAACAGTCACGCAGCCACAGAAGTCACAGGAGTCGGGTGGCTCTATCGTTCCAGGGGGAAGCTCTTACGTCACCTATCTCATCACAACCAGGACAAACATTCCTGAATACCGGGGGACAGATTTTAATGTCCGCAGGCGATTCAGAGACGTCGTGACCCTTGGAGATAGGCTTGCAGATGCATACAGGGGATACTTCATTCCTCCCCGTCCCGATAAGAGTATCGTTGAAAGCCAGGTCATGCAAAAAGCGGAGTTCATCGAGCAGCGGAGAGTTGCTCTTGAGAAGTACCTCTCGAGATTGGCAGCCCATCCAGTTTTGAGGCGGAGCAATGAGTTAAGGCTCTTTCTCCAGTTCCAGGGTAAGCTCCCTCTCACACCCACAACGGATATGGCGTCCAGGATGCTAGATGGTGCAGTGAATTTGCCTCGGCAGCTTTTTGGCGAGAGCAGCACTGTGGTTCCTCCTCAAGAAGCTTCTCAGCCTGCCAAGGGAGGCCGAGATTTAGTGAGGTTATTCAAAGAGCTTAAGCAATCTGTTACTAATGATTGGGGCGGAGTGAAGCCTGCTGTCTTTGAAGAAGACAAAGCATTTCTAGAGAAGAAAGAGAAATTGCAGGATTTGGAAAAGCAGCTCGGTGATGCGTCGCAGCAGGTGCGAGCTTCTTAGTTATATCCGCTGCATATGTTATCTACTGTCCTCTTCCTGGTCCGTCTTTTTCTTTTCGCTCTGAGTTTTCCTTTTGTGGCCATCATTCCTTTTGTCCACTTATTCTCTTCGGCTGTACAATCCTGTGAAGTAATCTCAGATTGCTCACATCCTGGACGTTCACTGAAGATACACCTTTGGATTGGTGCATGTTCTTTGATTGCATCAAATATATCGGGATTATCCAAGTTCAATCGTATTGCTACTCGGAATAACAAATAAATTCGGAACTGGCTGAATTCATTCGGGGACCAGTTTGAGATCTTTTTATATATTGACCTCGGCCCTCTTCTGCAGGCCGAAATTCTGGTCAAGGCCCAACAAGATGTCGGTGAGGTAATGGGTGAGCTTGGTCTGGCTTTTATTAAAATTGCCAAGTTTGAGACAGAGGAGATGGGGACAAACCCGCAGAGAATTCACGCCAATGACGCCAAGCGTATAGGCACAGCAGCTGTCAAGGCCAGCCGCTTCTATCGGGAAGCTAATGCACAATCTGTCAAGCATTTGGTAAGTCAGATGACTCCTGTGGCACAACATATATATTGACATGATTTCGTGAGAACATACATAAATTGGATTCAGATTTCTCATCACCAACATCATTTATTTTTTTTAGAACTAAAAAGCAACACTTAACTTCGTTAAGCTGAGTGAAATCTTGGAAGAAAGGGAATTATGTCCAAAACCCTCCAGGTCTGTCGTAGACAACAGTTGCTGTATTATAGGTTTCAGGACCTACTACTAGTCATGGTTACGTTTTCTCTCATATTGAGCGTGATATGATGTTGGGCCGCTGATTTATAACTTTTACTGTCTGTTTTGCAGGATCAACTGCATGAGTACTTAGGGTTGATGCAGGCATTGCATGCTGCGTATGCAGACCGTTCGAATGCACTGCTAACTGTCCAAACGTTGATGACAGACCTCCAAGCTAATAATCTAAAAGTCGAGAAACTAAATGTGGCAGCATCCAAGTTTTTTGGTGTTGACAAGAATAGGAATCGGAAAATAGAAGAACTTAAAGAGGCTGTTAAAGTCAATGAAGAGGCTCGGGACTGTGCGCAACAAGAGTATGATCGGATCAAGGTACACATGTACAAGCCACATCCATTTTAGGACTCTTTGCTCTACCGAAAACTCATGTGCTTTCCTGCGCATGCACATCTTTTTATGTAGTCCGAGTTTTCTACATGCTCATTTTTGTGTGTGGGCCCACTGTGATTGAAACTTACGAATGTTTTTTCTGTTCTTGCTTGATTTGACTGCTACATGTAGGAACGAAACCGGACAGAACTTGAAAGATTCGAGAAAGACAGGCGAAGGGACTTTCTAAATATGATCCGTGGTTTTGTCATGACTCAGGTTTGTCTAACCTTCTCTATGTCCAAGTTTTCTTCATCATGTCAATAGCAAGATTACAGTGGATCTTAGTATCGTAATCTTTAATGGAAGATTCTATCCACATCATGAGGATGACCTTGTTCATTTGGCGGGAGGTGATGAGTTACATCTTGAGATTATCGTGAGCTTCTTGTTCTGTAAACTCCCTTCTTATTCTCGGTTATCTTGCGGTGCAGGTTGGTTATGCTGAGAAGATAGCAAATGTTTGGACGAAAGTTGGTGAGGAGGCTAGTAATGGTCTTTCGGGCAAGTCCCTAGAGGCCTCCTCATCAGGATCATCTACTCCTAATTAGTTCGTCTCATTCGTTCCGTTAGTCCTTTTTTCCAACTCATGTGGAGGGGGTTAAATATGGTTCTCGAAAATTGCATCTAGTGCTTCAGGCTGCCACCAGAGGTGATTGGGAGGTCTCGGATTGAATAAACGAAGGGAAGTAGGGAGTTTCCTATCGTTGGGTCCTGGTAGATATGCATGCCGTTTACATGCATGCATTTGAGTGTTGGCTTGTTGTTGTACATACATCTGTATATTTCATTGCCTCGGCCTCTTCAGGTTTCACCTCATTAAACCTCTCCTCGTGGGCACTTCGAGACTCATAGATGACAAAGAGGGTGTTCCTCGGTCCTCCTTTCATTGAATCAACCTCGTATTGGTCCAACTTCAGTTGGAGTCATGCTTTTCTTGTCGTAAGCCCCTTTTGTTCTGATCGTCTGCTGTAGAAGATTCTGGGGCATCGGGAAAACTGTAGAGCTGTCTTGGGGGGAAGGCTGTGAGACACATTTGTGTAGATCAAGTGCGATATGTCATTGATTGTGATTAGGCCCTTCCTACTTATTGCATACAAGATATTGTGCCTTCAGCTTAACTTGTGTCGTGCAAATAGATTGTTGAGGCACATTTGCCATATCTATTTATCATGGCATCAGCTTGACCTCATTTCCTTTCACAGGAACTTTTGTGATACAGGAAATACAGAGCATCGGTTGTCCATGGTTTAGTCTAGTCTGGTCTATTAGACTTGAAACGTTAGGGCCATTCTTTTGAAGCAGTCCACAGTTTTGGATAGGAGATTTGTGGCATCCCAACCCAGGAGAGATTTTTTTGGATAGAAAGTCCATAATCTGGCTTGATTTTTGCTGAGCGAGATGATCTGATCTACTCCCAAGGTAGGCAGGATCAAAACAATCGCTGTAAAATTTTAGCCACCATCAATTTGTTGCTTAAAGAGAAAGTAATCATAATAACCTAAGGCACATGACGAGGTCAACTCTCGCTGTTTTGCGTCCTGTTCGCTTAGAACTTTCAACATATTTTCTTAAGGGGTTATCAGTCCAAGTGAGTGGCATTCTGAACAAGTTCAGTAAGAAGTCTAAAAATGGAAAGAAATGTGACAGTACGATTAGTTAGGTAGCTCATCGGTAAAACTAATGTCGTAGGCAGATGAAGCTAAGTTTCATTGCGGAAACGAATCATTGTTGACAGAATGCAACGTTGCATTTTGCGAGAGGCTCTCTCGCAGACCGAGTGCTTGATCCTCTAGTTTCGAAAAGGTACTATGGCTTTTGTGCCTGGGGTTTGGCAACCCAAGTAACATCAAAAGGTCGTGAGAATCGAGAAGCGGGAATGGAGAATGTTTGGCTCGACACTGAATTTGGCCAAGATTGTTAAATTACGTGACACCCAGTGTTGGACATAGGAGACTGTTGTACGAATGAGGAACAACGAGTAGTTTTTAAAATGTTAAAGTTAGTAGTCACTTCCAAAGAAGAATCTATCCTCGGTCCTACTATTCCCTTCTCTGTTGGTGATTTCGTGTCTCTTACAGCAATTTTATTGTACTGTACGTCAATTTACAGATGAAATTGTTGTGGAAGAGTTCAGTCACGAAAAGAACATATAAAGTTTGAAGTATGCGCAAATTTTTCAAATGTTTAAATTATAACACACTGTACTTATATGAACCTTGGAGTTCGAAACGGTCCACGAGACATGGTTCGTGGGGAAAGTCATGATGAAACTGAAGCTTGCAGTCAACTAGGCACTTGGAGAGCACAGAAACTTCAACAGGAAATACTCCATCACTCCATAATTTTTTTGAAATTCTTTGAGCTTCAGGAATATATTGTAGACCGGTCTACCGTGTACGGAAACTCTGGGAAAATATACTTCAAAAATTTGAACATTTATCAGACCAAATTGTACGTATCGGCAAGAACTAACCAAATATAAAATTTTGGTTCAAACAAAAAATAAGAACAATTTTGCATCATCAAATAGAACGAATCAAAACGACGACAAAATATAGAAATAGTGTGAAGCAGTAAAAAAAATGTACATGACGACGAGTGTAATCTTCGTTACGAAAAACTCCAAACGCAGAAACGACAAGAGAGTGCGAAGCTAGGAAGATCGGGCTTTGCAATATCCGGTTTCACACACGGCGCGTAAAGGGCGTAGAAAAAGAAGGGAACGGCCAGAGGAGCGACGTGGCCGAAAGAACTATCCACAACATCTCTCTCTCCCCCTCCCTCCTGTCTCTCTCTCTCCCTCTGTCCTCTGGGGAACTCTATCCGTTAGCGTTGCGTTCGCAGGGGCCTGCTGCTGCTGGGTGTTGAGCTCCGGGTCCAAACGCCCTCACGTCCCCGTCGCCCTGTCGCCCGCACTCGAGGACTGCGAAATCCGAATCCAAATCCGAAATCGTTGCTCGTCGCTCGCATCGCAGGTTGTGGCTATGGCGGCCTCGGCAGTGGTGTCGCCACTGAGCGCGCAGGTGAAGCTCGCGAACACCTTCGCCACGGGCACGGCTCTGAGACCGGGCTTCAATGGCAGCAGCAGCGTGAGCGTCGCGGCGCCAGGAAGCGTGCGCGTGGTGGCGCTCAAGAAGCTGCTGGGCAAAGTGGTGACCAACACCAACGACAAGAGCGTGACCGTGGAGGTGTCGAGGATCGCCCCGCACTCCAAGTACAAGAAGCGCGTGAGATCCGCCAAGAACTACATCGTCCATGATCCCGAGAACCGGTGCAAGATTGGCGACGTCGTCACTCTCGCCAAGTGCGCCCCGGTCAGCAAGCGCAAGACCTTCGTGGTTCTGGAGGTGCGTTCCGGTCAGGAGGCCGAGATGGAGCTGAGCCAAGCTCTGGAGATTCCCTTCGAGTCTGCTGTGGCCGCTTGATTCCTCCCTTCCCCCTCTCTGTAGTCTTAAAAATTCTTTTACTGTCGTAGGTAGGAACATTCTAGGTTTTGACAATCCCCGCAAACCTCACTCTTGGTCGGGCAAAGCGAATTCAAGCGAAACTCACTGTAAAACGCACGGCTGCTGCCAAGCTTGGCCTGTCGCTTCAGTAATGATATGAAAATCAATGCTCTTTCACGCTCTTTTTATCTCTGTCATGTTCTCCCATCTCCATGGCTACGGAATGTTACAGTTCGCTTTCGTGTAGACGTGTTTCCATTTCTTCTTCGCGAAAATGATATCATAGCTGAAATTGCCATGTCTAAAAAAAGTCGCGGAGCTGTGCCACACTTGAATTGGATGTATGCGACTTCGCTTCAGTAATGATATGATGATCATTGCTCTTTCACGCTCATTTCAGTTCAGTCATGTTCTCCCCCTCCATGGCTACGCAATGTTGCAGTTCGCTTTCGTGTAGACGCGGTTCCTGCCTGTTTCTCGAAGGAATGAGATGTCATAGCTGAAATTGCCATGTCTGAAAAGAAGTCCGGGAGCTGTTCGACACTTGAATTGGATGTATGCGACTTCGAAGCAATTGTCACGTTGCGTGAAAATCGCTGTGCCTCTTTGAGTCTGTCCGTCTCGTCTTGCACTTGGAAAGGGGCTTTTAAAATTTGAATCTTGCTCTCTATCTAATAGAGCATTGAGCTTCGGCGGAAGAGACTAGTTTGTAAAATTCTAGTAAATTCTCAGTCACACATGTTTGGAGCTTAGTATGCGGCTTGAACTGAAGCAGAAGATCAATTCGGTGATGCGGTTCAGTCCTCAGAGAAATTAGTACTTCCAATATTCATTGATAACCGTTTGTTGACATTCTCTGTTGTGATTCTGTCGACTTTCTTTTGTGTTTGGAAGTTCTTTGGAAGTTATGATGAATGAGTACGGTGTGTTTTTCTCTTCCGGAGGCGCGGACTGGTATTCTGAATTGATTGAGTTGTTGACTTCTCTTCAACAACTGTTCCAAAACTTGGAACGAAAGATTGTGCGTTCCTTCACTGTATCCAGATTTGGGCCTGGCCATAGGATTTCTAAATGCACTGTGCCCCATGGCGAAACCGGTTTGGTATCGAATTGCACCTATCCAGGCTCCGCTCCAGTCAGATACCAAAGCCCTCCACAATTTTCTCACGCATCCTCCGACAAAGCGCTCAATTCTAGAAGTTTAACGCCGAAATGTGAAAGAAAATCGATGTGATGAAATCTACATCCAACCCTTCACGCATGGAACTCACGAAGGATCGTAAATAGGATAAACGCTCCGAAATACTTTTCCACATCCGAAAGGCTCAAATTACTGACGGGCATAATTGTGACTTTAGACAGCGAACATTCGAATTGACATGCTATCTACAGGTTTCTCAAACTCAAGAAATGGAAATCATGTTTCAGAATTAGGCTAGCCTTTAAAATAAATGGTCCGCTCTAGCACTTGGAATGCCGCGGGTTCGCAACCAGCACGGGATGATTCGTCGATTCATGGAACTAGTGACACAGTGGAAGCTAAAGTCGATCTCTGGACTATACGGTAGTTGTAGCTCTGCTGTTTCCGCTGACTGCTTGATGTTTTTACTCGTAGCACTTGATGCACTTAAGTCTTCTCTCATGAATTCCCTCAAGACTGTAATCTCCATGAGATCAAACCCAGAAATCCTTCCTAGTAGATGAACTTTATTCCCCAAGGGACTTGAATCAACATCTGGAGAAAATTCTTCTACAATCGACATGTGGAATACGAGGAGCATTGGTGGTCTAGTAAAGGCAGGCTCAACCCAGAAAACAATAGTTAGGACCACGGTTACAGAAGTAGATCAGTGCTACAAAAATTATCATCTCATCTTCAAACACATTCCGAATCAGAAGATCCAAGTCTTCGTTTTGAGCTCCGTTTACATCACTGCCCATGTGCAATAGACAATCACATTCGACTTGTTTCTAGCGTGCAGATGGAAGCAAACTCCTTCTCAAAAGGAAGCGAAAGCGGGATAAAAACCTAAACCTCATCTTGGATTGATCGTCAGTCCTGAACCTTTTTCCTCTCTACGCGCTTACTTGCACTCCAACTCATTCAGATTCACTCAGCCCCCTGCGCTTTGACTTCCCTCACACATTCCATCTGTCTCGCAAACCACCAGCTCGTCCTGTGCCTGAACTCGAAGTCCTGTTTATCAGCTATTACAGCTGTCACACAGAGCTATGGTGTATGGGCGAGTAACAGTCCGTGTAGAGCTTCCCAAGCTTCGTCCTGCCCCAGACTGAAAGACCGACTCGACTCTTCATGGAGCTCGCTACGCTAGTTTGGACCGGGATGCTCAAGAGTCTTGGTCAGCATGCACTGAGGACCGTAATAATTCGCTGCAGAGGTTCTGTAACCGTATCGTTGGGCGAGGTCTGTCTGGTCTTGGAATCAGAGTGTGTGTGCATCGCGAACGAGATCCAGGTTCTCTCGGGTTCCGCAGCCCACAGGACATTCCGTGCGTCTGCGAGTCGCACGGACAGGTGATGTCGACTTCGATTCGATGCGACGTGCCGATCGAGGAGAGGCAGAAGGTTTCGAGCCGGTGTTCGGCATCTGCTCCGCGTGCGAACGCCATAAATCGTTAGAAAAATAGACAAGTCGGTCGGTACATTTATGAAGGATCACGACTAGGAGGAGGGATCCATCGATCGGAGGGTTGATTGGTCGGTCGTTGGGACCTCTGATTCAGCCCTCAGCCCACAATCGCAAGCAGTGCTGCAGTGGTCGGTTCTGTACTCTGAAGCAGCGATCAAACATAAGATTCAATAGATTGCATTTCGGCTGCGGCGAGCGTTTGATCCTATTTCCTTGCGAGCGATCTGGTGACGAAATGCCAGCAGTCGTACGAGAGCCTCTCCCGGCTCGTAAATGGCCCCAACCATTCGCTTGTGCAAGGCCGACACGGTCGGCGCAAAGATTCATGCTCTGTTCCAAGACTGGTGCGTCTCGTCTGCCCGAGAGGAGAAGTGTGAGGAGAAGGCGCAGAGAGAGAGAGAGAGATTCGCATACAAACAGATGCAGCAGGCATTCACGCTGCAAAGAGGGAGACGGAGGCAGAGACGCATGAAAGAAATGGCGAAGCGCACGGCCGAGTGTTTGGACGAGACGTGCTTTCTTCTCTTTTGATTCAAAGGGATATGGACGAATGAACAAGTGCTACCAAGACAAGAGCCGACGAAGTCTGAGAAACGCGTAACTCGGACTCGTCTCGTCTAATATCTGTCTGCAAGAGCTGACTGCTCCCATAGCTGTCGGAGCGATGCACGAGAGCCCTCAGCCACCCACGGAGTATTCTATTCGCCACGGACGGGGTGGGCATCATTCTTGTGTCGATCGTCCATCGCGCTCCACTTCAACTCGCCTAGAAGAGATTCAGGCTCTTATCTGTCGAAATCGACTCCTGCTGGAGCTTCAGTCAGTGGGCACTTCCTAATCAGCCGACTCATTTCTTCTGCTGTGCTGGGACGATTTATGTACACCGAACGACAATTCGTCGTCTCTCGAAGATCGTATTTACAGTAAATGAACTTGAGAAAAAATGACCCACCCTCCGGATCCACAGTCCGTGAACGACTTACTCTAACACGCACCGTAAATAAACAATTCCTTCCTTCCTTAACGTGATCTAGCTATACAGCGGGAGAGGTGTCGGAGGTTTCACATCAACCTTGTAGACCTATGGAGGAAGATCCTTTTTGGTGTTTTCCTATTTGGTGCCGTAAGCGAATTTATGTTACAGAATGAATGGCAAAATCGTGTAGAATCCAATGGCTGCTGCTGACTACATCACATCCCCTAGCGGGAGATGGCAGATGAGAGCGCACTGAAGCACCGTGACAGCACGGAGGGAGATTTGACAGACTCCTGATCCCCTGCCACTGCAACCCAATCGCCGTCGAAATAAACGTCTTCCTCAGTAGATTCGTCAGTGGCAGAGGCAGCCGAGGCGGCATCGTCCCACCACATGTCGAGTTCGAGTTCGTCTTCGTCTTCTCCTCGGCGTCCTGCTCGCACCGATCCACTGCTGAGCTCGTCGGCGGAAACCTCGAACACCGGAGACGAGGAATTCAGCTTCCGGGTGTCGAGCATGGAAATCCTACAGCTCTCGTCTCGAGCTACGACTTCGTAGTCCCGGAACATCAGATCCTCGACGGCCGAGAATGCGCCTGCGCTCGACGTCGTGCCGCCGGCTGCTGCGCTCATGGCTCTCGAGTCCCACAGCGAGACGCAGCAGCTCGTGCAGTCGTCTCGCGACCTTCCGGCCGTGACGACCCATCCGTCGTGCTGCGACCGCTCCGCAGCGGTCACGCGCACGGTCCCGCCAGCAGGACCACGCGACGAGGTCACGCACTGCGCCCTGGCCAGATCCCACAACGAGAGCTCGCCGCTCGAGCTGCCGGTCACGCCCATCTGCCTGCGCCAGTCGACGTCCAGCGACGAGACGAACGCGGCGGGCGACGACGGTCGCGCGGGGAGCGCCCCCACAGCGAGCCGCGACGAATTGTCCCACAACTTCACCACATTGTTCCTCAGAGTAGCGGTATGCGCCGCGCCCGCGACGACGCCCGACGGGAAGACGAATTCCCGCGACCGGCTCGTCGTCGTCGGCCCTCGGCGGCACTCTTCGGGCCCTGCCAGGCGCAGGGTCAGGGCCGCGTCCCAGGGGTGATGGTGGTAGTAGTAGTCCCCGGACGGGACTGTCCTCTCGCGCTGGTGGTGCGCGGTAGCAGGGACCGAGGACGCGATCCTCGCGAGTTCCAGCGGCTCCAGCAGGCTCCAGGCCCATTCGGGGACCGGCGAGTTCCGGCGCCACGAGGGTTGCGACTCGCCTGCTGCAGCGAGCGCCCGGCGCGCGCCGAGTTGCCATTCGGCGGGGTAGTCGCTTGCGGCGAGGGCGCGACGCGAGAGGGCGTCGCGCGGGACGAGCGCAAGCGCAAGCGAGCTGCTGCAGCAGCTGAAGGACGTGCAGCAGAGCGCCTCGCGGTAGCTCTTCTTCTTCGTCGTGGCGGACGAGGAGGAAGCTCGCGCCAGGGTGCCCGTGGAGAAGATGGAGGTCGTGTTGTTGTAGATGAACACCATCTCCGTGCCCACAATGCAGCCGGCTTTGGACGGCCCGGGCGGCATGGCGACCGAGGGAGCGGCGGGGAAGCTGCAATCCGAAGGCTTCTCGGCTTCTTCGTCGACGAGCTCGGCAGTGAACTCGCCGCTCGTGGTCACGAAGCAATTGGAGCCATTGGTGGAGGTGAAGGACTGCAATCGGACCTTCAATCTTCCCCTCCTCCCGAAAATGTACCACAGATTGGTATACGTGAAGGCGAAGCTGAAGCGCCTCACTCCCTTCATGGCGCTCACCACCACCATCACGGCGCAAGCCATCGTGGCGATGATCATCGACCACGTGTAATCGCTCGCCAGCGCCGCTGCTGCCGTCGTCGCTCCCACTCCTCCCCCCATGGTTCCCACATCGATCACTGGCTTAGGCACCAGCAACCCCGGCTCCCCGGGCATCATCAGCTCCGGCATTGTCTACAAATTCTTCGATTCCCTTCCAATCTCGACAGCAGCTCTCTCTCCCTGTCCCTCTCAATCACTCTCCTTCCCGTCGGTTCTGTCTCGCCCCCGTCGACGGGAAACTGTCAACACACTCTCATCCTTCGAGCCTAGAGAGTCCTAGATATCACCAGCAGATCACTCCTCTCTGATTCCCTCCCACTCCGACTCTCGTGCAAACCTGTAATCTGATAATCAACCTGCCTGCCTGCTTGCCTGCCTGTCTATTTATCTATCTATCTATCTGTCCGTCTGGGCTGCAAACGAACGACTAAGGAAGAGAATTGATTGCTCGGTTGAAAGAACAATAAAGTCGATGATCACGAATTGAAAGAAAGAATGGATGAAAGAATGAATGAATGAATTGATTGAAGTCGTTTTCTCCTCCTCTGGCTGTCGAGTGGAAATCGAGGCAGTCACTGACTGCACCCCCGGGTCGTGACAGTCTTGGCAAAACAACGCAGCAGCTCGGACGAAGCACGGGACGAAGGAATTCGAAGGGATACTACTTCCTGAGGCGGTCGGAGAAGGAGCAATTGGACTCGGCGAGCTGCGCTTTAAAGCTGCTGCTGCGAGCTTCGGCTTCGGGTTCGCGACCTCGTCCCCGTCCTTTTGTGCCTCTGCCTGCCAGCCAGCCAGCGATGCCCTGCCCGGCCTTCCGCCCCCTTGACCTCGAACGCAGTCTCCGCGCAGCAGCGCCTCGAGGCTCCAGGTCACGCACTCACTGTTCGGTTCGGTCCGGGCGCCTTGTGACCGGGGGGTTTATGGACCTATGGACCTCTGGACCCCTGGGGTGTAATTATAGGTTTGCTGTCCCAGGGGGGAGGAGTAGCCCTCACAGTTGGGAATAGCAGCCGCTGATGGGCATGTTTCATGTGGTGCTATGACAAGGGATCCATGTGAATGTGCATGTGGCTATGTATGTTCATGTGGTTATCATGTATGGGGAGACGGCCCAATGCCTGGTCCTCTCTCTATGATGTGATGGGATGGTCTGGTCTGGTCGTACTCGTTCGGTCTCCGCCGTCGTCTTTGCCGTCGTCGCCGTCGTGCAGGAACATGTCATGCCCGGACCTGAATTCTCTCGAACTCCTGCTTGCGGAACGAATGTCAAAAATTCACTACTTGATGTGATTTCATATTCCGCCGACTGGATCATTGATTCGTGGAGGAAGAGGAAATTTCCTGGTACAGATTTCGTGTCTGTCAAGTCACTTTGTAGAAAATGGACGACGAGAAATTACGGTTCAGCTGCCTCTGCGCGTTCCTTTCCCAATAATGAACGAATAGATGTGTAAAAAAATAGAAAGTCTGAATTATAATATGAGCCCTCTCCCAACATTATGTAATATACAAAAAACTCCGAAGGAGTGTATGAATGGCATCTTCACGTTCAACCCTTCCTGACCTCATAGTTTTTATGGAGTACATGTTTTGAGCATGTGACGATCGGGTGCCAGATTCACGCACTTGGCCTCCCCTTTGACCGAGACATTGTGACATGGTCGAGGGCTGAGATGGGAGGCAGAAAAGCAAATGCTTTATCGACTTCTGAGAGAGAGATGAATGAAAACTTCTGGTTGACAGTCTTCTAGAGAGACCTCAGGCTTCATGGAAAAATGTCTTACAATCAATCGATGCTATCGACATAGCCATCTTTTCTCTGAGAGTGTGTGTTAGGCTCTATGTACGTAAAAAACATTTGCTCAAGAACATGGGCAGCTTGCTCACATGGGCTGCGTACTGTACTCCCACATTGAGTTTTGCCCTCTAGTCCGTACATATGTACGCCGCATTTCGGTTTGTGAAGTATGTATTATTTATTAGTTAATCCAGTGTATCTATTCTGTGGAAATCTATCATTATCCGCAGAACGGACAGGGATATCGGTCACCTACTAGGGGGTGGAAGTAATCATGGCTGCCCTTGCTATCCAGAGAAAATTGCGCATAATCATAAATCCCCTGTGTTCTTATTTCAGTGCTGAGAGGTGTCTTCTGTTCCAGAAGAAATTGAAGAACAGACAGAAAATCAGAACCTCCAACATGACCTTCTCATTTGTCGTTTTGAGAGAAGATGTCAGATGTGTTGCCCTTGCACAGTGACGTGTACCTATCCCAACCCGTATTCTAATAAAATCTCTAGAAGTCTGGGACCACCACTCTCCAAATTAGTCCTCCATTAGCTATGAAATCAACTGTTGTGAACCTCAGGGATATGGAAAAACACTACTACTGGACTCATACTATTGCATCTTCTCGCAACTTTCTAGACGAGAAATCGAGCTTTGATATATGCGAGGCACTTCACTACACTTCACTACATTCCGACCGAAGTAGCTATTTTGCATCTCATTGTGAGAACGAGAAGTTGGGCTTCTCGATTGGCCTATAACATTTTAATGGATGATCTCGAGACAACGAAAGACTTTCTCTCCTTGTAACTAAGGGCCACGTCTCGGGAGAATCCTGCAGTAGTTCGTTGTACTTATCAAACCCATGGAATTGCGGTACATCAGAATAATTTACTTAATTCCTCTACTTTATTTTCATGACCGCTTAGAAACATTACTTCTTGTCAAATTCAAAACTCTTGACAAATGGTCCTCCGAGTAAGATACTTATACCCTGTTCATGATTCTCACCTTCCATAAAAGGGCACACAAACAATTAAGTAACCACTGACTTTTCGGATTTTATGTCCACCGACCTGCAAGCATGTGTATTCCTTCTTCACGTCTAGTATATCCCAATTTTTTCTCTTTCTCCTAAAAGTAGACGAGGTACAGAAGTCGTTCCCTAGGTTTCATAAACACACAACATCCATTCACATCTGTAGATTCTGCGGAACACTCGCAAGCATGCAAGTGCCTACGAAAAGCCATAACTACTGTACCCAGTATTGATGACTAGCGATGAGTACAAGCTACATTCTCAATCTTCCATCCGAGCATACTATAAAAAATTATTTCGACATCAAAATAAATTTTTTCTTAAAAAAGGAGTCCTGATTATACGAGTTGACAACGGAGCAACGTTGGTAGACCAGGACACCTTTCAGTAGACTAAGGTCCATTCATGCCCAGATGGAGATGATTTTCGGTCAGAACCAGGACAACTTGTGCTATCAGAAACTTTTTTTCTGGGTTGGAATAGGAAGCATGAGACCTCCGGGTCACAAAGGACTGAAAGCGAGGGAAGGTGACATTCACTCTCATGAACATTAAATTAAAGTGTGTGTACAGTTGTAGTTTGTCAAGGTTTATGTTGGAATGTGCTCGTATTGCAAGGCAATGATAGGAGAGTTGGCCCCACCTGCTCTGAGAACCCACATGGATAACAGATCGTGACTGCATTGGATTTTATCGCAGCTAGAGAAGCTCTCAGGCATTACGCTTTCTTCCTGATGGAGGGGAGAGCTTGGGTCACCTTTTCGTCATGCTCTTGAATTTTCCTTCCTTCACTCCTTCACTGCCTGCTCTCTTCTACACAGGCACCGATCTTGTAGGTCTTATCATCTTGCAATACATCATGTCATAGAGGGATGCTCTCCCCGAATCCTCCTTATCATGTCTCTTAACATTAATAAATGTGCCGCAGGCCAAATGCAAGACAAATAAATTTCTCGTGAGTTGATTTTCTCTTCTCTTTCAGTACTGTAACCATAAGAAAGTTGCACTTTCCGCTGTAATATACTATATCTAGTACTGTACATGACGAACATTGAATATTGTCCAGACCGGTTCAAGTCCTCGTTGTTCGCCGTTACAGCGTGTTTATGGGGAGTACTCATCTCATGGACATTACACTCATTGTCATTATTGGCATGGCATGGCCTTCGATCTGAACTCATACAATCATTTGCATCATGCACACAGTGGGTGGAATAAGTTCCAATGGAAGAGGTCTTGGCATTTGTAAGGCGTTCGAGCATGGATCGGTGTTTTCTGGGGAGTTCAGGACTCGGTGCTTTATGGCAGCCGCAGCTTAATAGCTTAAGATAGACCTGGAGAGGTCGGAATCTGCTCGAGTTTGTTTGGAAATAGCAAGGAGCAGAGGATCCCATAGATACCTGGCGGAAACATGATGCCGATCCGTATTACGACTCCACCACTGCATGGAACACGAGCCGGCCAGAACTCTCGAATCCTGCTGAATATCCACATCTAAGATGCATTCCTACTCTCTTCGGCTACCCAATTTTTTTCCCCCTTTCTGGTTCTAATTTCATGTGCCAGGAATAGAAGGAAAGTGGATGAAGATGAGCGATTAGCATACATTAGCATACGCGTCTTAAGCAATTGCCTCAGCTGCTTCAATTCTGACTGCTTAGTACGACTTGATAAGGTTCATGGCGGCATCGAGGTGAGGTTTTCGGCCAGGCCCACCTCAAACATTGCAACAGCGACCTGTGAAATCCTGTTCGTCGACCGGGACAGATATGGACGAGGAAATTCGAACGATGTCGACTTTATTGGGACATGTCCTTCAGTGGTCCTGGTCCGTAGCCTGGGAGCCGGCCATCTCGCTCGTTATAAAATATCATTGCTGTTGGGACCCAACAGAACGACGAGGAGGGCTGTGTGGAGGCAGTTGATGGAGTCCTCGCATGGCCCAACACAATTGTGGTCAGCGTCATTTTGTTTCTGTCCAGTCTGAGAATTCATGGTGACCACCAAATCACCTCCGACGACGGAAAGGGATCCACTTCCGCTTTGACGATTGCTCCCAGCTGCCCATGATTTGGCATGACCACTAAGGTGGACCATTTTCCAAGTGCGTCAAGGGTTGCTCTCAAAATCAAAAGTTCGTTGTCTTCTTTCGTATCTGTCTATCAGCTTCGGAGCAGAAGATTGTACGCTACAGCTTCGATCTGTGGAAATTATTCAATTCAGGTCATTGACTGGTTCTGCCATCGTAAAAAACCTCTTGTTTTTGTAAACATAAATAATGGAAATGGAAAGCCATGGAAATATTGGCTCCATTTTTATCCATTTTTAAAAAATTCTTTTGCACAAATGTTTTTTAAGAGATGCTTTATAAGTACCTTGTATAGCTTCTTCAATTTGTTGATTAAAAAGAACATGCCAGCTGTTGTACAAATATAAGTACTAATTATTTTTCTAAGTTGGTAATGTTCTTCTGTAGCTGGTCTTGAATCTTGGAGAAGGCAAAGAGCTCAACTTCGTCGTGAGGACTTTTCAGTCGGACACTTTCGGATTTTTGCTTCTCCTCGTTCGAGACGGTGGTTGCATATGTGAGAGCAGCAACGTTTGTTTGCTCAAATGCACATGTAGGTCTCGAGAGTGAAATAAATATTGAAAGTAAAGCTTTTTATCTTTAGAATTGTGCTGCTAAATTGAACTTTTAAGGTCTCTCTTGGCTCCTTTGTAAAAAATTTCTGTAGTCATCATTCTCGGGATACATTTTTTTGACATATTTTCCATAGATTCACGAAATAATTGCCATATTGGACGTACGGAGTTTCATTTTCTCTAATTTATTGAATGATCTATTTTAGTCAAATGCAGTTATGTAAAAGATCAATTACCTAATGCGATTGATTTCTTAGGTGAGTATTCTTGTATACTCACGTATATGTACATTACTTTCCTTAAAGAGTTATCATATCTTCAATACAATACATATTTTGAATTGTGATGTTATTCGACCCTAGCAAATTGTAAGGTATGACTTCACGGGGGTTTACCATTCCATAGCAATATTACATGGCAAGTTTTTAAAAAAGTTACATGATTCTCATTCTTCTTCTGGCTTCGATATTTACCTATGACTGACAAAATATGTTCACCTTCGACTTTCGAGTCTGGACACTTAATGTAAGTGTCCAGAGAAAGATGACTTTTTGTGATTTAAATGTTTTTACCATTCGAAAGAGAAGTTATGACGTAACTTCTTTCTCTACCAAACTTGGGGGAGAATCTCCTTATATATTCACTCGGCATCTGGAAGGAATGTCCATCGCTGGACTTAACGATCACCGCTAGAGCAGAGCTACTATTTGTCTTCAAATATCGTTGTGGTTGTAAACATCGTGTTAGCACAATGTGGTATCCTGAATATGTGCTGAATATGCTAACGAGAAAGTGCATGGATCAGAAGGCAAGCTAATCAAGAGCCGTCGGGATCCAGAGTTGTTACAACATCCGATGCAGGCTAAACTGAAGTGAAGCAGATGGACACCCATACATCACCACAACATGCAGATGCTGCATGGGTATGCCGAACAGCAGCTTACTCCAAAAGCTAAGATCCAATTTAGCTGGGGATGCATCCTCTGAGCATCGTTGGCACGAGGATAAGCCACAGATTCCTCCACAGGACCACTCAGTGACAAAACCAAGACGCTAGACTCAGAAATGACGGTTTGGTCTCTCACGTCATTCTTAGACACAGTCAATCGGGAACCACCATGAAGTGGCTGCAACCGGATTAGCAGTGGAGTGGGTCCACAATGAGCTTTTAAAGACTGCCAAATTTGTCATCCAACGGTCTGGGAAGGGGGTGCTATTTATATTGCATAGTAATATTCCCAAGAGCATCAGGATGCTTCCAAGGCACCCTGGCTAAGCTGCTGACTCATTCGATGAAGGAACCGAGGTCTGAGTCACATCCTCACCCATCGTTAGGCGTTTCAACCCTTTTGGAAAGAGAATGATGACGGCCAGAAACCAGATTTTACCATTCCTCAAACGGGGAAGCTGACTCCCTGCCTGCTAGCTAGAATCGTATGTACCCGGTTTGATTCGACGTGTATTTTTCGAAGAGATGGGCCCGTGCTTGTTGAGCACTTTCTCATTTTTGAACCAGGCATACAAGCAGAGCAAAACTTAGAGGAGTAGCTCGGAAGAGTCACGTACTTGTAGATGTGCGAGGTCAAATCACTGCTAGTCTTGCTAGAGGGAGAGAGATCTGAGAACTGTGCTTGTGGATGCTGCATAAGAATTCGTGAAGCGAGCAAGTCTGCAGAGCATGGGAGGAGTCAAGTCCAGTTCAGCTCTGTATCGGTCCGTCCGTCATCGATAAGGTCAGATGAGAGTAAGTACGAAGGAAGGTCAAAATTAGCATGGAACTTATCAGGATCCATGGGTCAAGCTTAACTTGCTTCGTCTGAACCGCCTCTGCCAGCCAGCAGTGGTTAACGTTACCCTGCCAGCAGCACTTAATTCTGACTGCACACTACAGCGAGACAGAGGCTCGCTGTCTGGGACAATCACTTGATTTACTCGACCCCTCTACAATGCAATTTCACGTCGTTGCTCCTTGAGATGTAAAAGTCACTTGGTTCCTCGGGCTATGGAGACGATGAGCAAGACTGATGACGTGAGAGTCGAGTTCTAATTCTCTTTGCAGCAGAGTTTAGACCCAGGTTTCGCCTTCGAGGGGTGGATGGAGTATTCCTATCCTTTGTGCTAAAATTATTTGGCTCCCTGTCGTTTGAAGGAGGTAGGGGTTGACGTCGTTCTGGAAACTTTTCAACTGAATGACTTCTCGCCGTGCTGTGACGCAAGGCCCGCGGTAGATTCAGATTCTAGCTTGTCAAGGAGGACAAAATAATATTTGCCATCTGAAGGTATGAGCAAGTGAGTTGCTGGGAGTAGATTCCACCCATGGGTCATGGATCGATGACGAGCTCGAGACGGAAGGGAAGGGTGAGGAAAGTCCACTCGGGCAAAAGTGGAGGAAAGGAGGATCACGGCAAGCCAAATTCCCAAAGAAGCGAAGCGAAGGGAAGGGATGGCAAGCCCATTCATTCATTCATTCGTGTGGACAAGCAGGAGCATTAAAGACGCGAGATGAGAGCTGAGGTGGACTGGAATAGTCTCGTGCTCTCTAGCAGGATCTTTTCCCTCTAGACTTGATAAGATGACAAAGGTCTACGAGGAAGCATCTCCCGCTCGAGAAGCTGCTAGCTCAGCTCAGCTCTCTCCCCTCCCTCTTTCTTCTCCCTCACTCATGCCCCTCCCTCGTCCACTTCCTTTCCTCAGCAATTGCCACACCCTTCCACCGCTTCAAACGATGCCGGACAATTGGATAGATAGATAGATAGTACACCGATAATGGCCATGAGCATTTTACGTGTTCAGGTTTCTCTGCATCCTCCTTGGACTTGAGGCACACTCACAGGCTGGGACAACAGTTGATCCTGCGGTTTCTCACGACCCTCTCTCTCTCTCTCTCTGTGTCCAATCCCGAAGGATGGTCGTCTGTGAGACAAGCATAAAATCTACCCAGAGATTCTTCTCGAAATTTGCACCGAGAAAAACATAAAAAATCTGCGCCTAATTCATCACTCCTCGAAACGTGACCGCTTAATCGATCGATTGATTATGGTCAGTCATTGGATCTTACCATGGCCACGAACCCACCAGCACGAGACGACACAAACGAGCAGGATCATCGAGGCCAGCGGGAACTATCGTTCTCGGGGTTCGGACCCACCCTCGGCCCTCTGGACCGCAGGATTAGTCTTCCTGACCATGGTTAGTGAGCCAGAGTGAAATCAAAAGTGCACGTCCTGTTGGCTCATGGTCGACGCTCGTGCGGCCCAGAACTCGGTAGATGACCGAAGTACAGCCGGACCACGTGTTTGAACGGCGTAGAGCTCAGCCGATCCGGTCGACTGGCACCGTATCTGGGGCTCACCGGGTAACCACCGCATCTGCATCGGCATATTCCCGCTGCGAACGCTACTCCGGTTAGGGAATCTCTTTGTCCGTCCGGGATATTCGTCCACCAACCACCGCTTCGTCGCGCGCGTCCTGGGTCCCGGCTGACCCCACGGTCCAGCGGGTCTATTGTCCGTCGGTTCCGATGCGGGACCGTGCCGTGGTCCTTTAGGGCCTTTACGATATGCGAGACGCAACTTGAAGCCGCAAGCTAACGATGGTATGACGTCTCTCATCCATGTCTTCGCTCACATCCATATTGGTGATGCCATGATGCCCTACCACCTTTTGTGTTTCCTAATGGGTCATGGCGATTCACATCCATCCATCCATCCATCTTCCCTTCGATTTCGCGGTGATCTAGATCTTCGGCACGACTGGTCCAAAATTATTTACCTTTTATTTTCCCAAACGACGTCAGACATAGTTACAACCGTACTGTAAATGGCCAGCAATTTTTAAAAAAAAACTATCTCGTATATGCCGGGGATTACAGCGGAATGCCCTACTTGACGTAGTTCTATTTCTGCAGGTGCAGATCGATGATTTAGATTTCGTTAAAGTAATGCTTTACAGTACTACTCTTATCGTTATTCTACCTTTTGTGTACAAATTCCGAACTCGATTAATAAAATGTGGATTACGGCAATATAATAATAAGGAATTATCGTGATCGGACAAAACGCAGTGAAACGTATATTGTATAGCAGAAGTATTTACGTCATGACGTGTCAAGGTGTCGTGCTATGCAATGTACAGTACAACACCATGCGCAAAACATGAGGTTCTTGTGCGAACGAGCAGCCAGCCGGTGTGCGGAAATGACTGGGTCGAGCCAGTCAACTGCGCCGGTGGTGGTAGAGACCGGAGTCGGGACGCGATCGACCGACCGAGCCGCCGACGAGAATCCAGGTCACGCCATGTAGGAGCCACGTCAGACTGCGAGATGGGAAGATCCGCGAAGGCCACGAATTGGCATCCATCGGCGTCTGCACTTTCCTCTATCGCCCGAAAAGGTCCATCTGCCACTACAGAACCTCTGTCGGAGTCGACGTGGATGCTATGGTGAGAAGTTGCTCTACGCGGTTCTCGGAGGACGAAGCACCCAGCCACGTGTCATGTCTGACTGGGACAGAGGAAAACCGTCCCTCTGAGCTCGGTTACTGTGGTTCGTGCTTACTTCGACCAATCCCTCGATTGTATGGTTTTCTTCGCCTCTTGATGCCCTTCTGACCCCGTGGCATTATCTTCAGCTTCCCAAGTTCTATAACAGGGCCCCTTAGATCTGAATTTATTTTTTCGGTCTTCAAGTGGTTGCCTTCCCAGCGACAGACGGGAATTTTTTTTGGACTTACGTTCACGAAGTAATCTTCGTTAGATCTGGCCTTGTATCTTTGAAAAGGTCCCACTCCGATCCAACTTGTAATTATAATTTGTACTGTTTAGTCCTTCCTTCCTTGGTGAACTTGTTTCGAAATTCGTTACCTCTCCACCGTACAATTATCAGAGATACCTCCATATCTTCATTTTATAGAGAGTTCTTATATCGTGTTTTGTGAAGGATGTGCGCTTTATTACACTTTCGAAGATTACCTATTTCTATGATTCAGAAGTAAAGAATGTTAGATGTAAGTGTATGGTAGCTGACCACAATTTTCCTGAGATTCGAACAAAGATATTGAGCGAGAGGATTATTATATTTTCAAGTATTTACGTTCTTCAAGTAATTTCAAAAGCTTGGTGGGATATCATAATGTACATAACACTTTTACCATTATGACATATTTGCTTTATTTGCAAATAAAGTACTTTTGAAAAATGATTAGAGGGTTGATCGATACCGTTGGACCATCAAAAGATTTGATTTCAGGGAAAGAGCTTTGAATACTTGAAAACATCCAGGATCTATCAAGCAGTTCCATCCATTAACGGACCACTTTGTTCTTCATAGTTTAATGCTTACGAGGCCCACTTCTGACTCCTGATTTTGTAAGGTTTCCTTCTAGTAACTAATCCATCACTTTGCGCTGTCACAAGAAACCTGATTCTAGGATTTTAATCACTAAAAAAATCCCTTATGTGACATATGACTCGGCGAAAAATGTTGATAAAATGCATCAAGGACTCATGACTGAACAAAAATGTGATTCGCCACAATTTGAAATGCCAACATGTAATCTTCCAGGTAAACTTTTTTGATGAGTCTGGAATCCAGACTATGGATTTTCCATGTCATAGGCTTAACTCGATATGATGCTTTTTTGAGAATCACCGTGTGTAGCCAGAATGATGCTCATGGCAGAAAAAAATCTTTCATTTTACTGGACCGTTCAGTCTGGTGTTTCTGAAGTTTTCCAGCAAGCTATTCGTTTCATCAACTGAGACCATCTGGATCAAGAGATATAACTAGAAATTGAAATAGTACTCCATCAGTTGAACAGAAGCACGGGGATCAAGATCTAACGAATATATTCTGCAAAGCCATGACAAGGTTCTAAGATTGTGGCTAAACAAGAACAACTCACTGGGTCTGAGTTCCACGTATGCTACTAGTGACTGCAGTTTGGTCAGAGGATCTACCAATATCCGTCTATTTTCTGCCAATAAGAGCGGGTGGAAGTCGACTGCCACTCCCCAGTTGCGAAAAGACTATAAATTTTATTTGAGAACCTACAATACCAGGTGACAAGGGTATCATGTTATTCTTAATTATTGTGCAATACACGATTCAAATTATTTGCACTATTTAAAAAGTATCACTAGTGAATACATAATTAGTGTTATAAATTAAAAATTAAACCATGCTAGGTGATGATTATTTGGAGATTCCACCTTGTATAGGTTTGATCTAGATATTTTGGATATCTTAGATTCATTCTGACATATTTTCACAATAAAATATCAGCCATTTGTTTTCAATCCTCGATGGCTTGATGGGCCTTCCCCTGCTTGAAGCCATGTACTTGGCCTCCCTTCTTCAATAGACTCATCTCAGTCTGTAGATTATCTATGTTACAATATCAATTTAAATCTGCAGTCCTTTCATGATCTCCTTGTATATGCAAAATTCAACTCTGATTTGACATCCGAGATCTCGCTTATGTAAGCTCGTAGAACATTCTATAAGTGAATCTTCATGCTCTATTGCTCTTCTAAAGGTTCTGCTTAACCGAAAACCTGGAAGACTTCAACAATCGAAGCCACTACCAACATGTTGCACTACGAGAGAGTCGATTGTACTTGGTGAGTAGAAAATTGAAGTTTGTTTCAAAGTTGGTGATTTTGGAATTGGTTAAGAAGGTAAGGGCTGTGTCCAGAGCATGCTTGATCATGGTCATATGATCATAGTTTCTGTACTTGGGATTAGTCCGAAGATCACTCTCTTCAGGATCACTCCGAGGCAGTACAGAGGTAAGTGAGGTGCTAAGACTTTCGCTGCATCGTGAGCAACGATGCTGACGCGAAGACATGATTATGGTTCTGGCAGATGCTCTCAAAAGCGTTTTTCTCCCATGACTTCCTTTACGATTGGACAACAGAATTGGTGACCAGAAGTCTTCGTTCTTACGTTCGAGTCTTGGGGAATATATTTGAGATGATTGGTGCAGTGATCACAGTGTGGTAGGACCACGTATCTGCCCTTGCTTCATGAACAAATGATGGAGAGTATGAGGGGCAAGAGCAAGATTGAAAGGAGCAAAAGAGTAGCGACATTCCCTAAACACATGAGTTCCAACGGGCATTGCTGCACGACACGAGAACACATGCCAGATGTGGAGTTGAATTAGTCCTTCTGGTGACTAAATCACCTGATCACGGTCCTGCATCTTCATGGATGGATGATCGAGGAGGACAAGACTTTATTCTCAATCATGAAGTTACACAGCAGCAGCAGGTTAAGTAATAAAAAATGAGAGCACATGAGCATGTATTGCAATTCGCGCCTTCAATTTTCCACCAGTGCCAAGACGTACTTTTCAACTCATCGCCACAATCGTAGAAAATCTGTTGTCACGAACCAGATTTCATATTCTATTACGTAAGAGCGGTCAGACAGGCTTCCGAGATAAGTACGTCACTCTGTCGAATATTGGAGGTCCAGAGAGAGAATCCTTGAGGTCCGAACCGATAATCCAACCTGATGCAAAATTGTATCATTCAATGGGTTGAAACTTGTCCGACAAGAAACCTCTTGCTGCCATAAAGGAACACAAGGCTGTACAAACGAGCCTCTCTCGAGAGAGGACGAAGTCTAGTGATCGATCAATCTTCCGTAGGTTTTCGGTGAAAGTCAGCTCAGCTATGTGGCGTTGGTGACATTGGAGCTTTCCTTCGGATCGGCAACCCCACTCTACAGGCCTAGAAAATACGATAAGAACAAACACAATGCGTCGCGCTGATGTAAGAACTCCATCCCCCGCCCAGAAAGACAAGGTTTTAGCTGAAAGGTCTTCCTTCATTTTGTACACTAGTGAGCGGTGCTGTTGTCATTGAACATGGATCCGTGGGTCTCGATGACTGCCACTACCTAACTTCCATCTCATGATAAAGAACCGAGCTGACCTTCGAACTATGTGTGACCGAAATGCCGTCCGCTAGAAGAAGAAGCACAGCCATTTTCACCTATATCAGCAAAAACAGGGACTTTGTTCTTGTAGGGGCATTACGATGAAACACTAGTCTTATCACTTCGAGCTCCAAGTGTTGTCACCTGACGTTGACGATGGATGCGATGGAGTCAATGCGATAAGCCAAACAGTCGTTAACGAGGATATGAAGGAACATTCTTGGAGAACTCAGGGAACCGACGAGTGACCGAAGGAGTCGTAGTCGTAGGAGGAGACGCAGGAACAGACTCCATGAGAAAGTTCCCGGCGCCCCACCAGCTAGAGCTACGGTGGCTTTCTGGAGGACAGACGAAGATCGAGGTGGAAGATGAGTGGCATGACAAGGATGGATGATTGGATTTGCAATTGTGAGTCCAGTTCGGCCCAGCTCGTGTTTGAACTGTAAAGGCCTTGAAATGCTCACGTTCCAGGCTATACTGCAACTTCCCATTTACTTTACTGTACTAAAATGTGATCCATCTTATTGATGAATGACAAAAGTGTACGAGCATTTTGAATGCTTACTATAAACCTCCTCATACGATCTCTATATATCTAAAGTTATATCTATATATATATATTTATATTTATATTTATATTTATATATATTTGGACATGAGTTTGAAGCAGTCCCGATTGTTGTGATTTCGTTGCAGCCGATGGGGTTCTGGGCAAGTTAAACCCCATGTTTACTAAACTCTTGGCATTCCATGTGCTTTAGGAAGAGGCTTTTGAGGTGTGGTCTAGTGTCTAGCTCCAATTGAAGAGGCTGAAAAACTCTCGAGAGCCCGGCCAAAACCTCCAGACCCTCCCTCCCTCTCCAGCTCTGTCATCAAAACTACTGAACTGAGCTGCAAACCATTAGAGTATTGGTTTGACCGAATTCCGAATCGAATTTATCTTCAACTTGTAAGATTGCTAACGAGCTCAACAACGCAAGACAGGGAATGAAGGATGGCAATCGCTCTCAAACAGGTGAGACACTGACCTATGTGATCTGGAGAACTTTGATTGATGTTTCGGGTAAAGTAGTCGGCATCGTGTACCAAGATGATGTGTCTCCAGCTGTGCGGTAGTACGGGACAGAGTGCAGACTGCGTAGTTTACCATTGCCATTACCGTTCAAAGAATGCAGCATGATCATAATCGGTACATGCGAATGGAGCTGCCCTTGCATGCACTTGAAGGTCAGATGTCAGATGATACATGCATTTCCTGTTACCATCCCAGAGTTGATGCGGAACTGATCAAAAGTCCTCCATCGTCTTAGACCTGATGCACAAGTAGCTCGGTGGTCGCTGGAAAAACAATACAGGAGCCTCACTGTACAGCTGCACTTCAAGCTTCATAACCTTAACGAAGATCGTATGATTGATGGTTACATGGAGTACATGCACAATCGGGTGAGCTTACGAGTTAAAAATGAGTATGGTGTAAGATTGACTTTGGCGGTGTAATAATCAGGTACTCTAACAAATCTCACAAAATTTATAATTTTAGTTCTGGATTCTCTTAGAGGTGCATCGAGTATGAAGCAAGCACATGCTGAGATTCTCAGGAGACAGCTGCAGCTCGGTAGACAATTCCTCAGCCTCTGCAACACACATATTCAGAATCTTAGACCCATCAGAACCAAAAATGCATGCAAGATCATCAAACTGAACATGGCTTCTGAGATCTAGACCTAAACTATTCCGGCACCAACACCGAGCGTCATGGATAGCTTTTTCTGCAAACACCATTAATCCAGCAGGATTACGGCTGTAAATGGACATGGCTAACAGATCCCAGGAAAAAAAGGAGCCGGAAAACTCTAGCCTCTTGCTTGACTCGGACATCAAAAGATTTGATGCCTTTGACCCACACATCGAAGACTCTATTCTACTCCATCTTCCATGGCAGCCGAGACAAGTTAGGTCCGTCGTGTCTCCATGCCTGTTCTTCTCTCTCACCCTCCCACGTCGACCCACTTGCTGAATATTGTCTTTTTGGACTGTACCGTTTTCCATCGGGTCTATATTGCATCTGCCTCTGATCCATTAGCTTCAGGCTGCAAGACCGTCATCAGATGGATGATCAAATAATCAGTCTTTCATCGGTGTACCGACTTACCCAATCAGGACACACCGGTAATAAGTTTTATAGTTTTACTCGTGTTCTTTTCTTTCAAAATTAACGGTCGGGACTGTCGGATTTACATTCTAATGGTACGTTTCACATTTACCTACAAATACTTTATTATTGTGTAGGGCAAGGTAAGGAAGTTATAAGCTAGTAATTGAAGTGTACGAAGATGAGAAACGGATGTAACCTCAAACCATTCATCCGTATACTTCCTCCATGTCTATACTATGCCAATTTTTGAGTCCTTGTTTTCAATCACTTTGCTGACAATCATTTGGATGTTGAAGGTCGCTGCAGTTGAGTTTGAAGCTCATGTCAAACACGACTTTGTTTACTTAACGAGACACAATAACCTCTCAAAACGAAATAGGAGCTTGAGCGAATTGAGCTCGAGCTTTCACGGTATTGCACAAGGGAAGAATGAGGGGACATGGTTTACAGAGGAAGAGAAAAGAAGGCATACTTGGTCAAAGAGACAGAAGTGCAACAACAAAAAGTTTCTGCAGGTTTGGTTTGGAGGGTTCTACAGGCGGAAGTCGAGTGGACCATCAAAGGCCTCCTACAATAAAGAGGTGACAGTTGATTATGGCCGCTCCTTTCAACTCTAAATAGATGGAAAAAAAAGGCCTGATATTATTGTTTGAGTTCGTCTTTCTGATGAAGGAAAGTAGGGAACCGACTGGTTGAGGGCAGCAAGCGCACAATAACTTGTCATAGGCCCAGGTATCAAGATTTTGACGGTTCATTGCTCCTTGTGTTATTCCACATCGTCAGGTATTTGATCACATATACAAGCTGAGGAGTTTTGAGCAATAGTCGAGCCAAATGTTCGAGTGGAAAGTCCCTCTGTTCATGGGCAGCTTCTCTGTAAAAAGTAAAGAATCCATCCAGAAACGCCAAATTGTAGACTCTAGATGGGAGGGAAAGAAGTTGAGGCTTATGATGACAAGATGTGAAGACCGACCTGAAGGTAGTTCTTTGGAGAAAAAAGGATGAGGTTTCACTTTCTAGAACAAAGCTACTCAATCACTCTTTGGGATTGTTTTTTCTGCTTTTGAACAAACTGGAAGTCTCCCAATTGGCCATAAGTGGAAAAGGGTTTTGATCTCTTTATTGACGATCTTCTGTCGGTCATTTCTATATCTGTTGTTCTATGCCTGTGGGGATGCTTGATTTTCATTCACTCACTCATTGAATATATAGATCCTTCATTGTGAACGGCATAGAGCGAGAAACGTAGAAGAAACCTTTATGTCGGACAGCTTTAGATCACGCTATCACATAAGGATTTCCGTATCTGGTAGGCCATAAGTGTGCCTCACATCTTGAGTTGGAGTCCAGTGCCTCCCCTCTAGGCTTATACTGTAGTCTTGTTTCAGAAATGTAGTCATCATTTCCTCGTGTTCACCTTCAAGTTGATCGTCTCGTCTTGCCATCAGAATGTTCATGAATCATTATGATCCTACATCTCTCTCTCTCTCTCTCTCTCTCTCTCTCTCTCTCTCTCTCTCTCTCTCTCTCTCTCTCTCTCTCTCTCGGAAAGAGATTCTGAAACCTTGTTGGAACAAGGTTTTGAGAATCACTAAAAGTTCTGGGAGTGATCTCAGTGCTAGCTGAACTGACCAGTTGTCCATAGAAACTGGGAGCTACTCGATGGGTTTTGTTAGCTTCCGGATGCAGAGTGTGATTGACATACTTCCGATCGTGAGATGCTCATGGTATGGAGGTTTTCATTACAGTAAACAGTAAGAGATCGAGGAAGCCAACATCTGCATGGCAGCTTGAAGTTAACGTTGACTTTCAGATCACCCAATGGTTTGTTCCTACTCGTCCTCTGCATGGAGTAGTGGAGGTGTAGTCTAGAGGCAACCATGCCAGGATAGTGAAATTATCACTGGACAAGCGGTAAGTTACGAAAAATCAAGACAGAGACGGAGGTATGGGAACCACAAGGAAAAACCATGGGCAAGCTCTCAACTGCTGTGCACATTGTGTCTCCACCTTACTGTCCACTGCGATTAGCTCACACTCAAGCTTGATGTTAAGTGTCCAGTTGGACGTAAGAAACAAACACCAGCTTTAGTTGCCCACGAATTCACAGAGAGCCCAATCAGATTTCACTCGTTTCTTCTGTTGTCCCTAGTCCGTCAGATCAGCAAACGCTGCATTCTAACAAGCATCACTAACTGCGGAAGGATGGAGTCACACGATCGTTCAATAAGGACCAGTATTTTCACCCTATTCACAGTAGCACTATTACAGTTCAGTGCGGTGGGTGGAATTCTCAATCAGGGTTACTCCCTATAAACCCTTGATCGGTAATATTTTCCTAGTTTGGGATTCTTAGAATCTGAAAGGCAAGGTTTACGTGGTTGGTGTGTGTCCGGGACCTCAAGAATGAGAAGGGGCGACAGAAATCTAGAAAGATGATCCCTCTGCAATACTTCAGAGCGAAGTCCATCAAACTATTCTTAGTTTGATGGTGTCTGAAATTTGTTTCATCATTAATTCATGTATAGAAGAGCACCAAACCTGTAAAAGGTATTAAATTCATACTACAACAAAATATGTTAATTCATCAATTCTTCCGAATGACATTTTCTCATCAATTTAAGAGCTTCGATACACACTCCCTTGTAAGCTATTACTGTTCAAGTTGTAACAAGTTGTACGAGTAAAAGTCACCTGGAGAAGAGGATGGAATAACACTTGTCGTTGTGGTAAACGGAGAAAGTCCAGTGTAGATCGCAGATATGGTGCTTCTTCTTCACACTTCCCTATCTAACTTTAAATCACCGAAGAATCAAGGAAACATGTTAGCCAAAGTGGTTCATTGCATATTTCACGAGTTGATGCAATCCCAATGAGAAAAATCATATTGGATGATCATAATTCATATTGACTCTTGGGTGATCTCATGAGGTTACAACTTTTGACCTGGATAATTCATAAATCTTAGCCGTAAAATCACACATTTCTAGGACTCCATAGATTAGACAAATGACTAATCTCAAATAAATTAGACACAAATCCTAAATAAGATCAGGCATGATTATACATCATCACTAAAAGTAACTAAAAACATTATTTTATTGCTTAGGTGTGCGCAACAAGTTCATACTGTTTGCATGGGAGAAGTTTTTCTATAGAACTTAGCATTACATTGGTTACTCACAAATCTAAAGATATTAAAATCATTCATTCCACCAACCTCGGATATCATTGCAATCTCTTGGTAGCTTGAAACTCCCACGCAATCTGTTGGAACCTAGTACCAATGCCAACTCACTTCATAGTGAGGTGGTATGCAATAGAGGTCTGGATCGTGATAGAATAGTTACTCGCTTCGGGATTGTAACATTTTTCCTATTATGAATTCCAGGATATCATTATCCATGGTGTTGATCACATTATGGAGATGTCACATAATCACGTTCATGAAAAGCACCAAAGTAAACACGTTTAATTTTTTTAGAGAGGGCCAGGTGCTCCTTTTAATGGAGTGGATGTTGGCTATTAAGATAAATAAATCTCACGACAAAATGTAGGCCCCAATGTCTTGTTACTCGCGACCAAACTCGAAACAAAATCTGCATGCAACATCTCTTTCTCAAATCTGAAGCCTTCCTCCTGGTGATGAGAAATATTGAACGGTGGAATGCGTGGTGCAGACGCACTAGGGCGTTTTCTTGTTACAACCATTTGAAAATTTGACACTGTGAGCCAATGAAGTAGACCGCCACAAACTTTTGACATTAGGCATTTCCAAAATAAAAGATTATTCATATTAGGCATTTATCTTTAGACTGCCTAATCTAGAGAGGCCTGCTCATTTCTCATGGTAATGCTATTGATGTCCATATCCATATTAAACTTGATGGGTAACTCCAACCCCTTTTGCTATACATTACATGGTGACGTCCATCAAATGCATCGAACGAACCGAACGAACCTCTCGACGAACCTCAAAATGATTGTCTAAGAACCTGCTCATGCTTCACAGCGAAGTTCTGTAATCGCTAGTTAGATGTTCTTCCCGTTCAATCACACTTCCGACAGCTACCCCATGCATTATTTGTGCTTCCCAGTTTCCTTGGTGTTTATAAAAATTGAATAGGGCTTCTGCTGACCAGGCGGCACAGAACATGAGATTGACAAGTCATTATTATCGTTGAAGGGAGCATATGCCAGTGCATGCAGGCTCACAAACCTCCTCATTCACAGCAGCTGGTGACATTCACTAATCGCCAGAAACCTGTCAGAATCCTCGCAAAATAAGAAGAGACTTAACGAATCAGACTGGATTGACTCTCTATGGTCAGAAAGTCAAGGAAAAATAGCAGCATCGTCCGAGGAGGCTTCAACTCAAGCAGGGAATCATGAACAAGCCAGGTCCTTCAACGCACTACACCTTTGTGAAGCTCTTCATCTTCAAGTCAGCATTTTCAGCATTCAGCGTTAAGTTCGGGCTTCGATGTGAGAATCGTCTTTAGAGCCATTTAGTTCCCGATGGGTATTCAGATTATAAAAAGAATGTTTTTTCATATTCAAGATTCTTTATCTCGTCTGGTAACTATGTCGAATATTTCCGTACAAATGTACACGTAGTATTGACTTCCACCTATGTACACAACACAATGAATATACTCAGCTTGACTTGGCCCCCTTGTAAACTGCCATTGTTGTGATCTCCTTGGATCCGCTTGTTCCGACTGTCTGGCCCGTGCTAGCAGTGGTACCCGGAACACATTCTACTCTTAGATCAAGTAAATTAATCAGTTTTCCCGCTCCCTTATCGCTCCCTACTTGATAAGCCACAAAGAAAAGAAAAGAAAAGAAGTGAAACACTTGTTATTACTGTCTACTGTCTTTCATTGTCTTACGTGGAGCACTCGCTCACATCTTGACGTTTAATGACGAAATCAGTGCCTGCTTATGTACAAGACCATCGTCCCAGACTGACTGATAATAGAAAGCAGAACCCTCCAAAGCTTAGGAAAGAGCAAAATCTCTGATGGGTCAATCGGGGAAGACTATCAAACTTTCGCCATTAGGACCAATTTCGAGTCTCCAAATACTCTTCGGATAATTTTTTGTCATCCCATCATTACACTCAACGACTGTATCTTCTTCCTTTCTCTTTACAACTTCTCCGTTGTAGTGAGTTCCTAGTAAGACTCCACTAAGCACTCCGTTGTCGCCAACAGCTTTGTCGACCTGCCCAGGTAGACCCACATCATCATAATTACTTCTCTCTCCTGTCTCTGCAATAGCTGATCCAGAGCTTAGAGTCTGTAGTGATTCGTCTTTCTTGTCAAGATAGCCTCCTTTCTCATCGAACTCCCCTGAGGCTGTCATGCAAATACTGTCATGCGCCACCTCCTTTTCGGATGTGTACACAACAAGCTCTCCAGTCTTTTCACTAGCACCTAAAAGATCTTGCTGCTCATGTGAATTCGCATACCCCAACTGTGAAGGCTGTGTCTCTAAAGCTGGTTGCTCGTTATTCTCGAATGGTCCTATCTCTACATTGAAAGGTTCTGTTGCACCTTCCAACCAATTCTCAACTACCAACATCTGTTCAGTTTCATTGTGAATGTCCCCAGATTGTCCATAATGGCTCTGCTCCTGACCGTCAAGCACAAACTTGCCTTCGTCAATCCTTTCAGGAGATTCACCACAGTCATCACTTTTGAAATCTGTGCAACTTGCATCTCCTTGCTTGTCCACATTACTGGCAGAAGACCTCGACCTAGTGGTTCGTCGCAAAGGCAAGATCTCTAGGGGCAAAACTTTCTTCACGTGCGGCGGGATCCTGAATTCCTGATCTCTATCAGAGTCATCACTATCACTCCCTTTTTTCCTTCTCCTTTTCTCCGTCGACCTAGAAGATTGGCATTCTACAACAGAATGAATGGATGCTGGTGCTTGCGGCAATGGTACTTTTCGTGGCCTTCCCCTCTTTCTCTTCACCACCGTTGTAGTCGGCTGTTTGATTTCATCAACAATTCCTGTAGAGGTCTTCAGTGAAGTGCTTGGTGTTCCAGATAACTTCTCATGTGTTGAAAGAAGAGGTGAAAATTCGGAAACTCCTGGATACAAACTCATTTCTTTAGAGGGTGACTGATGAGGCATCGGCTCAGAGGTAGTTGTCCGTTGATGACGGCTGCCGCATGAAGATTGCAAACTAGGGGAATCACAAGGTGAATGAGATGGTCCTCGTACAGAAATTGGAACATCCACAAGAGGAATAAAAGGGAATGTCTCAGGTGGTGACTCCACTTCAGTTCGTTGACCAGGAGGAGGAGAGTCCGTTTCGGAGGATCCAGTGTTGAACAAGGAATTCAGGCCCAAAGGTGGACACGCTGATAGCGAATCTGGACGACTTGAGAAAGGAACAAAACCTTGCCTTTTTGCTGGATGCACATATCGATCAATCCTATTTGACGACTGAAAATCTGATGCAGGAGAAATCGAAATTAACTCCTGTCTGGGACGTAGATAATCAGAAGTAGAGGCGGGTCCAGCCAGTCGTTCACCTGAAAGCGTGTACGAAGGCCTCTTCTCTCCTCGATGACTAGATGAACCATTTCTCAGTGAAGAATAATAACCAGAATTGGACATAAGCGGCGAGGACACATTTCGTCCAGACAACTGATGACCCATGGAGGACGCCCGTGCAGCCTTTGAGTCCACTCTATGGTAGCCATCTGCAAAGCCACGATCATTATCGGTGGATTTCCTTACCCAGCCCGAGCACGTCTGAAAGTCGTTCGGAGTTACAACTGGGGCCGCCATCAACCTTGAAGCACATTTTCTCCTTCGCTTCTCTTGTGAGGCAATGTTATAGTCAGCCGAATCCTTGCAGAGATTTGGAACCTTGGTATACAACTCCCTTAGGGGCGGATGACTTCGTGAAGAATGTTGAGCATCCATGCCGAGCTTCCAGTCGTTTATCGACGAGGTTTCGACATCGTCCTGCCTCCTCAATCGAGGAAAAAACTGATAGAGTGACATATGCGGGTACAAATTCTCAACATAGAACGGACTTTTCATGGGATCTGTAAATAGACCCACTATGTTCACAATCACCGATATCACTCTGGCTTTTCTTAAGACCCACAAAGTCTCGTTATCAAGAGACCAGAGTTGGTTCTCTACTGAGAGTACCTTCATTATGGGGAAATCACTTTTGTCCATTTCTCCGCTCCTAACAAGTTCAACAGCCTCCTGCAACGTCAAACCCTCGAATGGCAAGCTGCAGTGACTCGATATCACGGATTCTGAAAAACGAATATCATCTGGCACAGCCCTTATAAGTCGTTGAGTAGACGGTTCTTGCCTCGACGGAGTTTCGACAAGAAGTTCTCGTTGAATAGATGTCATCGTTCGCCCTAAGCATATGTAACATATGCATCAGAACAAAGGTCAGATGCTGTCCCATCGAACAAGTTACGGGGCAAAGTTTAGATCATGGTCTCGAGAAAATCTTGACTTGAGGACTCAATCAGAGTAGACCAATAATTGTATCTTACTCGAAAGAAAGAGAATCCTTTTGGCTGCACCAAAATGGACGACCACTCAAACAAGATAAGTAAGCCCCCTACTCATCGTGGACATTCAGGACACAGAAAACCAACCGAAGCTGACATTGAACGATACCATTGGTATGCACAGGCTGCGAAGGTACTAGAACGAAACAGACCGAGCGAAAATAAAAAATTGACGGTATGTTCTGATGTGGATATCAACTGTAACTCCAGTCATCTAGATGTAATCAAGAACGATAGTATGACAACTGGACATACAGCCACGGAAGAACCAAAATGAGCCCATAGGCCTATAGAGCCTGTTTGCTGCTTCATACAAAAGGCCGTGTTAAGGCAATGTGCACTTTGAAAGGGCTTCAAATTAGTGGAGATGGTAACTCCACATTTTCAAATGTACTCATAAACTCTAGGGACTATGGCATTCGAAAGCTAGCTATGTAGAAGCTGACTACCATATATTTAAATGACCCCAAGTATGGATCTCAAACTATTCTTATCGAGGGATGGAAATGGTTTATGACAGAGATAATAAGATTTTTTCGAAGAATAAGTAGATTTCTGATGAAGCTCCTTGGTATATTTGTATGTTGTCTCGTTCAAACATTACAATCTTTTGAGGTCACATTGTGTATCTTCAAGCACAATTACCCATTTGGGAGTGCAGATCATACAGCCCTTTCTGGCACAAGTCTAATAGATCAAACAAATTGGACAAAGTGTGGACTCACTTTTCGGTACTCTCTTGCGCGTCGACTCGTCCACGAAGAAGTATCTTCTGTACGATGTACTTGGCTGACGATTGCAAATTCGCGCATTCCTCCCTTAGCCCCGTGTTCCAAGCTTCTTGGTATAGTGCTCTTTCCAGACTTACGGCCGGATCGGCTTCCGAAGATTACATGAGTTTCAACCAACCTGTACTGACACTCAAGTGCATCATCGCAAAGGAATGTAAACTGCCCTCTTTCTTGCGTCTATCAAACAGACTAAACCAACATTTCGTGCATGAGTTCACACGTGAACGATAGAAATCCCAATTCCCATCGCCAATCGCTTCCATCTCAACGCGACGCGATCGATACTCTGTAACTGTAAGATTCGCTCATGCAGCCCACATCTGGGAGTCCAAGAAACGCGCCGAAACAATTCTGACACACTTTTCCGGATCGTACGACCTGCAGCAGCCTGCCACTTTTGCTGTGTTCACAGAATCCGAGCTCCAATCGATTCCCGCATTCGATCAACTGCAGCCGGCGGAGTCCGCGCAAGAACCGCGCGCGTCTCCTTTGGCGGCTCGTTAGATTTTCGTATCGTAATCCGCCCGGTGCCATACGTAATTTGAATTCCATGTCGAATGACCACCCAACGTTCTCTACTGCATGCACACTGTACAGTGCTGCGCTTCTTCTCTCGGCCGCCGTAACGCTTCGTGTCACTTATTAATTCGTCTTCCATAAATTCTTTCTCTTTTTAATTAACAAGAAGCAAGTTAATTATTCTACTTCATACTCGTTCCATAGTCTACTCTCCGCAGCTAATGAAGCTATTACTCCAGCATTCATTCCTTCAGATGTTTCTAGAGGACGAATTACTCTACAATGACTAGCGTGAACATCATATCAGAGACCTGCATCGGGTACCATAACCGTACCCACGCAAACCGATCGGTATGGGTCGAGTTTGGACGAAGTAAGAACGGTTTGGTTAGGGTCGGGTTTAATAAGATGGTTCCGAGACTGTTAGGTTTAAAATTAATTTATTAGTAAAACTCAGCAAATCGGTCGCGAATAATTATAAATAAAAAATGATAAATTTGCATGTTATTGTTCCATCGATTTTTTTAATCTATTAAGTCCAAGTCGAGTATCATCTCTCGAAGTTTATTTGGATACGGGTCATATGGATATTACAAGCTCACGATCCGGCATGGATCGGGTTCTGGTATGATTTTTAGGTCTGAGCATCACATACTCTACTTGAAAACTTGCGATTCTTCTTGTTAATCTACCAGGTTCTAAAGAATTTAATCTTCTCTTCTGAACTATTTTATTTGATGGATTTGTTTGATCTAAAAATTGGGACAATGGATGTGAACCAATAAACTCTTTAAACGTGATCGAGAATGGAGTTGACGGTACCAAGCTCTTTGGTCCATCGATTGCGCGAAGCCCTGCATGTACTGTGTTGTGCTCCCGTAGTTTCACTTACTGCATCCGGTGGACTGGGAACTAGTGCTACGAACAAGAACACATTGAACTTTCTGCTGTAATAAAGGATGGAATACCCCCGTTGTTTAATTCTTCGTTCCGGTTGATGGGGTCTTGCCATCATTTTTTATATCCATGTGAACCCAAAGTCTAGTCGTTGGGGTCCATTTTACACTTTGATTACACTAACTAATATAAGTAGCGGTATATATAATTATAGTTATATATATATATATAAGTATATATACCGCTACTTATATGTAATCTCGATTTTGCACCCCCCAAAATTGGAAAATTTGGACTTCTAGTATCTAGAATAGACTATACTCTAAAAGGCATAATTTTCTTTTTTCTGGAAATTAAATATTCTAACATAATAATTTCAGATACCAATTTATTTCTTGTACATTTTATTGCCTTTTGTATAGAAAAATGCTCAGGACTCTAATAGAGTTTGTTACGGCTGTTAAAATGCTTTTCACTGAGCTTTTCCTGGTTAGGAAAACCGTCATAAAAATATTCACAAAAATGTACATCAAAGTCTTTACATAGTATTATACTTCAAATCTGTAGTTTTCAAGCTCGTGTAGAGTTTTGGGAAATTTGTTACAAGCTTCAGGAATTTCGTCTTGTAAAGCGATACCGGTTCCAGTTCTTTGTGTATCTCTTTACACGAAGATATTTTTTAAATATATAAATATATATATATATATATATATCTATCGATGTTACACATTCAAATAAAACTTTATGCAATGAATCCCTAAATAGGCGTTCCAGAACACGAGTAAGAAAAGGGTGTAATTTCACAAGGTGACCTTGTTCCGTATGTGATTCATTTCACATATCCCGTGTAGTTTTCGGTGAATAAGCTTCTACAAAAAATCGCTTTAATAATTCCACCGGAACTATGTAATCAAGAAGAAAATGCATAATGGGACGAAATTATTAATAGGAACTTCAATCTCAACGATATAATTCAGCTCTCAACTTTTGACCACATTTTTTTTGTTGAAATCCGCGATATGTTTCCATTAACAGCTGGTCTCAACTTTGAAAAGTTCCAAGTTCTAGAAGCAACGTACATTTTCGGAGTTCAATAAACGCAAGCTAATCGGAAACATACCCAAACCTGAAGAGTGACATTCAAAAATAGCAACAAGAGGTTTCCCAGAAGAAGAAAGAAAATTAAGAGATATGGAAAAGAGTAATGGGATCCCCGAGCAAACCTGAAAATGAAGAAATGTGGAGAGTAACCAACCATCACAAGAGCCTATTACACAAATTTCATGACGTGAAGACATTTCTCTAGCATGATAAGGCTATTAAAACAAAGCATGAAGGCTTAAAAAAAATATGTGTGTCATAATTTGAAGAAAAACCAAAGGTGACATATGAATGACATATGTTACCTTTGTTCGTGGAAAGTTCTAATCAAACCTAACAAGGAAGAAAACAAACAAGAATTCAAGGGCTAAACTATTGTATGTGATATTTCAGAGTAGTATAAGTGAACCTATGTCTTACAAACTATCTACATACAGGAAAAGTATCGGAGCATATATAATCAACCATGATTTTTCATTTGTGTATAGAGCTAAGTAATGTTCTCTTACAGAAATTAAAAAAATAAAATTGCAGATAATAATCAACATAATGTATAGAGTATTTGATGATAGAAAGGATACATTGTTTTGCTACAACGATACTCCCAGAAACATGCCATCATGTCTATAAAATTTCAATGATACGTTTACAAAGAATCTATCTCTTTAAGTAACCCTTAAAATTTCATCTTGGTTACATTGATCATGTGTAATATCAATAAGCACCGTACTTATAACAACCTTATGCTACTTTCAAACCAAATATAGATACGTCCTACGGCTCGTCGACTAAAATTCATATAATTACTCAATGAATTTTAGTCTGTTACTATTATGGGACTTCAAAAACAATCTTTTATTAATGATGTCACTGAAACCTGTGCTCTATACTTCAAATACAAATGATCCAGTGAGAATTAGCTATATCACGTGTAGAGTAAAATTGTGAATGTGTTCTTCTGCAAATGTATTGTTGTGAGAAAATTACTTGATGAGATACATCTTAACACACATTATTCAAGGGACCCACCACGTTTTGTTTTATCCTATGTATCCCGCTGACCTCACACCGTTGCCAAGTTTAAAAAATGTTCTTATAAATACTCTCTGTAGTGTGGAGAAGTATTACCTTGAAAGTTACAACTTGGTTGAATCTATTTTACTATTTCTGTTTTAATCTATTTTACTTCGCATATGACCTTGAGATCGCAGCACTAACGATTTCAATTCGAAATTGGAGTAAAATTTTCGTTTCAAGAATGAGTTGACTCAAAGTCCAACTCTTTGCTGAACAAAGAGTTTTGTAATGCGAATTACCTAATTTCTTACATACGATTGCCACTGGTCTGGGTGAAGTGTTTAAACAGACAACAAGCTCATATCTGAATTATGTACATATAGCAGCTCATAGCTTTCAAGTACCGATGGGTAGAGATAGATTATCTTGGAACATACGAATACATAGTTCCAACCTTTGTGTTCTTGAATATTCACTGGTTTGCTCAACAACCACTCCATTCTGAGGTTAGTGTTGGGACTAGTGTTCGCGTTCGCATTGATCTCAAGATTATGACAGGAAATTCGTGACGGTGTGCTATCGGTGGGGTCCATATTGTACAAAGGAACGTGATGGTCCTATCAAGCAATGTGTGTTACGAATGGGATCCCATCATATAATTTGGAATAATATTGGGCAATTTTATTACATTCAAAACACATCACATCTAATGTGTTTGCATATCGATGTAAGACATTACATGTTGAATACCAGAAACTAGATTTCTTTTTAAGTAAAAGAAGCGTGGAAGCTAAAGTGTCCGGTTACGTTCCTGAGGAATTTAAAAACAAAGGGTTTAAATATTTATATAATAAGTCAACTTTAAATATTGCAATCCAATATTCTCCGAGAGGGAATAACGCTATTATGATTCAAGGAATTCTTGAACTTGCGAGGAATATCTCCTACTTCGAGAACAATGTGTTGCCCTTGACCAAATTTTACGGGAATTGCCTTCATCTCGTCAAATGAATCATTCGAAACCAGGAGAATGTGATAACTAATTATATAATCTGAACCCTTCTTGGATATTGGGAATTTAAATATATATTTTCGAGATAGAATAATATGGAGAATAAAAAAAAGTTATGAAAAAGATAAACACTAAAATATAAGTGAATTGTTGAAGAAAAAAGTATATAGATCTTAAAGCACGTGTCTTTCCCGGAAAACATAGTTATATATTCAAAAAACGTACTGCACATAGCTACACCGAAAGGCTGGCGTTAAAAGGCACATCGAAACGTGATTTCATCAAAAAACGTGCCAAACGTTTCATCTCACCGCCCAGAAGAACAATATGGTCTATTTGCCGAACAAAAGATTATTCGATGTCGAGTATATCGAAGCAAATGGGAACATGGAAATTCCAATAAATATCGACTATCGCACCGGCTGACCTTCACCTTTGACCTTCTAGCTTCCAGCATTTGATGTTCGGACAAAGTCCTACGGGTGATCGACGAAACTCGCTGCGGATTGCATTTCTACAGGAGCGGGATCGTGCCGAGGAAGACTAAGAATAGGGAACGCATTGAAGATCAGGCGAGCGTCATGTCTGGAGAGGGCGGACTGAGTGTCAGACGACTGAAGTAGTTCTGCGAGCAGCGGTGTCGAGGAATTCGAGCGAACTGCACCAGAGAAGAGGGGGTCGGCACGGGGTGTCGATCGATCTGTCTCGAGCATTTGTTGTTGTCGGGGAGTCGGGATTGTTGGAGTGAGAAATGGCTGCAGGGTGCGTCGTGTTTCATTCGATAGGGCGCGTCGGGGCGCCCTCGATTGCCAATGTGTCATCCGGGACGACGAGTGGTCGCCCGTCGACTGCCTGGTCTGGAGCTGGAAATGTGCGCTTGGCTCGGCGATCCTCGAAGAATCGGGCAGGGATTTGTCAAGCGTCGTTGTCGACGACATGCGCGCCGCTCGTTCTGTCGGTCCCGCAGGTGTTGGAGCAGCTGTTGAACAAGGAGGATCTGACACAGGCGCAGACGGAGCAGTTCATGGACTCGTTGCTCACAGGGGCAGATCCAGCGCAGATCAGTGCGTTTCTCACTCTGATGCGAGCCAAAGGCGAAACCGTGGCCGAGATCACAGGCCTGGCCAAGGCGATGCTGGCTCGTTCGGTCCCTGTGAAAGTCGACGGTGCTCTGGACATCGTGGGCACAGGGGGCGACGGTGCCAACACTGTGAATATCTCGACGGGCGCTTGCATTCTCGCTGCCGCTTGTGGTGCGAAGGTGGCCAAGCATGGGTCTCGGTCGAGCTCGTCGGCCTGTGGAAGCGCGGACGTGCTGGAAGCTCTGGGCGTGGAGATAAACCTTGGGCCGGAGGGGGTTGCAAGGTGCGTGGAGGAAGTGGGTGTCGGGTTTATGATGGCAGCCAATTATCATCCTGCGATGAAAGTAGTCGCGCCGGTCAGAAAGGCGATCAAAATTCGCACAGCATTCAATTTTCTGGGCCCAATGTTGAATCCCACACGAGCTCCCTACGCTATCGTGGGTGTGTATAACCAAGACCTCGTGTCGAGAATGGCGAGCATTCTCCAGAATTTCGGAATGAAAAGAGCTCTGGTGGTTCATTCCGAAGGATTGGACGAGATGAGCCCTCTCGGTCCAGGATTTGTTCTGGAAGTAACGCCGGGCAAAATCGAGCAGTTCCATTTCGACCCTTTGGATTTCGGAATTCCGAGATGCACCGTCGAGGATCTGAGAGGGGGAGATCCGGCTCTGAACGCCCAGATTCTCCGAGACGTTCTAGGCGGACAACAGGGTGCCATTGCCGATGCTCTGATTCTTAACGCGGGCGCTGGACTGATGGCCTGTGGATTTACCAGAAACTTAGGCGACGGGGTGGTCCTTGCAAGGGAAGTGCAGCGGTCTGGGAAAGCTAATAGCATGTTGGATGCCTGGATTTCTCTCTCCAAGACGCTCAAGGACTAGAATTGACGAAGTTCATGATGCACGAATCGGCCAATCTGACTCTGTTGCCTCTTCGTGCTTCAGCTCCAGTTGTATAGGACACCTATTTCCAAACCGTTCAGCCAGCAGCGTTTGCGTTTACAGGATTGTAGATTATTGTATTAGCCGGCATTAGGTCAGGACACACCTTGCGGGTCTGCTTGTGGCCAGGACACCACGGGCATTCGCCACAAGTCTGTAGGGTATATTATGTGATTATTCTATCAAATTGAAAGTTTTGAAGAGATGTAGGGAAACACAGATTGCATCTCTGGACATAGCTCACATCACATGTAACCCATATGTGCACCCTCACATGTTTCCGCTCGGTTTGGCGGCCTTCAAATTTTCCTTGAAACTTCGAGATCTTCTTTTCAGCCTTCAGTGGACATTGCAACTCTGGATTCAGTGAAATCTGGAAGAAAGCCTTAGTTAGCCTTTGTTAGTTATGTCATCGGCACATCGAAGGTGCTTCCGAGTCACGCAAAGTTTTCTATACAGTGGATAAGGATATGAGAAAGAATTGTGATGAATGGTATCAAATTATCAATGGCTGTGCCACCGTCTACTGTCCTGGCCGCGATCCCGAGAATTGAATACTTATATCCCGAGAATTAAGTGCTTATTGCATCGGTTTCTTGGAATTTTAAACACCCTGTCACATTGTTCGAGCTGCAGTACGACTTTTATTGGCCGGAAGTATCGAGACTGCATAAAAGTCACTTCGTCGCTCTTGCTGTAAATGCAGTAAGGCCCTATGCAATGTCTATGATTGCCTGAAGTCTATTCAAGTCGTACTGAAGTCAACCACTGCTACTTGAATTGTCTGCTCCGGATAATCCACCAATAGACCACCAGAATTCTCTTCGTCGGTGTCGAATAGTCGTGTTCAACTGATTGTATCATACTTGAAGCGTCGGGACACAACCATGCGATATCATGCGCATGAACCTTCATCTCGAACATCACTTCGTTAGATGGGCCCGCAGTCCGAAGTCGTCGACTTAGATATTCTATACGTGTTCGGCGTAACAGCTTCTTCCGACTTAACCAATATATCATCCACTGCGAAGGCACGTGTAACTTAAATCGTGGCCACTTCAGGCTTTGTGCGGGTCAATTGTTTGACCCACATTGAGCTGACTAATTGAGCAATACAGTTACTGAGAGGATAGACAGCTCATGACGAGATAAGCGCACATGATATCGTGAAGCAGCAACCACATGCGCCAGTCCACGGTAGAGAATGTTTGTTCAACCACACGAATCTAGAGAAGAGCATACACCAACCATGAAAGTGAAAACGGAAACGATGACAGTACATGGATGTATAACACGAGCTGACAGTCCGCCATCAAATGAACCTACACCAACACAATCTCATTCTCGACAAAACAAGGGTTCTTGCTTTACTCTGGATGAAGTTTGTGCCTTTGCCATAAGCAATCATTTGACAAAGCCGCCTTGTGGGAAAAATGTGTCCCTCCACAAACCACTCGATAAAAACCTCAAGAGTTCAACAAGCACTCGAAGATGACCTGTACTGAAGTATTCGAAAAAGCCGATAATCACATGGAGGACTGCAGTGACCTCCGTTGAGCCACAAGTTTAGGCAAACCACTTGCAAAGCAATCCGTTCTCTTCTACTACCAACACTGACGGAGGGATTAATCCTTAGTACAGATTTCAAATTTTGCACTTTGAACCATCGAGTAAAACTACGAGTCCTCGCTGCTTACAACGCAATCAGGTAGAGGAGTGGAAAAACTAGAGTCCATGCAGCTGCAGGACCTGTAAGCTGTTACTATTTCTTTGTCAAGCTGAAAGTAATGAGGCAGCTTCTTCAGCTGCTTGACGTCCAAATCCAAGAGATGAACCTATAATGAAAATCAATAAAAGTTATGACAAGAAATGTCGTATTTTCAAATTCTGCCTGCGCTCCGGATCGTAAGTATGCAAGTAAACAACAGTACACTTATAAATACAACATAACATCCAGAATATTGGTCTTTTCTTGACATACCTTGTGTAAGTATTGTCTGCCGGAATATGTTACAACGTATGAACCGGGAAGAGATATATCGTCCGACATCATTGAGCCGACCGGGAGCAAAGTGAGCATAATGCCACAGTCTTTGGCTGTGGCTGAAATAAGGAAGTCACGAATTATTGTGCGACATTCTTCGAAGGTGCGAGGCACTTTTGTGTGCTTCCTGGGCTCATTCACATGTAGAGTCCCATTCAAGAGGTTAGTTTGCTGAGGTGGTGACCCTGTCGTAGCAGTGATTTTTCCATTGGGTGTACTTTCCTGAACTCCTGAATGAGGAGCTGAGCTCTTCAGATGTTTCAGAAACATCTCATAGGCTTGGATTGACCCTTCGATGTCAACAACATCGAGTTTTTGTACGATTAATAGTTTCTTTAAAACGTTGCTACGAAACAGCAAATGAGATATAAGTTTCTGAAAGGCCACCACTGGTCCTTCAGCCCCTGAGGGCAAGAATTCCCCAAGAACATTCTCTAACTGCACTCGGGCTTCCTCCGGGCTAGTGGATGTGTCATCGAACTCACCGAACACTTCCTTCCCGTTACAGAAGATACGTAAGTTATTCTGAGGCGTCATGAAAAGATCGCATATTGCTTTGTAAATACCACTCTCGCTTCCCGAGAAGAGGTCCAGTGGCGAATACTTGCTGATATTTTTGATCTGGACAGAAAATACCACTTCAGTATCAGTCACTATAGACCTCAACTATCACCGGCAAGAAGAACTTCAATTGATTATAACAGCCAATATGTTGCAGCGGACAGGCATTACTTCCAAGCCTTGGCAGAATGACATCTCAAAATATGTATGTCTGACACTGAGGAAGTTAAATTCATACCTTGCCTTGCGATAACTTGAGGGTCTGATGCATGGCAAAACGAGATACAATCGTCTTGATGAGGTTATCTTCATTCATCACGGGAAAGACCGGCAGAAATCCACACTTCGGCTGAACATCCACAACATACCAGCAAACCAAACTATGTAATCAGGTCCTATAAACTCCAGAAACAGTACCTAGAAATGAAGAGTATCTACATACCTTCTATCCTCCACATTACGGCATCTACGTACGATGAGGAGACTAAACTTGGACACTCAGAAATAAAATGCAATGGACTAGAACGAAATTCTTGTGAAGGTAGAAAAGAACCACTCATAATGATCTACATGAAACATTCTTGAGAGACCTAGTCTAGAACAAGGGAGGAACGGAGGGAGTGGAGCCACCGAGTACTTTGATTTCGACTGTGATTGTAGGTGGCATCTCGGTCAAGATATCTGTAAGATGACCAGAAGCAGATATTCATTATCATAGTGATCGACAAACACAATCTCGTCCCCCTCGAAACGATCGCTCGCATAAACCAGACGTCCATCGATGGTAACGCGATCAATAGCTTCTAAGGTCAGTATAAAATCTGACCGACCTCTTGGAATCGAGAAGCTCGAATGATCCGAAATTAAGAGGCCAATGCCGCTCGACAATATTAATGAGCCGGTTTCGGCTCTCCAAGCGGGGCGTCTGTGGGCTATGTTCCGGTTCAGTGCTTCAACAAACGACCTCGACACATCAACGAGACTCTTCAATTTCACAACATCATCACAACAACAAAGTGTCAAGGTTAGGAACAAAAAACCATGAATGTTGATCATTGTAACGGCAAATGCTCATTTGTACCCAACGAGACACATCTTACCCCGGGATCTACATGCTTGTCACCCAACAACGGACGCAGAACATCCCCTATGTATGCATGATTCAGCTCCGCAGTAGAGGTGGCAGCTGCCATACGCGGCCATTCGGCCCATAAAATTTGCTCTTCGGGTAGAAGAATGGGTGTCTCCTTGGCTCCATGACTGAGCTTTCCGGCGTTCCCGACCAATTTTCGCAACCGGAGAACTTTCCCGATCTGAAAAACTCCACCGCTGCGAACATCAGGTTGAAAGTTGTCCGACAAATCCTCGACCAGGTAGGCGGAGATCCCTTGACGGACTCGCTAACACCAATGGAAATCGCTAACATTCACTAACTCGCCGGGTGAAGCAATTTTCCCAGAAAACAGGAATACAGGCACTGGATGATTTCACCATTTCCAAGGTTAGATTGAGCTTGGAAACGGTGAACGGAGATTCATACAAAAATGTATCCAGATAGTATCCAATCAAGAAAACTATTTCGAATTGGATCGAATGTGGTTCTAGACAAAGACGACAGACGCCAAGGCTGATACGACAAATGCTCCCACCACCGTGAGAGATAGTGACCTCCAACATCGCAGTCACAGCCATGCAGGGCGGCTGGGACGCAAGCTCCTCCATAGGCAACCTGTAGACACGATTTGCTGGTGAATCGGCGAGAATGAAGCTGAAGGGAACATGGACAAAGAGGGCAGGAAAGGTAGACTTACCAGAGCTGGATCAGAACCATTATATGCGAGGACCAAATTCGCCGCACCTTCACCTCTGTAATGCCAATTATCTGCCTCCCGTACGTCTAAGAAATTCATGTACGCCATCATGCGAACCGATTACTCGCCAAACAGGCGGCCCGCGGACTCACTTGCTCTGCATTTTAATATCCGCTTACGTGGGACTCCCAGCATGGATTGCTCCCGATCACTCGCTCCCCGCCACCAATGGCGTCTGATCCCACCACAGAACCGGGCGACTGCAGAGCGAAAACGACCGCTCTACGGGACTCCATTGCACGCCGACCCACTCCTCGAGGTCGCCATCGTAATTCAAGTCCCTCGTCTTCAATCCTCCCTTCCTGTCCCTGGGCTCCGGCCCGGACGAGCCCTGGCGGCCTCCTGTTCCAAGAACCTAACTCCACAACGACTTCCGATCCTCACCGGCCCACAATGCTCCGCCCATCCCTCGACACCACGACGACGAGCATTCATGTACGTCCGTGCGCTTGCCGGATCGATCCTCGCTGGCCGCTTGCGCCTCAGCCTGCTGCCATCACCAAAGTGCAGAATTCGAATTCGCGATAGATTCACCGCACAGCCCCGCGATTCATTTGCAGCCTCCGCACGTAGCTCTTATATTCCAGCCTGCGTCGAGCGCTCTGCGTCCGGACACATGTGCCTTCGAGCACCAGACGCTGCGCATTCCTTCGTTCAGCTACTCGCTCTCAAGCTCCGAATTGCTGCCGCCTGCGTCTTCCCAATTCTATACTATTTCCCTGAATCCGGGAAACATGTGGCCCGGTACACGTCAGCCGGTATCCGGTCGACTGTTCTTGCCCAAGGGAGGTCCTGTGCACTGTGCCTGGACCGACGTCAGAACGTGGAGCGACAACGCTCCAAGGCAGAGGAAAACGACGGGAGTCCGATATATGGAGACGGGGGAGGTGATTTCAGATCTTCCATCTGTTCATACGTATGGCGTGCTTACGTACTGGATCCGCTCTGAACTGAAAGAATCCGAGTGTAAAATACTAATTTATATCCCGGTACCTTGTCCCCTGAACCTGCGTGTAAAAGTTATTTAAGATCTCCATGTGTGGGTGGAAGGAGCCAAATCTTCAGAGGTCTGATTTTGCAAAACCAGCAGGAGAGAACAGGTCCAGAAAATCCATGCGAATATTAGAAACAACCGCGGCTATGGAGAAAGAAAATAATATCCACTCCACCTCATAATAAAATTCTGCACCTTCGAACGGTGGTCGAATTATTCCTCTGGCAACCCATGAATACTAGGCAATTGGTCGAGACCTGGCCCCCAGGGAAAGAAGTTTACATGGGCGGTCATCTGATTCAGATTTATTCATGTGATTCACCAGAGCTCGCCGTTCGGTTCTTCTTACGAGCAGCTCTAGAAGAACGTCTCCGTCGTGCCGGTCAATACGTCCGGCCACCGGGAGCATTTCAACGTGATCATATAGGCACGACTTTTGTCCGAGGCAAGATATAACCAGCGGATATCCGAGCGAGAAAAAGTATTTCGGATTTGGCAGAAGACTCGAGGTCAAAGAGCGCGGCCATGCTGAAAAGGACACGCTGCGCCAGAACGTAATCCGAGCCATCGACTCCGGGCTCGTGGAGCAAGACGACAAGGGCCAGCGTCGCCACGTCAAGGTGTATACGTCGGTTTCACAGCTCTCAAGGGCTCGATGCATTCTGCGTCCTTGCTTACTCGTCGCCGTACGTCCACGTCAGATTTCGCCGCACAACCCTAAGACTGGAGCATACAAGAACATTCACGCTGGCCGGGGAATCGCGCGGTTCTTAACATGCAGATCTCGTTCGGAATAGGAACGCCGAGAGCTTGTCTCGGCGGCCCGGCCAGGCCAGAGTCTTAAAAAGGCCAAGAACCGATCTAGGGTTCCTTTGGCCCTCGCGTGCAGCGGTGGGAATTCGAGGGCTTCTGTTGCAGGCATCGAGAAATTCCTGATTTCTCGATCCGAGTTGAATTGCGCCGGGAAGGATCGATGGCGGAACGAGGTGGGGAGAGGGGGGGATTCGGTCGGGGATTCGGCCGGGGGGACAGAGGTGACAGAGGAGGTCGGGGCGACAGAGGTCGAGGTGACAGAGGCAGAGGGCGCAGAGGCCCCAAGAGAGAAGAGGAGGAGAAATGGGTCCCTGTCACCAAGCTCGGAAGGCTCGTGAAGGATGGTAAGATAAAATCCTTGGAGCAAATCTACCTGTTCTCTCTGCCCATCAAGGAACACCAGATTGTCGAGTTTTTCTTGGGCCCGGCTCTCAAGGATGAGGTGATGAAGATCATGCCCGTGCAAAAGCAGACCCGTGCGGGACAGAGGACGAGGTTCAAAGCTTTCGTTGTGGTAGGAGACAGCAATGGACATGTCGGGTTGGGTGTGAAATGTAGCAAGGAGGTCGCCACTGCCATCCGAGGTGCCATCATTTTGGCGAAGCTTTCTGTGATCCCAGTCCGCCGAGGGTACTGGGGTAACAAGATTGGAAAGCCACACACGGTTCCTTGCAAGGTAACTGGAAAGTGTGGCTCCGTGACAGTGCGTTTGGTTCCCGCACCCAGAGGTTCCGGAATTGTGGCTGCACGTGTGCCGAAGAAGGTTTTGCAGTTCGCCGGTATCGACGATGTGTTCACCTCATCTAGAGGTTCTACGAAGACTCTTGGAAACTTTGTGAAGGTATGTCGGACCAAACCCAGGCCCTTGGCTGTCAAAGGCAAAACCTAATGGATTCATGTGGACAAATTATGTACTTCGTAACGCACATCCGCAACATAAATTAGCAGTCCTCTCCGATTTCTCCGGATGGTTCAGTGGCACGCTGAATTTGCTCTTGTCATAATTGCTCCCAATTATCATAATTCGCTTCTCACTGTATTTAGGACCGTTCATACTCTGATAATTAATTCATCAATTCGGTCAATGTGTGTTCTTTGCCGTTAATAGATGTCGATTTAAGGTCCATGGCATCAGTTGTAATCTTAGGAGCTTCGATTAATGTACCCACCGTAGTAATGAAGATGATTCCGCAAACTTAGGGGCGGATGAATCCGGCTGGCCTTAATTCCGAGGTTTTGGTTTCCTTCTCACTGAGTTAGTCCTAATGTCTTGAAGAATATTCAACTTATGCTGTCCTTACCTTTTAAAGACAATGTTTGTGTACATAGCTTTTCCTTTTTTGGATATTAACTTGCATTTGTGGGATGCTCTTTCAATTTATTGTGTGCACTTTGAACTTTCCGCTAGAATGAGTTTCGTATCATTTGATGGGGGCTAACGTGCCGGTTTTTATTGCCACAGGCAACCTTTGAGTGTCTGTTGAAGACCTATGGATTTTTGACACCTGACTTGTGGAGAGAGACTCGGTTCTCAAAGTCACCATTCCAGGAGTTTACTGATCTTCTGGCGAAGCCAAACAAGATCACTGTGTTGGAAGAAGTGGAGAAGACCCCCATGTATTGAAAGCTTTAGTAGGGTTCCCATGTTCACTTAATACGAAACCTGGAAGCTGAGGGAGATTTTGGAAAAGGTTACTGTAATATTAATTTATACAGTTTTGGACGACTTGATGTGTGTTATTCTTGTCAATCAGTCCATACTCCATGTAGCTGCGATGAGGAATTTTGTGAACCTTATCGCAAATTTTGTGAATACCTCGTGCCATGAACTATTTTATCGCAGAACATGGCATTCCTTTCTCTCAACCTGTCTTTTGCTTCACGTATGCTTCGCGAAGCCGAGATTGCTTGTGGTGATTTCCAGTTTGGAGCTACTCAATTAAGTTTGAATTTTGTCATCCTATATCAGTGAGTTAGTTACCTTGGGACTCTCTACGGACCTTTGAGATCACTTTCCTCCGATGGAAGTACGGTGGCAAATCACTTTAGGCTTGCGTTCACTTACCACACTGTACAATCGTCTATATATCACACCTTCTGAGACAAGTCTGGAGTGGAGTGTGAGATATGCGAATGATAAAAAAATTCGCAAATCTTGACGATTTCAGTGATGTCTTTGGATACTTCTCCCATTCGAAAGCACTTCTTCATATTAAAGCAGCCTGTCCACTGCTGTATACAAGCTGCTCCAGGAATATTTAAATTTGTGACTAGAGGCCGACAAAACCTCTCTGGTGATAGTTGACAAATCTCACGCTTGTAACGGTTTTACGAGGTATCCATCACGTAGAGTTCTGATTTAATCGTTGCGTGAGAAATTCACCTGTATGCAGAGGGTTGGGGCACAGTCTGTGTACAATGCTTCGCATGGGAATGTTCGCGATGTTTAAAAGTTGTGTATTGTGCAGTGTATTTGAAGAATACATGCACACTATTATAAATGTAAAACGTTTACTCTGCTGATTGAATATGATTGTCATGTAGTGACATCATGGTAAGGGGGAAGAATAACCATATACCAGTGATGATTACTCAATGTTGCAAATTTCAGTGTTGGCTGTAATTAACTTCATGTGAGCTAAGTCCAAATAGATTTTTGGTACGAGCGAAACCTAATTCATAATGATCTTTAGTGGAATAGCAATGAGTGTTGGTGATACAAGGCTTATGTGAAACCTAATAACTTTTCAACAATTAACAGTGAGATTGATGATAATCTAACAGTACATACAAATATTTCTTTCGTTGGCAAAACACTGAAACTGTTCTTCCTTCATGATAGTATATCACAAAATTAATTTTGCCCGAACGCACAACTATTCATTTTTGCGGGGAAAATTGTTTTTGAGTAGCATCCAAAGTGTTCGGACTTCGCGACGTCTAGCACATGCTACAAATTGGTGGGCATGAATATTAGTAGTGTTCTCATTTGTGTGACATTTTGAATAGCATGAGTGTTAGTATAATTGCAGGAGCAACAAAAATTGCCCGTGGTTGCTCGATTTTACTTCATTGATATTGACCAGCTGTTTGTGGAGTTAGTTACTCTCAAATGATATATATATATATATATATATATATAATTTTTATATCATCATACAATTACCACTGGTTATATATTCAACATATAGATATAAATTACTTCATTCCACAATGATTTTAAATTCTATCTCATACCATTAAATTGATAAATTTTTAAAATCTTGAAGTTATTTGAACATGAATATATTTTAATACTAAATGAATATACATGAACTTTAATTTTTAATTCTTATTTTAAAACAAACCAAAAAATCTGAAAATATTTTTTAATTTCAAGCTACATGAGATTATGTTATGTCATATAAAAGTAAATTATTAATTTTTCTCAAAAAATTACATTTTGTATAAATTTTACAATTTTCATTAAAATCTATACATCACATAACATTTTTATTTTTTTAATAAGATAATTATTAGATTTTTTTAATATTGATTAATTTTTCATCAATTAATGTAAAAAAAAAATTGGTTATGGGGTGAAGTAAGTTTTAATTGAAGATACAAACTTTTACAATCAAATTGTTAGATATTTATTCAAAGTATATTAACTTCAATAAATTAAGATTAGTTAGCTTGCTACCATAAAAAAATGATACTTGGCAAAAATTAGAGTTTTGATAGTGTGTGTTTATGATCATTTATTGAAATTTTATACTCATGTGAAATTTTTTATTTTATTTCAAATATTAGAAGTGTTAATTGTGTTGTATTATAAACTTAGCTCTTTGAAAATCCAAATGATTGAAAGTAGCTTATCTAGTTATCTTTTATATTAACAACATAATCCAAATCCTAACTATGAATGAACTAACATACGTTTGAATGTATGTGAGTGAACTATTATCACAAACCTTTGATTCATCACAAGTGAATTTATAAGTTCAAATATTATCATGCAAATTTTTTAAAAAGCATTGAATATATCAAATTGATGGATAAAAATTTCATGTAAAATGTGAATTAAAATAATTCATCTCACGTACAAAATAAGAATGTTACAATTTGATTGCAATAAGTAAATGTTCTGATATTCGATTAGCTTACAAATTGAATGAATATCATTCAAGCATAATTTTATTAATTTTCGGAGAAAACAATGTACACGAAGATAGTAGGATTAAGTTGGAAGAATGGTGAAAAAAAATTTGAAAAAAATTGTTCTAGATTGTTAAAATATCTATGTGGATTGTGACAAGCTTGTATGCAATGAAATGTAAATTTTGATGAGTTCATAAAATCACAATGATTTTTTAAGTGTGTATTTGATCTATGTTTAAATACATAAAAATGATTTAAGAAATCTTTAGCTGGTGAAATGGTGATTTTAGCAAATGAAGAATCTGATTACAATTCCAAAGATCAATCAAAGTTCTGCATTCAAAATGCAAGGTTTAGATTATCTAGAAAAATATCAGGTTGAATGTTCTTATGATCTTGAACAAAAACAAGATAAAGAAAAGATTACCATCAAAATAAGTCAATTTACTTTAACGGATGTTTGAGATATCTAACATGATATATTTGAAAGGTTGGAATTCTTTGATAACACATATTTTACGTTCGTATAGTTTAATGTCCAATTGATGACATTGAAAAGTAAAAAAATAAAATTTTACAAAAAGAAAAAAAAGGATGATGAACAAAAAAAATTTGATTACTGTAATCAATTTTCTACGAAAAGGATGTGAACAGTCTTTTGTATTATGTGATATTCACTGAACTTCATACTGCTTTGGAGATGAAAACTTAAAGAGATGCATTTCAAATCTAATAACAATGTATGAAAAATTTGTGAAAGGAAGATTTATTACGTTGATAGGTTGCATGCGGGAGTATACTGAATTGTTCCGGATTCAGGAAGAAAGAAAGGAAAAACTAACTAATCTATCGAAGGAAGCGTCGAGTGTTCCTGCGCAAGGGGGTGCTAACCAATTCAGCAAAACGATGAGCTCCTCCACACCTTGAGAATATTACAGCGTTCTCGAAGTGCATTCTCGAACCCCATGAACGTTATAAATCCCAGAAGTCCCCGCTTAACTTCCCTTCAGGCGGCCCTGGTCCTCGGTCATGGAACAAAGCGGCAGATGCATGAAAACAAGCCGGCCACGAATAAAAGCACAAAGAAGAAGCGCCGGAGAACGTGGGACGGTGGCCGGAGAAAACACAGCGGAACTGCCAGGAGATGGCGGACGAGACGAAGGAGAGCGGTTTCAGTCGACAGGGGTCGGAAGACGAAGGTAAGGAGGCCCGCAGGACCACGGAGGGAAGGAAGGATGACCGCAGTCCTGACTTACTTCGAGAACGAAGGACGAAGCGCGGTGGTGTCACGTCACGGAGTTTCATCGTCGCGACGAAAGGGAGAATGTCAGATTCGAGCGGCAGGCACGTGCTGGAACTTAACTTCGGTTAAAGGGTACCCTAACACGAGCGCTTGGGGCGCTGACTCGGGCCCGAGGCCGAGGTTAGGGTTTTAGGGTTACAGTGGGGAGGGGATTCCATCGGTGTCCTTCATTGTGGGGCATCATGTCCCTCTGCCCACAGTTTGCTGGCTCGCTGGTTCTGGTTCGCTGCTGCTCTGGGACCGTGCTCTTCGTTCCGAGTCCATGCGCTGCAGCAGCTGCTGCTGGAGGGAGGAGAGAGCGGCAGCAGGGGAGGAGGAGAGAGAGAAGGCGAGGGGGATTGACGGATTTGCCATTGTCGCGGGCAGCAGCAGCAGCAGGAGGAGGAGGAGGAGTATGAGGCGCGAGGTGCTGGAGCTTCATCATCGATGCGGGAAGCTGGAGAGAGGGGCGGTAGCAGCTGCAGGTGGAAGCTGAGGAGGCTTACAGGTTCGGACGGGGTTGAAACCGAGGAAATTCAGAGAGGCTGTGGGGTGGAAGGAGCGGAGGGGAGCTCGAGGAGGACGGATTTGGGCCCCGAGTTGGGTGGGAAGTAGCGATGCTGGAGGTGCATCGATGGCGGCAGATAGATTGGGCTCCTTCAGCTGTCGTGGCTTTGGCAACTAGCGTCGATGGGACTGTAGTGGCTGCTGCTAGGGAAAATGGGTCCATTGAGCTTTGGAATGTGGCGCCAGGGTCTGTTGGTTGGCATTGCCATTTGGTAAGTGTGCTGGTTTTCGGTCTGAAATTCCACTGTCATGTCCGGTTTTGTCGGTTCTTGCGGCAGTTCATTGCTGACCAGTAAAATTGCGCTCGTTGGGTAGTCGAGGTGAGACGAGGGCCTGTACTTCCAGCTGGGTGGCCAATTTTGGCCACCCGTGGATGTCACGAGGTTCTGACATAGCTGTAGATCATGAACGATCTATGTTTTGCAAAACCCTTCGCTGGGGTTTATTGTTGACGTCTTTTGTTATCGCGGGACGATGTGTCCAGACTATCCCAGGACGGGAGGAAGCAGCGATTTCGTCCCTGGTATGGTGCAAGTCTGGCGGGGATCAATCTACTCCCCTCGGAAGGCTCTTCTCTGCTGGTCTTGATGGATTCATCACCGAATGGAATCTACAAACACTGCAACCCAAGGTATGGCAGTCGAGTATGAGCGTTACATACTTTCTATGCCCTACCAGGATCGATCATGAACGCGTCACATTGAAATTGCGGAGGTTGTTGTGTACGGTAAACGCAATGATTACCACTTTGCTCTGAATTTTTCTGTTTGTTCAACAGGTCTCTGCGTCGCCACTGGGATGGTCTTTTTTGCTCGGGATCCCAGTTCTGATAGATGGCATCCGTACTGATATGTTTAGTGGTTTCTGTCTGTATGCAGGAAATATCTGAGTCCTATGGAGGATCAGTGTGGCAGTTGGCTGCAGAGCCTTTAGAAGCATTGAAAAGGGCAGCAATCTCCAGTAATGGGGCATTGCTTAAAAAGAATAGCGATGGAAGTGACAATGACGAAGGAAGTTCAAGCGACAGTGATAGCGAGGAGGAGGAAGAGGAAGGATCATCACATCACGATATAGTTGAACAGAGAATTGCTGTTGGTTGTGATGACGGGTGCGTGAGGATTTTTACGGTGGGTGACAACCAAGCTGGTATGCTGTACCGAAGAGCGTTTCCTCGAGTTAAAGGTATGACTTCCTATCTTCAGCTTGGTGCTTCGGCTTGCTGGTGGTGATTCTTCTCGGATCAGGTTTATATAATACGGCGAGTAATAGGCTAGGCTCTTGGTTCTGCTTGTTCCGAAATGGTCTAATTTCCGAACATGTGGACAATACAGGCCGCATTCTGAGCGTAACGTGGAGTCTTGATGCTACAAGAGTATATGCCGGTGGATCTGACGGGTATGTGTGGTCTCCTTGAGGATGATATATGTTGTAACATTTCGACGTCGTTTCGTTTGCCGTACTCGTTCACAGCTCACAGCATACTCGTTTCCTTTGCGCATGAATGTGAGTAGGCTGTGGGACATTCTAAAGTGCTAACCTGTATACACTGGGCCTCTGTTGATCAGATGTATACGCTGCTGGGACTCCAAAACTGTTCGAGAGTTGTTTAGAATCACTGCAGGTATTGGAGGGCGTGGTGCCGGCTCTGAACTTTGTGTTTGGTCTCTTCTGGCTCTGAGGTAGGTTAAACTCTGACGTGCGAGTGCGTTTCAAGTGACTGAAGTCCATGCAGGGTTTGAGCACATGTTCCATAAGCCCCCAAGAGGACGGTCTTTTCGTTTAGCTCCGTGTTTAGGTGAACCGCATTGTTTCTTCCTATTAGTACACTCAATCCACCGTCTTAACATTACTGTTCCGCCACGATTCCCCAGGAATGGCACCATAGTTAGTGGTGACAGCACGGGCAGCACGCAATTTTGGGAAGGTGAGCATGGAACGCTGCTTCAGGGGCACTCCAAACACAATGCTGATGTTTTGGCGTTAGCTGCGGCCCCCGCCCACAACGTCGTTTTCGCGGCTGGTGCTGATGGTCAGGTACCGTCCGGTCTCACATACCTAATACCTCACGGTTATGGCGCTACCCGTTTATTTCTTTTGGGCTTAGGTCCTTTCAGCCTTCCATCAGTCGTGATTGATAAATCATTTTTCGTTTGGAACAGGTGACGTTATACCAACTCGTCGACGAAAGCAGTGGGAAAGACGCCAATGGCACTCATCCCACGTCTGAAAAGAATAGTCTGAGGGTTAGAGACAGATGGGTGTATGTTGGAAATAAGCGTAACCACACTCACGATGTCAAGGCTCTGGCGCTTGCTTATCCTGTGGTGCAGGAGGAAGGTGGGTTATCTGTGTTTCCAGCTTCTCGCCTCTAGATTCTGTACTTTATTTTTCCAAAAAATTTCCAATTTTTCATCTCTGCATGTATAGATCTCGTTTGATTCATTTCTGCTTCTTCTTTGAAACTGCAGGTCAGACTGAAAGGCCCGTGCAGAAAAGGCGCAGGAAAAGTCGCGCTCAAATGAAGAATGACTACAAGAAATGGGCCCAACCAGGCATACCGATGCTGATATCTGGTGGCAACGATTGCAAGTTGTTTACCTATCCCGCTGAAGCCTTCCTCGCTTTCCACCCGCATGATATATGTCATGCTCCACAGCGTCCACAGGTCCAGTTTGCAGGTGATTTGAGTTCTTCTGGGTTGAGTGTACTTATGGCTCAACACTCAACTTGGATAGATGTATGGAAGATGAATACGAATCGCAACGCTGTGACTGACATGGAATTGGGCTACGAATTTGGGAAGGAGGTCTTAGGCAAGAGGAAGTTCAGGGATGAGGCTAATTATGTTGTAGGAAATCCAATCAAAATGAACGGCACTGGGGAGAAGAAACTTCCTGTTCATCCCGCTAGCAATGGGAGGTCCAGCCCATACCCCTCTAAACAGGTTGCCTCAACCAAAGGTGTAGCCCCAGCACTGCTTGCCAGAATAAAGTGTAAGACAGTTGAACACATAGCTTGCAGCGCCATATCTGGTGATGGGAAGTATGTCGCATTCTCTGATCGACTGAAGCCAAGGCTCTTCCAGTTGGAACAACAACAGGTCGGGGCCTCCAATTCCTTGAAAGCGAAGGGAATCATTGCCAAGAAGAAGTTGTCCCCAAGTCTTCCGGCAGCTCAGTGTATGCTATTTACCCCTGATTCAACTCGACTGTTACTGGGATCCACTCAGCAGATTATGGTAAGGGTTTCAATCACATGAGTTTTTATGGTTCTGGGGTTTTTGAATTTTTCTTCTGCGAAGCTCCTTTAAATGGATGCCTTTGTACTTAGTGGATCTAAATTGCTGTCAATTACAGGTCATAAATGTGGAGAATGGAGAGGTACTGCATTCTTTCAAAGTAGCCCCTCCCTCAGCCAGAGGTCCGAAAGGGTCTTTATCACCCATTAACTTTATGTGCACAAGTGCGGACAGTCAATGGCTCGCAGCGACAACGAGTTCTGGTTACATCCATATTTTTAGTCTAGAAGCTTTGAGGTGAGTTTTTGTGTGGTGTACTGTCTTGTCCGTATAGGTTCTGGTGTTTGTTGTTGCCAAGCTGTTCGTCGAAGAAAGCGGTGACATTGATCTTTCTGCATGCTTATCTTCTACAGAGAACGCGAAGTCGGTTTAAATGCTGTCTGTCTAAAGTGGTTCTACCAAAAGGACAACCCTAACACGAAACGGACATCTTGCAGGCATCATTGGTCAGTACCCGTGATGGACGGGACTGTGGCAACCTCAGCCATTTTCAGACCCAGTAGTAGTAATGTGCTGATCATTAGCACCGCCGGTAATCAACTACATGTCCTGGACGTTGAAGCCAAGGAATTAACAAAGTGGTCGACAGCGAACGGTGAAGTTTTGTCCATGCGTCTGCTGGATTTTCCTGGAGGAATTACTGGACTATCGGTACCGCCGACTCCGGTCTCTACAACTGTGATAGCCTACAGCTCCAGGTATATGTCGGCAATCTCTACCATTAACTGCCAGCATGTGTGGATGGTTGAAATATTCAGAGTTTTGAATGGCAGTTTGCTTGTTCCACTAATCTAACCTGGGAGATATGTCCGTCTGTGAAGTATTCGCAGTGGAGCATGTCTGTGCTGGGAAGGGAGGGACCATGGGTGATTCCTGAGACCCGCCCTTCTGTCCACAACAAATGCACAGTGCAGGATAATATTCACAGCTACAGGTACTTGAGCATTCACAGGGTCTGTCTGTGCTCAAGTACGTGTAGCTATGAATATGCAGCACTTCGTGCCTGGGCTGCCACTCCCGTCTGCTTGCCGGTTGCAAAAGCGGTTTCTCTGGCTTTGACTTTCTCTGACTTCATCTGGCTGGGTTGTTTCTCGCAGAGCTATGGTCCAGATTGATTTCAGCAAGCCAGTAAAACTATACTCACATGAGCCGAAAGAGAAGAGTCAAGCTCATGCTAACGGGAATGGAGCTGCTCCTAAACAGAACGGCAGCTCCAGTGTTCATACTGACAATTTTGCATACGTACCTTTTAAGGATCCGGTTCTTTTTTTGGGGCACACCGCCCAGAGTTCAGTCCTCGTCGTAGAGAAGCCGTGGTTAGAAGTGCTGAGGCAAATTCCAGCCCCTGTATACAGGCATTTGTACGGAACTTAAGCTTATTGGCTTCTTTCGCCTGGTGCTTTCAGTGTATGATACATTCTTTGTTCCTCACATTCTTGCAATCTCTGGCTTGATCTCTGAATTCCAAATTTTGTCCTACATGTCGTGAATATCCAGAAACTGCACTACTGTAATTAAAAGCTCCCAAATTTCGAGATTCTGTCGCGTCTTTGCGCTCCGCGAGTCGCAGACTCGAACAGGCCTGCGTGTTCCTGACACTTGGTGGAGAGATTGATATCGACAACGATGCCGTTGTGGTTTGATATACGAATTGATACAACGTCGTGCGTCGTAGCCCTCAACGCCGTGCGTTGAAATGCCAGTGCCGCTTTGACTTCATTTTGCCTGGCTATGGCCATCCGCCCTGATCGGGTCGGACATCTTCCCGTTATTCACGTGAGATTGGCTTCGTGCTGCGGAGCGAAACTTCGTTGACCTGATTTCGTACCTATTCGGAAGCTGGAATTCCCTTTGTCTCTATTCTCTTTGTCGTACTTGGTAGCCAAAACTGAGATTGGAAGTTACGACGTCGAACAGTAGACTGGGACGTCGTTGTCGCGTACTTGAGATCTAGTCGCTGATATCCGTCCAGTTAGTGGAATCCACAGTATGATCTCATCTCGCAATCATTTGCTGTAGGTTCGTTTAGACCTGAACGCGAAATGCCGGGGACATTTTGGACATGAGAAGTGGCGATCTTTCACTGTTTGCGTCTATATGGATATGAAAGCGAGACTTAGATACTGTAATTTATACACATCCGAGTGAAGTTTGACAAGTGGAAGTCGACAGATGTCCTTCGCCCCTGGACAATGTGATGATTGAATGCGAAGATCGGACCGTTCTATTTGTAGCTCACATCTGCTTTGATCTGTCAACTCATTTTCTGTCTTGGCAAGAGGAGATTGTGCGGGCCCTACCGCAGGAAGAATGAACAAATATCTCCAGAGTTGATATCGAGGAAAACAACTTATTGTTTTCACTACGTGTTGATCTTGAAGATAACGAAGGACTTGGGGTCTTGGGATGTGTGATAACTGCCTGTATTCGCAATGTTCAATTTGGTCCACGCACGCGGTACAATTCATTGTCTATGTCCGGTGTAGGGACACTGGTTCTCCTTGAGAGGAAAGGTGGAGAATATTAAATGGTTTTGTGAGGAGAAATTTTTCTACTTAAAGCTTGTACTTTTAAGAAAGTCATACTCTTGGCACGCAAGAGTTATGTTCAATACGGTCTAGCTTCAGTATCTTCTATTGTAGTGGTTATATGTCTGTGCTTGTGTGTGAGATAAAGCTGAGTATGATGGAGAGGGAAGTAAAGAGGATAAACTTGTAAACATACTCCCTGACATTCGTCAACCGAGTTTATGATATGCATTGCGCGAATCACGTGTATCGGCAATTATTCTATTTAGTTTCATTGTATTATCATATTGAGTTGTGAGTATATGTTGACCTTTGAAGAATAATTCGGAGTTCAATTCATATGCTTGATATGACATTGATGTGTGGTCGACATGTGAGACGTTATTTAGGTAAATACCACCTTTTGGTGAATGATGAATAAGAGTGTGGCCTACTCAGATGAAGAAGAAAGTGCAGGCTTGAATAAACATGTAGGATAGTGCCAACAACAGCTGAATACAGACAGTTCTAGCTTCAAAATCCATGCGAGAGTGGCGATATGAACAGGGACTTTGATCGAAAAGCCGAGAAGTCTCATTTTTCGATGGTTATTAAAGTAGGGAATGGCTAGTTATATCTCATTCTGGGCTAATTAGCCCTTACTCTACTCCAAATTGTATCTCTGATTGGTTGATGCCGTTTATAGGTTATGAGTAGCAATCAGGGTAGGGTGTAGAGTATTTGACCAATCAGAGAATGTGTATACTAGGGTGAGGACTAATTAGGGATAACTAGCATTCCCTTAAAGTATTTGTATTGAAACAACTTATGTGATGCTATTTGGGCACAAAGACGCAGAAGATAAAGAGAAATAAATAAATATAAAATTCTCCACAAATGACCGCTGAAGATGAAGTAAATTGAAGTCAAATCTCAGAAGTAAGTATACATCTAGACATAAGATTCGAGTAACCAAGAAAGTTGAAGATGCTTCTAACATTTGTCCTCGGTGCTTCATTTTGCTCATAACTTAACATAAGGTTGTGAGGCCCATGTTAATGGAGTTAAGAAGAATGGCACCAATTCACATAAGTGAGAGCTATCCCTAAAAGGAGGGTAACTAGAGGTCCTTTCTGTCATGCAAGGAAATACCACGGAAAGAAGAATCCTACATAGATAATTGTAGGGTTATATGAAAGTATAAATCAAACGAAAAGGTAGATGCAATGAAAATGTATTGGAGTGAGATCAAGATATTAAATCTAAAATCTACTTAAACTAAGGAGTAAAGATGATGTTTGTGGAATAGAAAGGTGCAATCCAGACATGGCAATTTTGAATTCCTAATCGATCAATGTTGAAAACTTGCGGGTCTATATTATCTTGCGAGCAGTTCCGTGTATTTTTTCTCCCAATGCAGCTAGAGTGAGTTACATTAGTTAGAGAATATGTAATATACATATACATCGTAGATCAAAGTGGACCAAAATTGTCAAATATTACAATAAACATAAGGTACAATTAAGATACTGATGGAGCAGGATTGGTGTAGGGCATTTGAGATTCATTCTCATCCTGTATGATGTTATATATTGTATGATGGATTTAGTGTATAACAAGTTTATTCTTCAAAGAAAATAGTGACTCGTTCATATATCAATTAGTGTTTAAGCTTGCGTGATTGATTCCTCTTCAAGTCTATGACGAGGAAATATGTTAAAGTAAAAGTAAAGAAATAAATAATTAATTTTATCCTTTTACCTCTTGTATTGTTGTCCAATATTATTTCATATTTGTACGTCTAGTCATTTGTTTGCAAAATGATTTTTATTTGAAAGATGAATTATTTAATATTTGGACTTCTTCGCACAAAAATTCAAACATATATAATCTTGACATGATTGTAATAGTTATAAATGGTAAAATGGCAAATGAGAAGGCTTGTATTGTGTTTTTCAAACTTTTGAACCTTTGGTTCCATGGGTTTGATAAATGGTAAATAGACCAAGCACTGTGAAACAAAAGTTCAAAAACTGAAAAACGTAATACAACAAAAAAACCACAAACAAGTAAGAAGATCATAAAGGTCAATTTCTTGCTAGTGACAAGAGCACTAGAACAATAACTAATGATCTAATTAATATAATAACCTAAATCAAAAGATAACAACTATAATAAAAAATAAGAGCACTAGAACAATAACTAATGATCTTCCTAATATAGTAACCTAAATCAAAAGATAATAACTATAATAAAGAATAAAAGGCTACCCGGAAGGAAACATTATGGAGGCTTGTACGGCTTTCTCCACATCTATATCAAGAGCAAGTCTAATCTCTTCATACATAGTACGCGTAACAAATACAGGCTCTTCATTCTCTATATAACCACTGTTACATAACTTGTAAATCAATTCATTTTTATCAATATTAAATCAACGGCATTTTTTAATTTTAAAACTTTGAGATCCAGTTCTATGCCAAGCAATAATATGATACAAGAACGTAAAGATTTGTGCAAGTATATATTCTTGGTTATCGTAAACAACTATAGGATTCAAATGAAGTTGATTAAATTGTATTTTGGTGTCTCTTATATTCTAAATAATGTTGAGAAATGACTACTTTAGACTTTAGACCATAGGTTTCAAGTTCCGCCATATTCCACCTCAAAGACCAGGTCACCACATCTGCTAACCATTTTCTTAAATTTGACATTCGGGTGCTCAATGTAAACAAGAATCATACATTCCACGTAAGAGACATGTGAGTGAAATAATGTTCACGGCCTAAAATAAAAGCAACATTTTTGAAATATCACGAATATTTACCATCAAGTTTTGATATAGTGATAACTTGGCGGAACCAATTAACCATGATTTCTTCATCTAAAGTTAATCAGAACATAAATTAACCACTAATATCTAAAAATGAAATAAGCATTGACTTCACAGTAATATAATTCCCCACTTTCGGGCACTCTTCATAAGAGAAAACAATATTTGACGTGACGAACATGACAGTGACTGCCAGCCAACACAGTTCATAACCAGCCAGGAAACTTTTCAGTGAGGTGGAAGCGTTCGCACGCGGTTGTGTTCGCAGTTACCACGACGCGGTTGTGGTGCCAACACAGTTCATAACAAGCCGGGAAACTTTTCAGTATTTCGGAAGTGGTCGCACGCGGTTGTGGTCGCAGTTACCACGACGCGGTTGTGGTGGTCGATGGATGACATTCGATCGGCAAAGGCGAATCGTCGGGCGTCGTCGTGTGAAGGGCCCGAAGCGAACGAGAGCTCGAGCCGAGAAACTGTCAGCCTCTCGGGAATGCAGAGGGAACGAGGGTTTTGTCGAGCGTCTGCAGTCGGACATTTGCGGGCGTCAGGGTTTATGAGTCGGTCACAAGTATTTCGCAACTTTCTCGTGTGAGATTCTCGAGGAATTGCCTGTTGCCGCAGTGCGATTGCGGCCATGGCGTCCCTCGGGCGCACGGCAGGGTTCTGCTGCTGTCGCTGCTCTCCCGCCGTGCACAGCGTGTTCAACTCCTCTGGCCGAGTCTGCGCACCGCCTGGACAGTCGAGGGCGGTTTCCGCCTCTGGATTCGCTTTGTTGAAAGCTCTCAGCTCGAAGCTGTCCGCGCAGCAGGGCAGCTGTAAGGCTGTTGATTCTTTTTCTGCCAAGTCTACGTTGTCGAGAGTGTCTTTCAACTTGCGGTCCGCTGCCGCTCGAGCTTATTATTCGGAATCCGGTTTTCAGTATGGTCGGACGAGTGCTCCTTCGGAACAGTATGGGCAGACTGAGCAGGACAGGGATCAATTTCCAAGGCCCCCTTTGATTCCGTGGGAGAAGGATCTTGCGAATGCGGTGCAGCTAATCGGCAATGTGGGCAAGGATTTGGATATCAAGTATTTGGACACCGGCAAGATTGTGGCTAAGTCCTCACTCGCCGTGAAAAAACCCTCTCAAAAGAACGAGGAACCTAGTTGGTACTGTCTTCTGCCCCTGTTTTAAAGCATTGTCTTCAGCGTCTGTATCATCTCATGCGAAAATTCTGAATTGTGAGCGGCTTGAATTTGTAATCGGGCAAGGGATGAATACTACAAAACTTGTCGAATTGCACTTCTCATGCAACGCTTTTATTGACTTATGTGGTTTGCTTGCTTTACAGGTTTGAATTGGAGTTTTGGGATGAGCTGGCTGAAATTGCTGCACACCATGTGAAAAAGGGAGATCAGATTTTTGTAACAGGAAGGATTATCGTTGACAAAGCTGTAACACCTGAAGCCACTTACACCAGAGTTAAGGTTGTTATCCTAGACCTAATGAGAAGTCGCCAACTTCAAACTTTCATAATTTATATCTGGTGGGAGCTTTCACTGAGTTGTCATGGTATCCAGTTATCGGAGAAAATTGCGCCATGCAAATTTTCTTCTACTTACATTTAGTGGATATTCTCCTTACAGACAACCTTGGTTTCTTGTGTAGGTTTCGGTAAGCAACTTGTGCTTCGTGGAACCTTTCAGTGGTCAAAGGAGAGCTTATGTTCAGCCCAATAGCTCTCAAAATGATGAATTTGTCGATACTTCTGACAACAATTGGTCTCGAGAAGTCATATCAGCAGCCGCACCTCAGCAAAATTGGAACACTCAGTCTGTGTCTCCTCAACAGCAGTCTAGCTCTCCTGTGGCAGGTGCGGCTCATTTTTTCACTTTTCTCGGTCACATGCTTCAATATTGCAGCAAATGAGTTCGGCAGGTGCTTGATGTTTAAAATCTCTCATTAGTGATATCCAATTTCAGAGATTTTTTATTATGATTGTGCCGCAGAAGTTTTATTAGGTTGTGACGCACTAGCTTGTCCTCCTCAACTCTTTACCTTTGAAGACTAGAAAGGCCCTAGCAAAGTACAGTGGTCAGTGAAGTAGTTTGTTCGTAAGTGATGTTATCAAGAGCTCGGATGACTTAGTTATGCAGTTTGCCTGATCCTACCTACTCGGAAGATTCACTGTAATTAAAGAGCATGTCTGGATAAGCTGAGATTTCTGAGGTTACCTTCTTCCTGTTATTTAGTTTGAATTGTACTTTGGTTAAACAGGCACCGCCGGGAAAGCGTCATTTGAAGATGAATCTCTCTCGACAGAGAAACGCTGGCAAGCATTTTTTGCAGATCCATCGCAATGGTGGGATAACCGGTTTAATAAGGTGAGAAGATTGTAATTTCTATTTTAATTAGAGTTTGGGATCGTCGAACGAACGCCTGCAACTGCTTGTTGGCTTTGTATCAAAAGCATCGTTGATTTTTAAAAGCGTCGTAAAACTTCTAACCTTTCCTCAACTTATTTGTGACTCAGAAAAATCCAAAGGCTCCTGACTTTAAACACAAGAGCACCCAGGAAGTACTGTGGTTGAACAGTTGGAACAATCCTCCATGGGTGGCAGCACAGGTAGCAGCGTGGGAGGACAAACAAGCACAAACCGGTGAAGTTAGAGGTGCGGGGCAGCGGTCAAACAGAAAGAACCTGTCTTCTTTTAAGGACTCGGACTTAATATAATTTGCACATTTCACTGTCTTTTTGGAGTTTTTATAGGTGTGTAAAAAATCATAGAAAGTACGTTTTCGATTGATCAATGCAAACAAGCAGGAACTTAGTGCTGCCTGGAGGTGTAGACTTGGTTGATGTACATAAGGTAGCGCTGAAATTAGTGTCTCTTGACTATGATAATTCTTTCCGTCTTACTTGATATCAAACCTCCGGCAGTGTAAATTGAATGTATTCGGTGCTCTTTCGCGCATCTTGTTGCATCACACATTTCGTGGTTCCTTTCCATGATATGCGCACTTAAGCTAAGAAGGATAAGTCTTTTGTATATCTGGTTGCAATGACGCCATATTCTTCTTTCACATTTTCCGGCTTATAACACCTTAACCTTTGTTATCCAAAAGTAGGGTTGAAAGAAAATGCAGAGTTATAACGGGAACAAGTTGGGAAAAATGTTCACTCTTTGTATTTTCTGCAGTTGCCCCAAGCCCTAGGTCTCGTAACAGCGCTGTGAGCCATAGTGGCACTACTGCTAACTGCACTAGCAGTTGATTTACATGCGCTGAGTAGATGCAGCAATTTAAACTGCTAGTGCATATATATAATAGGTAGATTTACATGCTACCTATTATATCTATCACTACAACGTAAATAGTGAGAAAGGGTTAATAATCTCCACACAGAACATAGTAGATGCCACAATTTTAATGATCAATAACGGGTCTAGTTTACATTCCCCCATTTTTAGATAGGGCTTACCCGGCATCTCCACAACCCACTCTTTGTAGTGCGAACGTCTTTTGTACTCACGTTATTTATCGGAGTAACTTCGTTTCTTTCTGGAGGAAGATATTGGTTCTGAAGAGTGTTTGAAAATTAGCTTGGCGAGTCACATTTGTAGGGTTGTTGTACCAGTGTGAAATCTCGATGATTCATGAAGGGCAGGACCTTGCAACGAGATCAGCTGTAGCGGATATTGAGTAGAATATCAACACCATTGAGTAGGAAATCAATCTCCATTGTTTCGCATGGTTACCGTCGAAACTTCTATCACGCCAACCGATTGTGACTTGCTAAAAGACGGACATGAGCACGTAGTTTACACCTTTTTGATGAAAACAACTTGCTCAATATCGATGGTGGTATGGAATATGGACAAGACGGACAATCATGTCGATGGATATTAAGAATTTTGAGATATTGTGATCAGAAAAAAACATGTGGCAAAAAGGTCTTATTTCATGAATGTTTTACAAAACGGAAATGAACACGCACACAATTTTGAGAGAAAGAACATACATAAATTTTACCTGGATGATGGATTATATGGATTCTTATCATACTGCATGTGATGACTTATCCTACATGGAGAATAATCAATCATTGACCCATATGCGGTCTTCAGGCCATGAGAAAGAAATATCCTGGGAAACTTGTCTATATTGTTTCTTCTTTTCATATCTTTCCTCAATTTAGTACAATATACAACGTATGCTGCAACGCTTATCCAGTCAAGCTTCACCTTTCTGAAAATTGTTCACCATCACTCCTTGAATCTTAAAAATGTGGAGAGAAAACACCTCTTGAGGAAAACATAGTACTAACCTGAAAGAGCCAAATAACTTGCAGTCACGTAATTCTTTGATTGTTGATTGACTTGGATTCAGATTACTCCGTGTACTAGCTGTACTTTCCATGTACTGGATGAGGAAATGAACATTGGTCTCGACATGTTGTTCGATGTTCACTCACCTTTCTCACATGCTGACTTGATAGTCGGTGTGAATCTCCGGCTCATGGTCAAAAGCACGATAGAAAGCCGACGAGATTGGAAACTCATTCATAACTGAGTGCAAGTCATTCACCGTTTATAAACAGGACGCATAAAGGTCTGTGCACACTCTACAACGCAATTAACGCGTCTCTATAGGCTTATATCAGGAACTAATTGCTGTGCATATTTTACATTGTCCTCAGATCGATCAAAATTGCTACACACCTATTGAAGCTGAACTCTGGGCCTAATCAAGCAGGAACAGAGTTCCAGTGGTCCACCCGTGGCCGACACCAAACTAGGGTAGCGCTTCGATTCTGGGTTCAAAGAGCAAGTCCGCAGAATATCTAGAATGACCACCAAAGTTTCCAAGCTCCCTATCCATTATCCGACACTTCATGAGTGCTTCATACAGTAAATTGTACAAATGAAAATCGTTGGTCGTATGCATGTATTCCGTTATGGGTTCAAACAAAGACTCGTGCTCAGAGTGATCACAGAAGCGATCCATAGTGGACCACCAGCTGCTCAGCGTAGGATTGTAGATACTCATTTGTTGAAATTCCTCTTGAAAGCTGAACACAGCTCCTTGTACACCTCTCGAGAAGCAGAGGAAGTCTTCAGACTTCATGGGCACGGTGAGGTATTCTGCCACAACATTAAGATTGTGCACAGGGAAGTGAAGCGAGTCCGGAGATGGAGCTAGTTGTTCCTCCCAAAAGCCAGTGACAGGATCTTGTCCCAACCGCTCCCACACACACACGTCTGCATAGCATGAGAACGTCTCGGTGGCATGCGAAGTCGGGTTCTTGTGACACACCAGAAACAGCCTGCCTCCGCAATCTTCCAGTTGGATGCTCTTCCAGCCAACTTCGGAGTGAGGCAAGTCGAAAAAGCTCCACCTTTCACTGGTTGGGTTAAATACACAGACCGTATGAAGGTCATCCGGAGATATATTCCATTGATGATGGTTGTAAAGCGGCACTCCCACATACAGAAGGCATCCATTTCTGGAAATGACAGCTGAGTTTTTTATTCTGGGCAATGGAGTTGTGGAGTCGTCAGTCCTGGGAATGAGTTTCCACGACCGGCTCACAGAGTCATAGATCTCTGTTCCATTTCCGGAATTCCCCATGATGATCTTGTACCCGTCGGTGTCAGAAATCATCCCCACCACGCAGAGCGGCCAATTGTACAACCTGGCCGGTAGCACCCTCGCGCAATCCTTTCGCAGAGGGTTCGACACAATCATGTCACAACCACGGTGGGGCCAACAACCCCCGGCGCACTCTCCCAAATTGCTGGTGCATCGAGGACTGGGAAACTGGACTGAGAATAGCAATCCTCTCGACGTAGCTAGCACCAGGTGATTCACCTGACTGGGGAAGTACCTGAGTGGTGAATTCATTAATTTGTTCAGCATGGGATCGTAGTAATGTATTTCCGGTTGACTGTTGGCGTAATTCCTGATGAAGAGGACGTACTTTTCCCGAGGAGCTCTCTGAGAACGCAGCATCCCAAACTGAGAGCAGTCCCAGAATTCGCACCACTTCTTGCATACCAGACGAAACTTCGCCAAGGTCCGATGTGGGAGGTACGCCAAGACGACCATCAGCAAGTCCACCGGCAAATATCTCCACACCCTGGAGTCCATTTCATAATCCATGTGATCTCCAGAGACTCGGTCCGTGTCCACCCTCGGAATTTCTGCCACTCAGCATGCACAAGACCCTTGTGTTTGGAGAGTGCTCAGAAGCTCAACACAATTCATCATCCCATCCTGCTCACAGAGATCTCCCAAGCTGCACCCGAGTCTACCGACACTCGATGACGAAGTTGGGAGCCAGAATTCGGAATTTGGAGCAAATCCAAACTGATTGTGCGTAATCTAACCATGAATTAAAACGAAACCGAACCCAAACCCAAGATCGTGCACGCAAAGGACAAATCCTGGGAACGAACTTACTTGAAACAGACGGACAGCTCCAGTTCAAATTGCACTACGTTCGGCTTCCGTGCTCGCCACGGGCGTTGCGCTTCCTGATCTCAGGAGGACTGCAAATGAGAGAAGCCTCGGCCATGAGAGGAGTAGAGTAGAGTCCAACAACTGCGAAGGCACGCAGTCCCCTGCAGCAGCGACCGCACTCAGCAGCTCGGACGAAGCTCGCGAGGACCGACCCTGCAGCCAACCCTACATCGTCAGCCCGGCGGTGGCAATGCCCCTCCGTCGCTCCTCCTCCTCCTCGTGCTGCCGTAGGGTTGCGCTGCGACAGTCCTCATCTGCACAGCGCATCTGCAGCATTGCACCCCGATTCGCTCGATTCGCTCTTCCCCACGAACCCTCGAGCGCCCCAGAGCCGTGCCGTAACAGAACCCATGGCGCACGAATCCCTCCGGACACGAAGAATCTGCCCCGCCTGCCTGCCCCCGCAGCTCAGCTCAGCTCAGCCCAGCCCCGCAGCATCCCCGACCCTTCCGATCGATCAATCCGCCGGCTTCAGCTCGCAAACCTCTTCCAGAACGACGACCAACAATCAGCTCGTCGCCGGCAGATGCGAATTGTGGGCTGCGGAATCGAGAGATCGAGCAATCGATTGATCGATCGATCGAGCGAGCGAGCGAGGGAGTGAGGAAGACTGAGCAGGCTACTGACACTTAGCGAACGAGCGAGCGAAGAGAAGAGAAGTGGCTCACCGGCCGATCCGGTGCGGTCGTCCCGGTCGTGACGGCGAACCGGGAGCGAGGGCAACTTGTCGAGTCGGCGCCCCGGTAGGTCGGCCTCACGTGATCAATGGTTGGGCAGGGCAGGCAAGAAACGAAAGCCCTCTTCTGTACTGTTGTTGTCCGAGGGCTAGTTCCAGCGCGGCGGATTTACCGGATGTCCGAGGGTCAAACTCTTTGTACTTTAGTAGATTTTACTTCGTTTCGGCGAAATCTTTTAATGTACGACAGAATGTTGTTCATTTATTCATTGAATTGGCTTGTAAGTTGTTATCTGGTGCAATTTAAATACATTTAGTTATGTAAGATCGTAGCAGATTTTGTTCTCATGTACTGATAAGATGACTATAGTCTTGAAGTGGAATCAATCTTTGACATATTTCGTTTGCTTTCGAATGTATTAATTCGTGAGAAGATTAATTATTGGAGAAAATAATTATAAGTAGATGCGTATTAAGCTATTTACTTTACAAAAGGAGTTCACTCATAGGTTAATCTTATCCTTAACAAATGATTTGATTTCTGGATCGAAGACCAACAGATATTAATGATATATGTTGATCTTCTGATAATACCTTTGTATCATATCATATGATACAAAGGATTTCATTCTTAATTATTTTATTATCGAAGATTATTTGGTCTAATAATGAGTGAATTAGATATTCCTAACAATTACATTGATCTATAAAATGTTCTATCTGAAGAGTATGTAGAAGGAGGGAAATTGGGATGAAAATTAAGATGTTTGCTTTTGAGTAAATAATTGAGAAAATTGAAGTTAACGTTTTGTTGATGTATGTGTACGGATTTTTTCAAAATAAAAAAATCCTTGACCCCTGATGATAATTTTTTTATTAATACAAGTCAAGTCCATTTCAAAATACAAGATATATATAAGGTAAAATTGTGCATTTTCCCTAATTTCAAATCTAGAAATGTTGTGTCTTTAGTTTGCTACTTTGAAGCCTACATCTTCGTCATCCATTTTATCTTTGTGTGACTTGATACTAATTTTTTTTTTCTTGGCCCTGTTACTTTGGTAACATGAAACTTAGAACTAGCATTTTTTAAACCTTATTATTTCTGGAGCAAGAAAATAAATTTTAGAACATCACATGCTTTCTTTAAGATTATAATCGGATTAATTTATTTTATTTTGAAGTTTTTTTAAAACATTTGCTTTTTCCCATATGATAAATATTGCTTCTTGTTCCCTAAAAATTCAGTGTTATATTAATTTCCAGGTGTGTAGTCTTTGGGTCTTACATACTTATTACATGTATGAAATTTAAAAAAAAACACAACCATTCAATATATCTTGATTTGCAAATGTATCTTACTATGAATCACATTGGACTTGAATACTTAGTTTAGTTTCACCTCTCAACTCTAAATAGTTCCAGATTGCCCACGTAGTAATCTAAGCCTAGGTAGTAGAATGTTTTATGGCATCATATCTAACCTTGTCATGCTATTGGGACTAGCACCAGATTCCTGGTTTGATTTCTAACATTTACGGCTCGATGGGTTGTTACCATCCAGTCTGCCTTTTACTGGGTCCCCTTTCGTTCGAGCAGTAAGTGAAACATTCTTCACTTTTCAGCGGGCTGCAAAAATACATGAGGTCGAAGGGCTAATGACTGAAGATATATTCTACCTACAATTGGACAAAATCAATCTAGTAATTTAGAATGAAGGGACTGTGTCTCTCATAGATTTGAAGGGGCACAATTTATTATTAAAATAATTCCTGTTGAGACTAGCTCAACAAATACATGTTACTGATGGAACTACTGGTTTCCGAGTCTGAACCTCTATGTGGTTAGCAGTGTAGTAGTTATTGGAAAGAATAAAAGGTAGATATTAAAAGCAAACTATAAATTTGGTATGCAAGAAATTTAGAAAGCAAGAAATTTGCTATGAAAGATCACAGCCTGGCATTCTGTTTCGCCAAGCTCGATCGAAAATGCTTTCATCAACGCCGAACTGATGAGCTTGGAACCAGAAGTGGAGGAAGAAGCAATTCGAAATCGCAAAAGCCTTGGATACGTTGAATTCATGTATGGGTGATCAGAACTGGAGGACTTCTGTCATGTTGACGAGGAGAACAGGGAAGAATATGCAGCTGCCGTATAGAAAGATGTTGAAGAGCTTCTGAAGTCGATGAAGATGGTAGATGATGACGACGACGTCGTTTATCCTCATCCTCAAGAGGAATTTGGGGTCGTATTTCAAGGTTTTGAATGCCTTTAGAAGCAGGTTCTCGACGTCGAGTATCACCTGCTCTGCACCAAAGTTCAAATTGAAGATGACGATACAATACATGATCTTTACATAGGAATCGTTGGAAGAGCCGGACAGTCACCGTCAAACCCAAACGCAAGAAGCTTCAAACTTGCGACAAATGACGATTCATGACATGCTAAACTAATAAATCTTGAATCCGAAATTTCGGGGAAAACTATGAGTACATAGAGCGGGAGGATACTGTGCTTGAAACAAGAAAAATCAGAAATAAGTCCCGAGTTTGTAAGTCCTATTGGCAAATCTCCTTCTAGTATTAAAGCTCCTTTGTATTCAGCTGTCAATTTCAAAGTAGATGGAAACTCTACTATTCTACTCAACTACAAACTGCAATGATCTCTTACAGACTGTTGCTCGGATGTTTGATAACGAAGGCGAAATTCACATGTCGAATCCAGTTGTCGTTACTCGGTCCCATGATGCGCAGAGGACCCTTGTTACCCCAGCCCATTGATTTGACATGTCCACTGCGGGTATCTGGGGCACCTCCCTTCTACGCTGCCCAGAAGCCTTCTTGACACTACAGGATTCATCGTGGAGTGGAGGTCGTCTCTTGGCCATTCACACCATCATCCAGACGATACAGAAGGAGGTCTCGAGCCTTTGCCGGTTTAGGGTGAGCAGTCATAAGCTGTGTAATGTGGTGAACTGAGATCAATTGGGGAAGCTATGGGTTGAGAACTCGTTTGCTTGATTGCTAAATCTACTATGTCTGCAGGTTTAGCCATGAAGGGACTCGATACTTCGCGTGTGAAATTGGTATCACGATGGGTGTTGGATAAGAACGTCAGTTGCCTTGCCTATAGCTTCTCTGCAAGCATCCAATGTCTATGAAGAGTACCCATGTCGGTGGTAAGATGTATCTAGTTCATCATGCGTGTCAAAACGCGATTACAGTTCGTCAGTTGAATCAATCATTGCTTGTTTCGATGAAATAAATCTGAAGACAAATTTTCCATGAAAGCAAGGACTTTCATGTCATGTGGGCTGTGATTGTTGTGAGATCAGGGAAAAAGTAATTCAATGTCTAGCCGCCAATAGTGAGGCCAAGGTTTCTCTTCAATTATCGCACGTAATATGCTCCAACAATCAGCAGCATTGATCATGTTACAACCCTTCTTTTGTTTTTCTTGTTGAGCATAAATAAACTTTCCAGTCACATCTGCTTCAGAATCAGACTGTTGTATCGACTCTCAGAGCTCTTAATTTTTTAAAAGACACTGCTTTCTTGTTCTTGTTGTAGTTCTTGACGACCTTCAGCTCGTCATCATTAAGAAGATGCTGGAAACTCTCACTGGTCATAGTTACAGGGGTTATAATAAGATTTGCAGGTGTCTATCCAGGCAGGTGCAGGCTCTGTCCTCCAGAACCAACTAGATCCATTACAGGTTTCTTTCTCTAACTATGGGTCATGGACTAACAAATCAACTATAGCAAACAGGTGAATTGATCTGTTTGATATTGCAGAAAAAAGCCCCACATACCCAGTTGGGTTCAGGCTTGCAACTCTGGTTCAGCGGAAAATTTTAATTTCCATGCACGCCACTCTATTTGGGGTCCTCCGATTAGCGTCTTATAATTTAAGCTCTACAAATGGCCAAAAAGTCAGTAGAAGTTTGATAACTCATATACGAACTCTAGCCAGGCTCACAAGACAACTCATAGTTCATGAAATATACTCTCTGAATCCAGTGGAACTGAACTGCCTCGCTCCTCCTTCCAATAGTAGATGCAGGCAGCACTGGAATTTCGTGACATCGTTCTGCCAAAGGTTTACTTTGCTATAGGTGTTTCAGTCTAAAAAAGCCCTTCGCTTCAAGCTTGCTCTATGAAATGCGAACCGGTCACAGTTCCTGTGGGTGCGGTGAATTCTTCACCACTGATATCTTCACTTCGACACAAGCTGAGAAGCATGATGTATAAACTCCCAAGCCTTTCAGCTCAATATCATAGCTCCAGTCCACCATAGGACTGTCGTTATCGTTCATTAAAATCGATCAGTTCAATTTCCAAAATAATCCAATGAAATCCAGTTTTTGCGAGATTTTTATCCAAGCTTGCCTCCAGCATGAAGAGTGCTGAGCCTTTGACTTTTTTTTGGAGGTGAGGGCAGTTGTCTAGATCAAACTTTCAAAACCCATCGGACTCAGCGATGGGGTTTGTGAACATCATGGGTCCTGCGTGCTGGGAATTGGTTCTACTGTCGATGTTTATACTGACCGGAAGGGATTCAGATCCCTTCCATGAGATCTAAGTGATAAACCTGGGCATGGAGCGTTTCTAAATGGGTACTCCTGCAAATATTCGGCAATAGTGAACGATAGTGTGTTTCATATTTAGGTATGCATAGAAAAGTTGAATAATTAATTTTTTAACTTCATTATTTTTTTAAAAATGGAGTTAATATTTTCACAATTTATTGATTGTATATTTATTATAGCTTAAAATAGATCTGATTTTGACTAGCTCAAAATCATCTTGAGTTATGAATTTAGAATAAAGTCTTTATGCAGCAACAAAGATCTTGAACATAGAGGTAAAGTTTTTTTTGAAATATGAGAGGCTATGATTAACTAAAAGCCATTATACCAGGAAATAATATGCAAGATTCAACATGTAAGATGTGAGTATTATTTCAACTCTTCATTTCAGAATTTCATCAATTTTTTGTAGAATACATATGCAAAATAAGTTTTGATGTCCAAGATTTTTTTAAACAAGGCAATGAAAGGTTTTATATATTAGATGATTAACATTATGCTTGACATTTAATTTTTCTATCATACATGACATATCCAAAAACTTACGTTATGAAGGCGCGAGATGAATTCTCAAATTTCTTCATTGTAACTTGGATTTTGATCTTGTGCTTGATGCAAAATATGTAAAATGCCAAATCATTGATTGAATATATGGATGTTGATTATGGATTATATCTTGATGACAAGAAAATTACAATTATAAATGTGTTCACATTTGGTGATAAATGTAAGTTGAAAATATATATGAAAAAAATGCTTAAATGATTACATTGTAGAGTTTTATCATGTTGCAATATCAAAGAGATTAATTTGGTAGATAATTTTTTCACAAGAGTGAAATTAATGTATGAAATTTTGAATTTTCATCACAATAGTCAAAATAATTTATATCTAGTTATAAATAACTTGATTAAAAAATAATTTACAATACATTCACATCAAATTTTTTTAAAAAAATAAGTGTGATGAAATGATTAGACAAATGGAATTTGACAATAAAGTCAATGTTGTTGATAAATTTAAAAATCAATAGAATTGATTATTTTAAAACTTTTTAAGACATCATGATTATTTGAGATTTTGCATTATCAGATATTATAATTTTCATTTTATACCTTAAAAAAAACTCTTAGGTGATGATTAAAATTGATAATAATTTGTAGATAAATTTTGAAATTCGCTATGTCATATATTGAAATATTTAAGAATACTTTAGACTAATTGGAACATAAAATTGTATGAAATTTTTCCAAGAGCATTGCCAAAAAAAAGCTCAATTATTTGCAAAAATCTATAAAGTATGCAAATTGTATTTTAAATATTTTTTGCAATTTCATTTGTTCAAATGAAGAATGTTGAAAAGTTCATTAGGTAGAATGCTTAATTAAGACTTTTGAAACTGCCATTTTACATCTAATTTATCAGACTCTCTATGAAAAAAATAATGTTCATGCTACATTGCAGTTATGATAATCTTTGCTTTATTTTTTTGACTTTTATCAAATTTTTTCATTATATTACTCAAATTTTTTCATGATATTTATTTAGATTCAAATCAGTAATACTTGAATGCTTTTGCAAAGCAAAAAAAATATGAAGCACATATATGCAATCATTATGAATCAAATACAGTTAATTTTCTTGCAATAATTTTTATTTTTTTGAAAAAAACTGCAAATGCTTGTTATTTTTCAAATGATGCATAATCTAGCCAAAACTTTTGCAACACCTACAAAAATTATTATTATTCTTGCTAATTAAGTTTCACATTGTGAATGATAATTGCAACTTACAAAAACATAAAATTGTTAGTCCTTGCATACAACAAATCGGTGCATTATTTGCATTAGTTACATGTATTTGTCCATATATATGTTTGAAATACCTCAGATCAAATTACATATTTTATTTTTTACTTATTTATTAAATTATTATGCTAAAATGCTTTTGCATATTGATTTTTAATTGAACTTTTTAGTACATCTTCCATCAAAACTCAGTAGTTTTTACTACTGAATCTAATGAGCGCAATAGGTGAAGATACCAATTTGTAGTGGAAATTTATTGAACTTGTACTTTTGGCCCACAATGTATCCTGATCTTTTCTAGTGTTCACGGATCGACTCACGGTCTAGTCTAGAGAACTTCTCTACTGAAAGTGATTGATTTTGAAACGGTGAAGAGTGATGGAATCTCAATTTGAAGATTGAAATGCATGATTGCAATTATCTCATTTGAGGAAAAACGCTTACGCTAACACTACACTATACTCCCACCTGCTCCATAGACATTTAAGAGCATACTGTATATCATCTCTCTCATTTCCTATTCAAAATCAGTTGCAATGAAAAATTGGACTTGAAATCTTTCTCAAGTCCGTGGCGAAAATAATGTAAAGTAAATCCTTAGTATAAAGTATAGCTCATGTAAGGTAAAACTCCGTTCAAGGTACAAATTTGTTTTTAGAATGCACACTCTTGTATATTTGTAATAAAAAACTCTCTATAAGAATTACAACTCTGTTAGATATTGTAAGTATGTTCACGTACTGTCCATGCAATTCTACATGAGGTACAACTTACTTTTTTTGGCTCTCTTGTCTTTGAATTTTGATCATATATTTGAAAAACATGAGAAGGAAAAGCGCAAGCTTGTCGGACCAAACCAGCCATTATCGAGCATCTTGATGAAGGTCACAACATCTGCGCAACTGCAACAGAGTTCAATTTGAAAAAAAAAAAAAACAGTTCAAGCCGCTAAGCAAAGTAGATAGTTGTTGTTGAAAGAAAAAAAAACATCCGTTACATGTCTAAAGCAAAAAGTGACATCAATATCATTCTGAGAAGATGATTTGTAACATCCCGTACACAAGGGTTTTCAATTAGTTACCCTATACTCAAAAAAAAAAAAACCAAAAGAAAGTCAACTAGAAATGGAGGCAGCAATTTTTTTGCATCAAAAGATTGGCTACAAAAGTGAAAGCAATAGAATAACGTGGAGTTGAATAGAGTCAAGAAACATGGATCTTTACAGTGTTGAACAATCGAAGTTGACTTTAGCAACACTTTTGGCAGGGTACGGTTTGAAAGACGTGTTCGATATGAATGAGATCACATTTTTCTTTAGTGCTTTGCCAAATTCAACATTGAGACATGTTTCTCAATCATGTGAGGGAGAAAACAAGAAAAATAAACAATAGTAGTGGATTTGACTTATTTTGAAATGGGTGATAAATTTACTCCTTGGATAATTGAAAAGTCAAAAAGTCCTTGTTGCTTTTGTGATGTGCACACAAAAAAGCTGAAGGTGAATTATGCAAACACTACAGGAGTCAAATCTAATCTTAAGTGATATTCTTAAGGAACTATAAGAGTAAATTAAAAAAAAACTGCAAAGTTTTGTAGATGCGCAGGTCCGCATTCTAGATGAAGGATCCAATTTGTCAAATGTCAAACTTTGATATTTTTCCCCTAACCTGACTTCCATTTTGCAATTATTGAATGCTGAAATCATTCAAAGTCTGAAAGTCCAGTTTTGATTTTTCTACTTTTGAGAATAAGTATTTTGGTAAAGTGCATTTACAGTACATATTCCAGACTAGTTACATCAACTCTATAAAATACAAAATGAAAAGAATTTGGGGAAAATAAAGTGTCCTTTAGGGTGTAGGGTTTAAACCCTACCCTAACCCAAAATAAGTACTGAAATGGGTAACAGAATTTCTCCAAACTATCGCGGAGATATGAACTGTAGCAACAACAGCCTTCCCAAAGATGAAATGAAGCAATGTTCGTTATCGTGATCGCGAGTGACTGATTCACGGGGACCTGGTAGGTAAAGAAACCTCATGTGGATCTGAACCGATACGAGGCGGGAACACGGATGGTACGGGGATGGATTGATCCGCCACCATGCCAGTTGCTGGAGGACTCAATCCTTCACGATCCTGCCATGGACGACGAATTGTGGCGCTCTTGATGGACTTTGCTTCGCCGTCCAGTTCTCCGTACGTCCTGGCCCACGCGAGGGCCCTTGTGGGACCCTGAGACAATGCTGGAGTACTATCTCGCCGATGCTTCTACGATCCAATTATGATCATAAGTATAATTTCGATCCACAGGTTATGGTGGGTTTAAGTTTGATTTGTCAACCACTACAGTTAAAATGTTTTCATTTTATTATAGAATTATAAAATGTATATATGATTGTAATCATCGGTTTTTTTATCTATATATATCTTAGTACGAAATTAATTTAAAGTATTCTTACAAAATTATGATAGAGAGAAAATTTATTGCTTGTCAAATATTTATTAAGATTAAAAAATATTAAGATCAAATGAAAAAAATATATGACAAACTATACATCTATAATGAATTCCAATATTGTAATAAATGTTAAACTATCTTTATTGCAATTATCACATATCACCAATTAATTATAAATTATATAGCATTCTATGCTAAATCTATTTTACTGAATCTTTTATAGAATATTTTACTGATAACATATTAATTTTTATAATATATACAGTATTCTATAGAAGAACCTATGCAATGTAAAAAAATAAGAATCATATTCTTCATATGCTCTTGCATTTAAATAAATATAAAAAATTGGATTCTTCATCTTTCATTGAAAGTTCAATACTATTGTAAAATCAGATTTATTTACATAAGTTTATTTATGCTGAAGATTCTTGTTGCAGCTACACCACTTGGCATTAAAAAACAAGTAAATTTTTTAAAAATGATTTTTAGATTAATATTCACTAAATTCATACCAATGACATGATATTTTATATGATAAAAATCTAAATATTTTAAGTTTATCTTATTGCAAAAGTAATATTGTATAATAATTTAAATAGATACAAAAATAAAATATTTCAAAAAATTATAATTAAAAAAAATTCATAGATTAAAATATCTGATCTACATAAAAATTATTGAAGTATCAAAACTCTTGTGTTAGGTACGGATTAAGTAATCCTATAACAATCTATATATGTAGACTTAGCAAAACATAGTCCTCCAATATAACTTCAAAATGTATATACAAAATTCCTTAATGTAAAATGTTTTAATTTATCAACTTTTAAAAAATTACTTGTTAATATTTTTTGCAATTACTTTGTAGAAAAAAAAAGTTCAGTGATTATTGATCAATCATATGAGTTGCTCAAGTACAGCTTTCAAAGATTCTCACTCTATATCAGCACATATAATAAAGATTGATATTGGAAAATTTGGATACACTTTGAGGTTGTTGCACTTGGCACATTAGCTTTGCGGCCAAATGGCAGAAAATAAAAGTGCTTTCACTCTTAGTTCAAATCTACCGATTCAATATTATCGCGATCTGATATCTAATTGTGATTAGAAATAAAAAATAGGCAGCTTCTCCTTCTTATATTTCATCTTTACTCCAAGAAAGTGAAAGGTTCATATGATCGTTATATTCTGGAGTTGTGGAACCTAAGGATGAAATCTTTTTACTTGAATTTTTTTCCTACACGTACTAGTGCCTTTTCAGTGTTATTGGTGCTATATAAAACATGAGAATGTTGATGAACCTAATTATGAATGTCAAGGTTCTGTGTTGTTGACTTTACATGATCTTCAACTCGTTGAACCTGTATGGTTGGAAGTTCTTCATTACTCAGTAAGTCTTCTAACAGAAGACAATCGTTACATTTGGTTCTCTGTTGGCATATATAGCTTTTAGTCTTATAATATTTTGACGTGCATGCACTATGTGACCGAAATTTGAGTGATATCGCTAGCTTCTTATATTTCAATTCTTCACTGCTGAATTCATAGGACGAAAAATTTGATCAACTTTTCGCAAATTTGGGCAACTTAGAAGCACGCTCACTTTTGCTATCCACAGGTCACTAGCAAATTCAAGGTCATGCACTCACAGGCTGTCCTGGAAGCACACATTCCTACCTAACTTCCTCATTCTCTGCGTGCGCGCCAGTTATTTAGTTGTCTCTATAATGTGTGGAATTTTGGCCAGATTAATTTTGGCAGATTGGCAAAACTAATTCTGGCAAATCTGGAGTTTAAAAATAGATAGCCAGATTTTAGGTGGTCTGCGACAAATACACATTTGAGATGTGTGTAGGTTTCTATATTAATGCCACTTTGCCAAAACCAGTTTATCCAGTTACTCATTCGTCAATTTCAAATAAGATGAAATTAACCACATTTCTAGACAGACCTGTGTACTTTTTTTGATTGGGAAAATAATCTCATCCATATTAAGCCTCTAGAGAGGTGTCATCCTTCTAGCGGGAGATCTTGGGAATCTCTAAGAGCACTGTGGTAATATTCTGTCATCATTATTACTTAGCACATCAACGAAACCAGTCAAACGAGTAGCAAGAGGTTGGTCCATGTAAGCTGGCACACAAGCGAGAGCTTTGTAGTGAGGGTTGTGGGGCAATGGAGTACTTAGAAAACTAGCAACTTGGAAATGTAGATTCTATTGAGCAGAATACTGACATAAGAATTATTGAGGAGGTCGAATGGTAAGGTCCAACGTGAGAAACTTCCAGAGATTGAGCTGGAACTTGAGGCGATCACAACCTAGCTTGGAGTGTTTTGGGTACATATTGTCTCTGAAATGGAGCATCAAGCTCAAAAGCAGGAAGTGGAGGATCTGGTTCCTGAGAATGAGATTGACATCGAAGAACTGATAGCTGCTTGGGATGAGTTTCTGGATAGCAGCAAAATGGATTCTACTCATGACAAAGATCACAGTGGACTAGATGATTTCCAGGTTCGAAATGTGCGCCGTCACGTTAAAGACGCCTTGAATGCACTAATGGGTCATCCCACTGAAGGGAACGCAGATCATTCAACCCACAGTGGAAGTTTGCCGGCCGATGATGAAATGGCCAGAAGTCCACCCGCTCGATCGGAGGAGAACGAGCCCTTGGATTCCTGCCCTGCTGATGAGCAACACAAAAATGCCAATAGATTTAACGAGGGAGAGGTTTCAGCTGAACAGAGTCTGTACATTAAGATCCAGATACACGAAGAAATAGACCCAGCAGCTTTCCCGCCAGGAACTGTGGTTGGATACTTGGACTTGACATCGAATGCTGTCAGCAGACGCCCACATTCTGAGCGTGTTGAGGCACCGTCGGAGGTCCACGCGGCCGACGATGTCTCTCCACGTACGCCCGGCGATGATGATCTCTGAGAATTGAGAGCCCGAATTGTTCCATGAGAGACTCGGCTTCTGAATCACCCCTTAAAGCTTGGGATTGAACGTCTTCATCGGGCCTCATGAGTGTTCGAAGGTTGGAGACATCGGCGCCTACAAAAAGCGAGTTTAAGTCTCTTGAGGTTAGAACCTCTTTGTTAAGTTTTATGTAGTAGTGAGGATATGAAGTTAAGTGTATTACGTTGAGAACCTCATTTCCATATTACTATCTAACTTTGAGAAAATACAAGAAGTTCATTCCAAAATACACAAGAGATGAATCACTTTGGGTGTCAAAGTTTTATATATTCTGTTATTCGTAGATCCTCTGATCATCGACATAAAGCTTTTGTCACTCTCTCAGAACTTAAATTTTCAATATATGAAGGACCTTGCTCTTAAATAGTTGGGAATCTTTACTTATAGGAAAGTGATTTTTTTTTCTTTTGAGCATCGGTAAGCAACATCCGTATCATCTACATAGCTTGTTCTCGATATTAGGTTATGGTAGACATTATACAAAATATATTATCTCATGATACTATTGGACTTAGCCCTTGGTATTCCGTTGGTTTTCTCTGGACAACTTGAGGGGTGTTCTGATCGTTATTGCTATCCACTTGGACACAGGTTACCTTGATGAACCTGGTGTACCTAGTCTTGAATAAATTCTAAAAAAAATCTAATTTTAACATTGTCAAGCATATTGAATCTCTTTGCTAGCCAAATAACTAAGCACCAAAGATGTTAATGTAGAAAATGACTGCAGTTAGTACCCTTTACTATAGTAAGTAAAGTAAGTTGATATATTATTGATGAGAATTCTTGTTTTTAAATCCCGACCTCTCAATCTCTCGATTGAGTAATCTAGTTACTTTTCCAGTGTGATGTTCCAACGGTAGTTTGCGTTTCCTACCAAGACAACAGCTCCCTAGGAATCACAATTAGTTCCTTTAAATCATCGAATATTAGTCGCATATGTTTTCTTGACTTACAAGCGTGTAACTTATCACTAAATTGAGCAAATTATCCTTCTGGTCCAAATGCTTTTCAGACCTTGACGTCTTTCTAGCACATAAGAATAGAATTATTCTTTATAGTAATATTTATCTATGGTTGAAAATTTTCTCAAGTTTGTTTCTTTGAATACTTTAGAGAATGTCAACTTCCGTGCTTCAGCCACATAGTACGAGTCTGAGATACTTTGTTTGTTTTAAGAACTCATTAACAAGTAGTTGATGGTCAGTTCAAAGGAAAATAGCCTGAAGAACACCAAGTAGAACTCAGTGCGGATTCCAATATCCTCTTAAATTTAATTGAATGCTGTTAGTTCGAGACAAAATGTTTTTTGTCCGGGTTGAAGGTGTATAGGCTGGGAAGAACATGGTCTAGTAACCGGAGTCCGGCTTCTAGATTATTCTTAGCTGAGCAGAAAGTTCAGCGAAGGCAGAATAATCAGGATTTGTATTTGTCTGTCTTGCTTTGAAGGTTGTATGCTTAATTACTTCTTGCCTAGGCCTCCTTCACACGGTTGAACAAGTTTCTAATTTAATACTTGTACATGTGCCACATGAATTGCTTTCTAGTCTTGATGCAGCTCATAATATAGAGGTGACACATGAATACGTATTTCACCCTGGATCGAATAGTGAAACATGTCGCTTCATCAATCTATATGATCATGTGCAGGAGGATTCAGGTACTGATAAAAGTTATCTTCATTCATAGAATCTCATCTGTTCAAGTTTCCGTACTCGTCGTATTTGTGCGAGGATTTCTTTTTTGAATCCACGCAAAAATTTCAGCCGGTTTCTTCTGGTACCATACTGTCTTGTGTCTAGCAAGATAAGATTCAACAGTCCATGCTTATGAAAGCAGCATAATAGCAAACGTACTCAGAATCTTCAATCTTCTGTAAAGAGTTTTAACTGTTCATCACAATCATAATCGTTGAAACATGAGATTAACAAGTTTTGAACATTTCAATTCCTTCTTCAGATTCTTGTTCATCGTCTTGTTCATATATCGAACTTTTCATATATACGAACTGAATATTGATAGTCTTGTTCGTATATAAGAACTAATTTTTCGAGTAATTGTCATATTTGGATTTCTCGCTTTCAAGCGGACACCTCTTTTCTTAGTAATATATGATTCGATCAATGTACCATAATTCCAATAAGTTGTGTGTGTATTAGTATGGTAACCTCACTCCAAGCTGCTCCGTCATTTAAAATGCAAAAATTTTGTTGTTTTTATTTTAGCACATATATACTCGAATTTCTGTCTCTCTTGGTGTCAGTTACGAAGGCAGTATAGATCAAGTTCTTTGTTCTCTTTGTTGTCAGAAAGTTCTGTCCTTTCGATCTGATTGAAAGTATTTTGGTTTTAGTGGAGTCCCACAAAATGTTTTTTGGTGAAAGTTGGAAGGTCTAATACCTACATACATCAATGACATGGCAGGTATGTTTTACCTCGTGAGACAAACTATTTTCAACAACAGATCTAAAAGTATGATATGCTCAAATTCGTTGAGATTTGTGCGTATAAACTATCTACAAATCATCGATATGAAATGAAATAGTCACTGTAAAGTGTTTTTCGCTGGTGACACATTCAATAAGTCCATAGGACTTGTTAAAATTAAAATTACAAATTTCTTTAAATCAAATTCATGATAAATTTTGATTTAAAAAGCAATTAAATGGTAGACCAAGCATAGCTATTGATTAACTAATATTAACAGAAATTCCCTGAAATTTCGGTCCCATCCACTCTATCCATGTTTTGCGATTGCATGATATCAATGTTAAGTCTCGTCGACGCTCATGCTCTTCACAGCACTATCAAATTTAATGTCCAACACAATGAACACGAAAATGAGAGCATTTGTCGTCTGTCTTATCATGATACAATCATGAAGACTCTGTATCATGCTCTGGTGGTCCATGCAGAACTATATCGACAGAGGCGAAAATTGCCTCCAGGCATGTGTCATTTTCGAACGTTAGAAGCGGCAATAATATGTTGGCTACTCCCATTCCGACCAGATCAAAACACATTCGATTTGAATCATTCGTTAAGAAAAAATATAATGAAAGAAAGTACGATTTATTTGGTCCTAAGTACAGATTTTCTACTTTTAATATGACATTGTAGTCTTTCTCGCGCTCTCTCTCCCTCATTGCCTTTGTTTGTAGAACATTCCTCCTGATATTGTGAACAAAATATACATTCTCGACCAATCGGACTCGTTAGGAAACTCCAAACATGAGAATTTGACTGATGATCCCAACCTTGAATTGAACTACTAGCGAAGGGAGTATCAAGGACACTGGTGAGAGATTGTGTTGGTAGACAGGATTTTGGTCCTGTTCGACGGTAGGATGTTACTTCAGAGAAGCGTACCGATACTTAATCGTCAAAATCTTAAACTACTAAGCTATTGCCAAAAAATCCTTTCGAAGATCGTTTTGAAGAAGATATCAAGAGTTTGGTGTCGCACCTGGACAGATATGTCACGTAGTTCTGTTTTAGCACAAGACATCCAAGATGCATGCAGCGACTTGCTGGTGGACATTACGAACAACCTCGCATGCTCGTAGCACTAGCATGCGAGTTAGCATCTCAGAGCTATTACTGCTACCACGCCTGACGACTGGCTTCTACGGTGAAACATCCGCCATCGCAGAGTAGGAAGCAAGCAAGGAGCTACGATAAATGGCTGCATTTTCGTAGCATCAGGGAGTCGAAAGGAGAACTGTTAGAAAGATGGGAGTCAGGTTGTATCTGGAATCGAAAGAAGTCACGCTTCATTCTCATGACCAGGTCTCCACCCAGTGAACCAGCAACCAACTTCCAGAAATTTAGCATGCCATGGCGTAACTTTGCTTTACCCAGGTCCACCTTATCTTGAATTCGATCACTAATCTCTCAACATGATGGATATCCTAGAAGGCTTGGATTTAACGATACGAGCAGAACTTTGTATCTTCATCTCGAACTCATCGCAGGTATTAAAATATTCCTCATATTTAGAAGTTTTCACTTGAACTTTGACCCGAATCGATCGTTTGGATTCGGACACACTGTTGATCGGGCGTTTCTGTAAATTCATAAATTATCTAACTTTTCTTCATAATTCTATCAAAACCACGGCTTGTACACATTTGCTTTTCTCGTGTCAATCAGCCACGCAGTAGTTTCTTACTTTTGCAAGTCCAGGTCCAGTACCCCTCAAGATCTTGGAATCTTTCGGACTTCAGAAGTTCTTGTATCCCGGTAATATCACCAGACCACAACATGAAATGATATCATGTACAAAACGAAGCGCAAATATTAGAGAGTGAGTTCTGTTGTCTGAAAATTGAATAGAGCTACATGTATCATGATATTCCTTATATGAATATGGAATATTTTTCAGTCCGATGTGATGAAAAAGTGGAGTCCAACTCCTTTTCTTCCCGGTGTTGGTGCCTGTTGTTGATGCCCATGCAAATCTTTGTAGAAAAGATGTATTCTTGCCATTCTATCGACCTCTGATGATCAGTTGGCACTTTCCAGTTCATTAGCATTATCAACGAATCCAGACAGACGTGGGTACCCATATGAACTCATAAAGTGAATGCCAAACCTATATGCCAAAAAACGAGGCTCTCATTGAACAAATAATGGAGCAATGTTGGCGAGAATGCCAGCCAGCTGCGGTGCCGATTATTGTCGGTTGTCGACTACGGGCCTCGTTTGTGGGCCCGTAATCGCAACCAATATCATGATGTCCGGGTCGACAAACGTCCGGAAGTTATAACAGTGTCGTTCCAGCGAATTGAACCCTTGTGTGTTTTATGCGCAGAGCGGCAGCAGAGAAGATAATTCAGTTGAGGTACGTGTATGAATTCGAGCGACGAAAAATCAGTTAAAATGAGAATAGTACAATCTGTGTGCATATTTCAAAAGAATTGTCAAATATATGTCATTGAGTACGTGAGGCTTTCAAGATTATAATTCTCAGAAAGGGTTTTAGTCATTTTCAGCAAATACACTTCAAGCAATTTTTATCATGTGGATCACGATCCGAGATTCAGGTTGAGGTCTGAACCGAAGTCCATCTTGTGGAGCCTAGGAAAATCTCAGTGCAAGCATCGACCAGAAATAAAACTTATGGGAATGTGTTTCGGAGGGCCCTAGTGGATCACAGTACCGCGTTCTACGATGGAAGCAAGAGACACGTCGTCCACAGATCGTCTGCAGCAGTCACCGGATTGCCCCACCGACAGGATGCTTGCTGTTGGACATCTGATCGATGGGGCCTTCATTATGTGCTCATGGCTGCAACAGAAGAGGGTTCAGTGGGAGGCGCAGTTGCGCGCTACTCTTTCAAAGAGCCTCGGGCCGTAGCGCGACCTTCAGCTCGCAGACGAGGTCCTTCAGAGTCCATGCACGGATCTCAGCATATTCCCACATCTCCAGGACAAAAAGTGCAAGGTCACGGACGCGCCTTCTCGTCCTCGTGAGAAAGTGCCATGTCAGTAATAAAGCTCGCACAGTGGCGCTTGGCCTCGGATGTGATTGATTCTCCAGCTGAAGTCGCACATGTGCCACCTTCCGGCATTTCTCCTTCAAAGCCTACGCCCAGCGAGGTTCCCCGGGCATGCCAGAGTGCGGATTAGCAAAGATAGAAGCTCCAAGAACGATCGAACTAAATTTGTACGTGGATCTGCGGGGGCCATCGCAAGTTGACCCAACCCTTTGGTTTAGGGAGAGAGGAGTTGCGAGGAGTGACTCGATCCGACTATAATATTTTAATCCAGGTGCTGTGAGCACGAGTGCTGAGCAATTCATGGCACTCGAAAACGTTTGGTGAGCGGCAAGCTCTCGGGCTTTGCGCAGGCTCCTGCCAGTCGTATACAAGAGCCGAATGTACCATGAGTTCATTCACCGCCTTCGAGTCTAGAAATGAGAATGCTTCATACCTGCGTCCGAGAGCTCACACATGACTACAGCGCTCTAACACGAGCTTGCACCTCGATCTGCACCCGTTTTCCGCCTCCACCCGTGTGCACCTCAGCTGCAAGTACGTATCTGGACAGCGTTTCCTCTCCAGTCTCGTTGACCGATTGAATTTGGTCCTAATTCCAGTCATGGCCCACGATTGAGAAAGCTTGGACTCAAGGCCAGGCAGTTGATTTTTTGGACTGTTTCCCCATCCTTTCCTATGAGCTGATCCGATTCTGGACAGAATTTCCAACACACGATACCTAGAAGGTTATGGTGAGTCTTTTCTAATTAAACCTCGAACTGTTTGTGACAGGTCCGATTCGCTCATGTACTTGGGAACGATGCTGTACGTAATGGAGGTCTTTTGTGAGATGATCACAAATTTGACGATAGAAACGTCTGAGCTATTCTATCTTCTGTATCTGCATCTCATTTAGTGCACGGTCGGATAAAACACCGTGCACGATGAGGAGGAAGAGATTTTGCGGGATGGATGGATAGCTATAGATGCATATTATGAGGCGTAAACCTGATGATATTTCTAGTATATTTGTATACGACGGTCGGTCAAATAATTCTATCTTGGCCACTTCCAGCACGGCTAGGATTTGAGAGGCTGGAAAAAAATAGTATGACGGGTATTCATTCGCTAGCAAGTGGAGTCGATTTCACACGCCACCGCTTCAAGAGCAGGAACAACGATGAGATACGATGTGTAAGCAGAGTCCGAATATCTGGAACCTCAGATGCAATGTGATGCCAATATGAATGGGAACGTCTGGGAGAATCAAGAAGGACCTGTGGAAGGATTGAAATGGTGAGGTGAAGTGAAGTGAAGACACGGGAACATTAATGTGGGGCAGGATGCGAGACTTGGAAGACTTCGAGAGCAACGGAATCGAGCCCACTCGGTTCTTTGACGAGTAAAGTGGTTAATTTCAGTCTTCAGTACGGGTGTGCCTTCCAAGGTCTGCAAAATGGGCGATTTTTAGAGGATATTAGGCTGAAAACGCAGCTATGGAACAGGTCAGCAACAGGGGAAATACTTTCGACCTTGGTCTTGGAAGAAGAGGAGTCGGTATGTGGAAGGGAGGGCTTCGGAACGCATACAAATGTCTAGAACGTGAGGATCCGGAGTGCGCAGCATGGGCGAGAGATTCACAAGTGGTGAGAGCAGAGGAGATCCCTGGAGACATCCGACTTGAAATTCTGAAACCCGGAGATGTGACGAGACAAATTATTCTAAAATCTGCAGATGAGTGCAAAGTTTTGATCGACGACGAGCATGCGGATAAAGTAGATAACAGCAGTGGTTTGGCATAGCCCACTATCAAATGACTAGTTACGGCCTATCACTGGTGGAGAGTAGAAATCATTTCCTGAACATGTGACTGCAAGGCAGATTAGATGGAAAGCAAGATATCTTCCTGTACTACTCGGGCCCACAATTTGGCCCTTTCTCATTAAGAAATCCGGCAAGAAATATTGAATCAACCATACACGAGCGCGTGTCGACGGACAGCATTCTTATCTTACACCTACGTTACTCCCACAACCCAGAATTGGCTCAAATCCCCCATCATGGATTCTTTCTGTCCACACACTTTTGCCGTAATAGAAACATTTCATGTTACTACGGCAATCGGGCTTGGTTGAGAGGACACTTGCGCAGTCCAAAGGTCCAGTCTGACCTGCAAGCTCGGTGAGCCAGGACCTTTCGAAATTCGCATCCACATTCCATCACACAGCTTCTATGAATCAACCCTGAGTAATTCATTCCATGGAGCTGAAGGGCTTCGTAGAATCTCCACCGAGTCTTGTGAACTCAAGCTGAATATAGAGTCTTTGAAAAACGACGGTGCCCAGAGGTATCTTCCTCTCGATGACCAATCTCTGCTCGGGCTTTATCTCGACAGCTTATCTAGTGGCCTTTTAGCAGACAATCAAATCGTCGGACTCTGCAAAGCTCGGAGCCGAGCAACTAACTCATGCCCGCTGAATGGACTGGAATCTGAACAGCTTGCACGTGCTTACCTGTCTGGCTCACTCACTTGGTCGGCATGACTGGCTGATAGTACAAATTTGTTCCGGACTGTCAGAGCCACTAACAGGGCAGAGTGTTGTTTGGTAGCTGATACAGTGTCACAGACTCACAGGGCATCGAGTCTCTTGACTCCTCTTAGCTTCTCTCGCACAGAAGCACAATCCTAAGAAAGTCCAGTGCTTGGGATAAGTTACATCCCTTGGGAAGAATCTTTCGTGATATGATTAATTAGCTGCGTAATGAATGACGAGTCAAACGGTCTGATTCCTCTTATCTGGTTAGAAAAACATGCACCGCCGAGCAGATTATTCAGGGAACAGAAGCGCTGTCCAGATTTAGGGACCGAGCATGATAATGAAATCCCCGGGAGAGGATTTTCCATCAAATAAGTGCCCTCTGTTCCCTAACATCTGAAGCACCCACATGCAGGCACCGACTCTCAAGGCGCACGCTTTTAAAGCTCCTGCAAGCGGCAACTGCACAGCTCGCCATCCTTAGAAGCACACGTGGTCGCCAGGCCGAGGAAGTAGATCTCATGAGCACCGACGGAGCGCATGACGCATGACCTTCCGATCCTCACAGTGCCATTCCTTCCTTCCTTCTACCCTCATTCCATTCCATCCAATAATAGATCTGATCTCGCCGGGATTCACCACCACTCCGACGTCATCGAGCTCGGAAGCATGTCTTGCAGTTCTCTTACCCCCACCCAGAACCACGAAAGGTCCGTTGGCTGTCAAAATTTCGTAGCCGGCCGAAGGAGTGGCTCAGAGCACAGCTGGGCTTGCTTGCCTGCTCGATTGATGGGCTGGTTCAAATTGGATTGGGCGACTCGATGAGGTCTTCCCATCCTTTCGGTTGTTTTACTTTGTTCCACCATAAAAAAAGTTTCTGGATCGGCGATAACGAAGCTGAATGTTAGCGGAAATGTAGCCTCATGTGCATTATAGATCAGAGGACGTGGACATGAGGACAAATGCGTCAACTGACACATTTGTGCTGGAGATGTTGCTGCTGCGGAGTTTCTGGACAGTCGGATGGAAAACAAAACAACAGTATTCAGACCGGGTTCGCACTCGGTGAGGGCAGTCATGAAGTGGTCTTCGCCAGAGCGCTTGATGCCTGGCCCCTATCCGTGAGGAAATCATTTGGTGTTCGTGCTTTGTCCAGGAAGCAGGGAAGGTGTCACCCATGCACATATCGCCTCCCTTTCCCCTTTCGCTTTACAACTTACAAGACATGTGCCGGTTCTCGATCACCATATTTCTGCCAATGAAGGCCACCACATCTGCACTCTCCTCGTCTCCACAAGTTTCCTCCACAGTCGACGAATGGTAAACCACATCACCATCTTCAGAGTAAGGAAGGACCATGGCCATTCTGTGCCCCATATGTCTCCAGTTGCTTGAGCAGTACGACGGGTACCTTGACTGACGAGGGCACAAACAGTTGAGAGACAAACCAGACGATAATCAAGCAATCAACATTCCAAAAACCGACCGAGTCGTATGTCGCGGGGAAACTAAGATATGGAATTTTTGGAAAAATATATCCAAATGGAGGGAGAGAGGCTTGAACTTGGCATTGATTTAACAATGTGTCAGAGCTATCCACAAGCTTCCCAGAAAGACCGTGAGGCACAAGGCTTCAGAATTTGACCCAAGGTTTGGTCTGGTCACAGCTTCGACTTTAGACGCTCGGAATGGTTGTCATTTCTTCTTCAAATTTCCTCCACTGCTGTCACAGTGTGGCAGTCTAAGAAAGTCGCATCACATGACTAAAACAAGTGCGAACTTTCCAAGCAGCACATTGAGCTAGAAAAAAAAATCTAAGGGTACTAAGTGGCTCTCGTAGCCTGAAAACTCGGCGAGTGTCGATTGTTCCCGAATCAATGACGGTTTCTTCTGCTCCTTCAAAGGTTACCCAACTCCCGAGCCAGCTCGCAACTTTTACCTGGGGTGCAATCTGGTCTTCCAAGCGGTGGTCCAGGGACAATTCAAACCTGAGGGCATTACGACTGACGTGTGCATCCAGCCAGTCGAGGGCGAGGGAAAGCCGAGCCAGCGCTCTAAACTCGGAAGGACTGAACCCATGGTGCAGTAATCAGAACGAAAGTTCTAACTTTAGGGTGTGGCTGAAGAAAGAGGGAGGAGTTGGCGTGGTTGCCTGTCCGTAGCTGCGGTTCCATGGTCCAATCTTGCGATCTCGTGAGGGATATCTTGCGCAGAAGCAACCTTTTGGCTACTCCCTCCAGGAAAAACCGCCCGCAACAGGTGTCAGAAAACCAGTCCTCGCAGATCCAAAGCTCCCGGTGGAGTCGCCCATTGGGCCTTTGAGGTCTAGGGCCACAAGCTTTCTCTTTCAGAGCAGCCATCCTTCCCGACATGCAAGGGGGCTTGGGTAGATCCCGGATCCTCGAGTGTTTAGTACGAGGATAATCTCCAGACTCTTGGACACTTATATAAAGTACTGAGCCGGCGAGTCCTGAAGTATACTCTCTGCATACTCAACCTTCTCTCTTACATCTCTCTCTTTCCCTCTCTCTCTCTCTCGCTACAAGGTTTCCTCCACTCCCTTCTCAGACCTTGAAAGCTGTCCACTTTCATCGGACACAGACGAATTCTGCGACCGGTTTTTTTCAGCTGACAGGTACTTTAACGTGTGAGATTTTTTCCTTGGCTGACGACTCATCTGTATGGAAGGAAGATGGTGACAGACAACTGATTGTTAGAAGACCGAATTCTTCTCTAATACTGGAATCCGTTTGAAATGTATTGCAGGTCTCTCTGTCTGAGCACTCAGTACTCGTCAATCTTCGTACAAACAGAGTATCACATTCCGTTCAGTCCCATCTCCTCGTCTCGTGCTTCGAGTGGATCGCAGGTCGGTCGAGGTCCATCTATCTTGAGAACATGTGGACTCGGTGTTTGCCCTTCGCAGACCGATCCGAGGAAGATTTGGAAAGGAACAGAATGGCCGTGATAGCAGCTCATGCGCTGCTGGTGCACAAGATAGATGTTGATACTGAAACGTATAACCAGCCAGTACGTTGTGGCGAAATCCAGGCGGCTGAATCTGCTGATCAGAACATGCTAGCTCTTGCCCACATGAGCCCGTGGAAATTCAATGGAGGAGTAACTTTGTGGTTTAGCTTCTTCCTAGCTTCCTTGGGACATGCGCTATTGGAGTACTTTTCAGGGGTGGTGGAGAAGATGGAGAAGCTCGAATACTACTGATCGTCTCTGCCACCAGTCGGTCCGATTTTGGTTTCGTAGTTGTTACAAGTAGACGTACCATAGACATCGATCACATTGTATCGTACATTACTGCATAGAATAGGTGAGTAACTGGTAGCAATCAGCTGAACATCTGGAATGGACGTATAGCTATGAGTACATGTAGTTCTCGCGGGCGTGCATTGGAATGTCCATAATCCACAACTGCTCGAATCGGAAGCATTCACGATGTACTCTGAAGGTCTAGGTAGATATGCTGGAGGACTGCGAGCTGGCAAATTTCATCGACATCGTGCTCTACCGGCGCGACAGCCCCAAGTCGAGAGCAGACGACGTGATTCTGTTCCTCTGTGAATAATTGGATGGTGCCTGGGAGTGCCTCAATGTAATAAGTCATTGTGGTGTACAAAGGTGACACTCAGCTAGAGTGCAGTCTGCACATCAGGGAATTCTCTCTCGTTCAGAGAATCCAGTTCAGGTAGTGCTCAGCGCGTGAGTATTGTTGGACTCTGTCTGAGAGTGAATTGTATATTTGATCTTCAACTTCAGCAGAGTGCGGGGAGCAAGGACGAGGGGGTGCGGGGAAGGTGTTACAGATTCGACGAGGATATCAGCTCTATCGACAGAGAGTAATTATGCTGGCACTGATGAAGCAAAGATCTGAAGAGAAGTGCCAGCCCATCCCATCCCATCACATTGTGGAGGTCTGGCAGTTCTGCAAACGGAAGTAGGAGTCCTGCTAACGAGCTGAAAAATGCTCTGTCCACTAAAGGAGTAGTTTCTGGCACTGGGGATACGATAACATTCACATTCGAGTTGCCAGGAGAAGACGAGTGTCGACGAAGATATTCACTCAAGAAGTAGTAGTGGACGAAAATCGAGAGGCGGGCCACGGGACGAGATGAATCTTAGCATACCCGAAGAAGAAGAGCAGAAGATCCCCACCAACGGGAGGTTGGATAAGAGCGGATTCTCATGGAGCAAAACTGCACACCAAGAGGATATTCACTCCATGGAGTCAGCTGAAGAACCATCGGGATATATGCAATCGAGGACATCTCGCTTCTATACGAGTTTCAGGCAGTGATGCTATGACCTGAGGAGAAACCCGAAATCATTTCCTTGTGCACTGGAAAGAAGTTGAGGTTAGCATGAGCAATCGAAGATTATACTGATGAAGGGGGAAAGACGATGATATAAACTCATCAGTAAAGAACGGATTTGGCATGCAGGGATCATATTATGTTTGTAGACTGCCAAAAAATCCGGTTGCTATGTGCAAACAGGATTCTTCCAGTGGAATTTCCTTCGCAGAATTCTAGCTCTGAAGATTGTCGAAGATATGAAACGTAGTGAAATAGTTTAAGAAATAGTGAAATCAGGGGGTTTACAGCACTGAATTGGAGTAGATTTGCTAATTTGGTGATTACTCCAGGACTGATTGCAGCACTTATCGCAATCCGGCAGCTATGTCGGAAATTGTAAGCACTTTGTACTTATAGATCTCAAAGAAAATTTGGAAGCGTTTATGTTTAAATGGTTTTCTCTTGGTTTAAGTCGGTGCATGTTCTCTTTGAACTCAACACTTCTGATCGAGAGTAGAGTAAACGCCATAGACGCACAGAGCAGCAAGATAACCGGCGGGATTCTCTGATCGAATCTGTTGGAAAAACGCCAACCATACCCCTGTTTGGCAGAGAATATACTTCATATAGATTGATATATTCAACTAATAACGATTTATGCATTCTAACGATCTGTTTGTATAATTCCGTGGAATGGATAATGAAATCTTTTTGATATTTTAAAATTTATGAAAAAATGTAGATAATTTTGATTGTCAAAGTATTATTATGAACATGTAATTGGTAATATTTGATGAAATATAGATGGTTCGGAAAATTATAAGATAATTTTTTAACAATTTCTTTAAATATTTTTGTGAAGTAAATGATTTATTGTAAAATAAATATGTGTTTATGACACTGAAAAAAACTTTGTCATTCACTCCATACTTTTTATATATGTGTCTACAATTATTTTATGATTTTCAAAATATGTCTGTTATAGTTTTTAAAAAATATAAATATATCTCATGAAAAATGAATTTTTTTGTAAGAATAAACTAAAATCTTGTTAATAATCATATATATTTACTACATTTAATAAAACATTGTCATAAATCATATATTTTTGAAATTCTTTTTACAAAATATGATTCTTGATGACTTCTCATTGAACCTATATATCCTAAATGATACCTTTTCTCACGAGAAAACGTAATCAGAAGTTTTTTTTCAAACATTTTTAAATTCATAAATTATACTATGCCAAATTTGTCTATAATCTAAGTCGTGTTTAAATCATCCAACACATCTATCAATATTCACTATTAAGCGATTTACAATGCAAGACAGCGATTGTCTGCTCCTGAGCTTCTAACTTGACCGGGCATGGCATATATGAGTTCTAAGTAAAATCTTAAGCAGTTGGCATGACAAAGGAGAGAGAAACGACGCTCTGATACATTGGCATTGATCATAAAAGGCGAGTTTCAGATTCGTACGGCCAGAGCAAGAAGGTTATCCTGCGGACTTGATGATACACTTGATGACGGATGAAACCATAAGGCTTGGAGATTGATGACCTTAATTTAAATCTTATAGCTGAAAGCTCAAGTGTGGTACAGAAGAGTGATTTTCAGTGATTAAAGTACAGCACAGTACTGTCTTCTGAACACAAATGGAAAGTGGAGACAATTGCATTCGATGGACAAAGTCAAAAAATATGCACATTTGAACAGGTCTTGATCCGTGAGCACCAGACTCGTGGTTTGAACCAGAACAAGACTGTCAAAAAAAATGACCCACAAAGTCAACAAATGTGCACATTTCAACAGGTCTTGATCCGTGAGCACCAGAACTGGTAGTTTGAACGAGAACAAGATTGTCGAATAAAATGGCCCACCACCAGAATTGGTGGGCCATTTTATTTGACAATCTTGAGCTGGCTTGCTTAGAAGTCGGTCAGAAGCATCAGGCATTTGTACTATGTGCCCTGAGCACATAACAGTATATGGAATCGTCGTATGCTCTGGCGAGTCTGAGGTGACCGTCGTGTGCCCGTCGGTACAGATAAGGACGATCGTTTCTACACCGCCCCACCTCAAGCAGCAGCAGCGACGTTTGACATTTTGCACCTGAGTTTTCCTCTGTCATAACTTCAACAGAAGCTCGGTGGGAAGAACATGTCATGTCCATAGGCTGTCGATTCGGTGATTCAAAAAATGATACGAAGACTTCACTTTTAAGACTCTGATCCATTCCGATGAGAGTGTGAGAAAAAATGTGCTACATCTTCCATTTAATTTTCTTTGTAATCTGGGGAGCGTAGAGGCTTTTCGTCTTTACAAATCCTAGCAGGGGACAAAGTTCCTTTTGAGTAATAGTACCTGGTGAACTACAAAACTCATAAAAATTAAAACCAAAAATCTCATGACCATCTTTCCAAAAAGAATTCTGAATATATTTGTTATCAAAGAATTTACAAGTGTGATAGTTTTTCAGCAAGTCTATCGCTTTATTTATTATTTACAGGCAGCACATCAACTCGTGCTCATACGTACAGTGCATGTATCTGCGAATCAGTCTGGAGAAACAAGCTCTTATGCCTATTCCATCCAACATTCCCTGAATCGAAATCTCATGGCAAGCAAGGGCTGTCACTGAGTGAGACTCCAAATACATTGCCTTGGCATTGAACCTGATACTCGGATACAACAGCTAGCCACATCTGTGCTTCCGAACGACCAGGAAAAAATCGCTGGTGGAAACGTTGCGTTTTCTTCAGGCTACAAATTTGACAGCTAGAATTGCTAGTGTCAAAGTGGCAAGAGCACCAAGACCTGTGAAGAAGAAGGCTCCCATAGCGTCGGCAGCATGAGCCCCAAGAAGAGCCACGCAAACGACGGTGACGAGATTACCTGCGACGACGGTCAGCCAGCCAACAAAACCATTGATTGATGTTAGTACCCACCGATTATGGCATGCTGTCAATTTTCAACTTTTCTAACGCAGGGACGAAAGCAAGCATTCTTTCTACATTTGCTTGTTCGAGACTCGACCACAGTATTCAGCAACATGCATGAAGAAAATTGAGCTGAGGTGAAACGCATTATAATTTTGTTTCTTCTTTCTACTCCCTACGGGAATTGGCATTTGGACCCGCGATGGGGAGGGCCAGCCCTCAGTGAAGGAGCACCGAAGAAACTAGCAAGCGATTTGACCGACCAACCGAACTAAGGTGCTGACACGACGCAGAACTCTGCGAGGAAAGACAAAGTTCCAGCAATCGCAAACTCGTTCGGTAAACAACAAGCAGTGATGAGTGTCACCTAAGCCAGCCATAGCCAAGAATATTCCACTGTAGGTCGCCTTCATATCATCAGGACTTTGATTGTAGGTCCAATCGTACAGAGGAATTAAACACATAGGTTCTGCAAAACTTATCGCCAGAATCTGAGGCAATTGCCAAAATATGGACACATCTGACCCGCCTGCAGCTCCGTGTCCAGTCTGCATGTCGATTACAAGTTGTATCCCTCCGGACATTGCAAACGCAAGGGTCGCTAGCAGCATAGAACCCACGCATTTCCTCAAATTAGTCACCTTCGCGATGTGCCTGTCCACATAAGGGTATATAATTTGGTTGAGGAGAGGTGCAATTAGGGTCACAAAAGTTGGTTTTAATACCTGCACGTCAAATTACAAAAGAAAATAGACTCACATTTGTCAAATGAAAAAATCGCAAGAAATCGGAGAAAACAAACACTTTGCCATTAAAAGGTGAGGAGTACGAGCTCGAGCTCTGTATTACAACAATCTTGGCTCGATCTGACGATTTGAAATATTTTTGGAAAGCGTTGATTCAGACTCTCAATCACTCGAGACAGTCCTATGGCCCAGACATTTGATCTCAATCGAAGCAGTGACTGAGCCCTGGAGCTAAAGGTTCAGCGCTTAATTGCTTAGACCCACCATAAAAAAGAAAAAAAACTGACAAAATTTGGAGGTAGCCCATCAGAAGCGACATCTCTGCGACAAGATATGAATTTAGAAGCCTAAAGAAAACAGCGTACCTGCATCTGATCCGCGGCGATTGTCCAATGATTCAGCCACCGGACATCGCGGTCCATTGAGAGAGCTTGATACACCCATGTCGAGCTACTTTGAAAGTTCAGCCCGTGGAATATGGAAGTCGGGAGGAGGAAGATAAATGTTGACGAAAGAACTGTGTAGCCATCCCATTTGACAGTTTTCGAGTCGCCATCAAGCAGCTCTGTTGTGTCTTGAGCTGAATCGGTCTGCACGTACTTCTGATGCCGCTGCTCGTGATCACCATCTGGAGGACCTGGCTTATTCGAGGCATGTGCTACCGAGAGATATCGATTTCGACCCAACCAGAACACGAAGAGTCCAGACGTCTTTGCACAGGCAAGCACTAGCATAATGTAGAATGTGGATCCGTGGCTGAGCAATCGGATCAGAGGAAACAGGATGGCACCGAAAATGTGAGCCAAGTTTCCAGTTATGTACATGGACGAGAACCACAGCTGCTGCGGCGTGGCAGCCCCTCTTGGGTCAGTATGATCTCCCAACTCTATCAGCGCCAAGTGCTTCACTTCGTCACCTCCCAGTGTTGCAAGGCTCGGTCTATTGCCACCATACCCCAGTGTGAATACCAGCAGAGAGACGAAGGCAAGAGCTTGATTCAATGTCCCCTCGAGCTGCGATGTCAATGAAGTAATGACTAGTCCGATGGAGGCAACCACGCTCACGAGAGAGAAGACGCAGATGCTTTGGTACTTTCCCTTCCGAATTGCACAGGAGCAGTGACAGGATTGTCAGCCAATGTTTGACGTCAGAAGATCAGAAATTATCATCGGGATCATGAAGTAAGATAATCAACGAGAATACAAGCAGCGGACGACTTCGCTTAAGGCTAGTTCTAGAGAATAATGGCAATACTTACTTAGAACCGGATGGATAGTAGGCACAGGAGATCTTCAAGCTACTCTAGGACCAGGACCAAGTGTTTTTGGGATGACCAAATCAACGCGAGAATGATGTTGCAGACGGGTGCCGCGCCTGGAGATTCGACCACGGGCTGTATGGGGGAAGGTAAGTGCACTAGGTATCAGCAGGACCACAACATTCTGCTTCAAGCTCCATCTCGAACTGAGTCAGATGAAGTCAGGGCTGCGTGCATGGACTTCTGACAAGATGTCAAGCTCGACAACCTTTGAGCGGACGTGGTGCTTGCAGCCTGTGATCAAGTACACTCATACTTTCAGATGACAACCAACATGCTTCAGCCTGGTTTCTGGTCGCACCAAAAGTTGTCGACAGTTTTTCGTTTGCAGTGGAAACCGAAATCGGTCGTATGAGATAAGACACCTGATATTGATCGAAGCTCCGCATCCCGTCAGGAGCCTTGGGGAAGTAAAGCTATATTTTTTAAATCAGCAAACTACCGAGACTCAGTCGAGCACGTTCTCTGGCTGACATTATTCAGTGAAGCTCGACTTTGAAGGCACGCGAGAGGATAATCAACAATCTTTGAGGATCGTGCTCAAACGGGAATCGAACAGGGCTTTTCCAAAGCAGAAGGGCTGATAGAAGCTTTCAGCATCATCGACGACAAGGCGCAAGGTGCGGAATCTGAATCTGACAGCCAATTCTCGAAGCAAAGCAAAGCAAAGCACATGACATGCTAGAATGTGCTTGTGACTTCAACCAGTGGAGCGAGCAATTGTGCACAGACTTTTTATCCAACGTTGGATTACGCTTGGAAGGGCTGTGTCTCACCAGGTACCGGTCGCTGATCATCGAACCGACGATGCAGCCTACGAAGGATGAGACGATAAAGAAGTGGAATAATTCTGTGGCTAAGTTCCCACTGAGCTGCAAATTCTCCACCAGAAGAATCTCCAGAACTGATTGCAAACCTCTGAATGCAAGCGTGTCTGCAAACTCCAAAAACAGAAGATACTTTACGTGACTCCCTGCCACCACAGGTTGCCAACTCTTCTCCACGAGCAAAATTCGATCGAGATCAGAGCTTCCCACTCTGTCCATCGTTCCCATCCTGTTCATCGATCTTTGCTTGGAGATCTCCTTCGAGTTCCTCCTTCAAGTTTTCTCTGCCATCAGATGACTCGAGTCCACCGCGGCAAGGCCTAAAGGCGGATCCATCCGTCTGTGAATCTTGCTCTGACACGAACGAAACTGCATGGTTTGTTCTTGCGTGCGATCCAGTTCTCTTGTAGCATCTCCGAAGATGCTCTGACTGGAAGCGAGTCGAGCCCGCGACTTGAACCCTCTCGCACGCACGTCCGTATCTCTCACCTACAGCCCTGGGTCACAAAGAATATACCCAAATCAGTGGGAGTGATTATTGTGACATACAGTGCGCAACGACCAAAATGATGATAATATGAGATTACCACCATTTTGGTGTATATTAATTTATATATTATTAGTATATAAGTAACGTGAGATCTAGTTTTACTCGCTTAGGGTTAATTAGCCTCATCCTTTGATTGGTCTTACTCCCTACCCTGATTGTTACTTATCCGAGGAACCTATAATCCTTCATTTATCAATGAGAGAAGAGCCTGCGGGATAACTAGCCCTCCCCATAAGCAATTATGATCATGTTTTGATCACAATGGTGGAAGTACAACTCCCCTTGGACCACACATAGATCCAGTGCACAACTCTCTTCCTTTTCCGGTTTCAGTTGTACAGATACTAGCACGTCCTCCGAAATTTCTCGTTCGTCCAAATTCTCCTAAACTTGTCGTTAATCTAGAATTACACGATTTCTCGTTCATTCAAAATTCCGTGAGATGATAGTCCTCGAAGATGCTTCTTAACCCGTAGCAGCAGCCGTAGGTCGATGGCGCACACCCGAAAATATAATTTCTTTGAGGCACATGGACCAGAGAAGATAACGCTAAGATAGACTGGTTAGAAACTTCAGACTTTGTAGCCGTTGACGGCCTATCTCCCTCGCTCTCGATATTTTTTTTTCTCCTTTTTGGCCCCTTGACAACGAGACGTTGACCGACCTTGACTCGTTGATTGATCAGCGGTCATGAAATCTAAGGCAACGTGGGTTCAATGTCCATAGACCGAGGAGAAGTCAGTAGGATGGCTACTGCCAAGAGATGAAAAAGAAATTTAGGCACGTTCACCTTGCATTTCTCACTTCCAGCTTTTTAAGAGTATACACTGTCACAGCCACCAAACCTCTGAGGCAACGTGGGTCAATGTCCATAGACCGAGGAGAAGTCAGTAGCATGGCTACTGCCAAGAGATGAAAAAGAAATGAAGGCACGTTCACCTTTGCATTTCTCACTTCCAGCTTTTTAAGAGAATACAGTGTCACAGCCACCAAACCTCTGAGGTGCATATCTTTGCCAGAGATTGCCATAGCTTTCGCTTTCGCTGTCGCACTTGGTTGTACTGTAGCGTTTCGTAAAAGTGTGCAGAAGGTGACATGAACCCTGCTCCAGTCAATCAGAATCTTAAAAGCCGGCTATGTCTCGAGACCAACGCGATGTACCAGATGTGTTGAACCAGAGCGTTCTGTTAGACGTGCGTCGTAGAATGTTGGGGGCTCGACTGCTCATACGAGTGCGAGGACACGCTACGTCAGGACTTGAGGAGATTCCAGATATTGAGGTGCAACAGAAGGGCACACATGTTCCGTCCAATGGAGCACTTGACGTGTAAAGAAACAACATTTTTGGCTGAAAACCAATTCCTGTTACAAGAGGTGGAACTGCTCCCTAATGCTATCTTCGTCCATTTGTACCTACTGACAGTACGTCTAGACCGTCCTCTCACATGGTATCGTTCCTCTTAGAAGAACAGAGGAGGGTGTGGCTGATTCTCATCATCGAGTGCTAAGACGAAAAATCCTCACCTAAACTTCTCTTCCCTCTGGGACAGTGCTTCGATCTGTATATCTATCTACAAGATGTTGCAGGAGGTGAATTCATTACAGTAATTTCCTTTTCACAAGAGGGTTAGCGAATTTGGTCCCTTCGGCCTCGAGAACTAGTGTGTTGGTGTACAAGGTTTTTTACATTCTTCGTCATCTGTACTCCGTGACTCAGTCCTGCTGTTGTTTCCCGTGCTTTTGCAAGGCTCTGGACTCTCGTGAGATGTACGTGTAGCTGAATGTGGCCATCAGAGTTGTTCCGAACGCACCGAGACCAGCGAAAACGAAATCTTCTGTACCTTTCGATACTCTTTGCCCAAGAAGCGCCACGACCACTATGATCATCAGATTACCTGCGTGTGTCACCACATAAATGTTATGGATGACTCCGGAAACGTGCTTCTTCGAATCAATTCCAGAAGATAGTGATGAAAGCTGAATTGCATGACGTGGACCAACAGAGAGCAATATCTGACATCTTCTGCTGAGCAGAGAAGCTGGACAGCATCAAAGCACGGGAGAGTAGAAGTTTACCGAGGGCTTGATATGCATTGTGAGCGGCGTTCACGACGGTCTTCATAGACTTGGGAGCTTCGTGATACGACCACTCCATCGCCGGAATCAACATCATCACCTCGGCCACGCTTATTGCAATATACTGGGGTACTTGCCACAGTCTTGATATATTTGCGTAACCTGACACGTCTATGCCACCCATTTGTTTCTCCTGCAGATTAGCATCGATGACTACTTGGAGGACCCCCGCCATGACAAACGCCAGAGTGGCCATGAACAGAGCCACCACCATTTTCCTCAAGTTGGTCACCGCCATCACGTGTTTCTCTACGAAAGGGTACACTAATTCGTCGAGAATCGGAATAATAAAAACCACAAAAATTGGTTTCATGGCCTGCCACGCGAGAGACAACGAAAATCTTCAGAAAACAATAGAAAACTACCTCTTCGAAATCATCTACAGGTGTGAAACTCGACTGACGGTTGAGTTGTGAGAGAAAAACTGAAATGTACTGAAGCTATGGATCTCCAGAGCAGCAATCCAGTTCAACTGAGGGAATCAACAGCTGAAGAAAACGGCCAAATCTTCCCGGTCGAGCAGCACCTTTGCTATAACTCTCTTGTTTGAACGTGCACCAGATCAGCAAATAAATCACACAGACATGTTGCAGGAGTCCCGCTAAATTAACAGGGTAGAGGTTCCTACTCGACGGAAGCCCTCGTCTGGTAGGACATAAGGAGTGGACCAGGAAAGATGGGGCTAACCTGATGCGGTCTAGTCTAGGAAGACAAACTGTCTCTACCCGGCACGTTCTTTTAAAATATGGATCAATGCTGCAGCTAATTCACGTGAAACACTCGTTTTAATGATGGATATGGATCACTCGCTGCAGAATGGCCTACGTTCTGTCATTCAGCACTCTTGGAAACTTGATGAAAGCTTTTCCAAAGTAGGAACGACAATTTGTGGTCAGCTTGAGGAACTGCAATATGTCTCACTCCCAATCGACGGAAAAGCAGGGAACTCTGTGTCGATTTCCGGACACTTGAATAGAATGCGGTCATGACGCAACTTACTTCACTTCTCGAGCACATTCGTCTCAGCGCTGGAAAGGCATTGAGCCCATGACAGAGAAGAATCGACATGCGAAGTCTGCAGGAGATGAGAAGAAAGAAATTCCTCCTTCATCCCTTCGTGATTATTTCAGGAGCTAAAGGAAGGGCCTGGACTCATCTGACAGCTCGGTGACAACGATCTGCTCCAGGCTGCGAGTCTCCAATTCGATACTAGAAAGCGCACAACGAGGAGGTCCGAAGCAACGACGAGAAATGACTGGGAATTGCAAATCGACGAATTGCAAATCCCGTCAGAGGAAGAATTCACATGCCAACACGCGAATGGTGGAGATGCTGCTTACCCCAATCTCATCGGGAGGGATGGTCAAGCCGCCGAGCCAGGGCACATGACCATCCATTTTGCGAGCTTGAAACACCCACGTCGAGCTCGGCTGGTAGTGGAGCGCTGTGAAGAATGGAGTCGGACTCAAAACAATCAGCGCAGACAGCAGCACTTTCCAGTCGTCGCGGATTGAGGCTCGTCTCGCTTCGAGCGCAATCCTCTCGCCCGACTCGTCGGCAATCTCCACCGACGCTTGCGCCTGCCGGTGCTGCTTGCCATGGATGGGCGATGGCAGAGTCTCCTCCGCGGGATCGAAGCGGTACTCGTTCCGGCCGAGCCAGAAGCTGATGGTGCCGAGCGGCATGGAGCAGGCGGGCAGCAGAAACACGAAGAAGTAGCTGCCATTGCCCTGCACTCTGATCAGCGGGAACAGAATCGAGCTGAGCAGGGTGCCGCCGACCATGGCGATGTAGTACGCCGAGAAGAACTGCCGACTCGCCGTCTTCTCCGTCGCTGTCAGAATGTCGCCCTCGTCGTCCGAGGCGATGGCGGCCGCCGCCCCCGTCGTCCTCACCGCGCGCATCGCCTGGTCGCCCCCGAACGTGGCCGTGCACGGCCTCAAGCCTCCGAAGCCCAGCGCCACCAGCAGGAGGGCGAAGCAGGCCAAATCCTTGCGAAGGTTCGACGATTGCCAGGCCGCGTTCGGAATGGCCGACGATGCCAGCATGATGTATCCGCAGAGCTCGCACGCGGAGAAAAAAAAAATCGCTCGATATTTGCCCTGCCAATTCCGGCCATGAAATCCATTCCACACATGAAATTGATTCTCTCAATTCTCGATTTCTCTCGATCACGTGCGACGACGGGTCATTTCTTTCCGCCAGAACGGAACCAGAGACTCCATAGCCTTCACACGATCAAACCTCCCCGTTGCACACTGCAGGCACTCGGACGGACTACATTTTCATCGAGCAAGAAATTGGGACTCAGGATTACAGATTACAGAGGAAAGAACTCAAATTAGCAGAGTGCGTGCACGCAGCGACGGCATGCGGCGAGCGAGCGACAGACACATGGGCGGAACAAGGGTGCACGACGAGGAAGAGAGCCATGGAAGCAGGAAGACGGGGAGAGCTTACCATGAATCCATCGCTGAGAAAAGAGCCGAAAATGGAGCTGACCAGCGTGCCCATAAAAAAAAGGTGGACGAGCTCCGTGGCTCCTTCCTCGCTAAAGTGGAGACTCTCCAGAAGATACAAGCCCAGAATTGTTAGCAGACCTCTCAGTGCTAACATCTCCAGCAGTTCCTGTACCAGAAGGTACTTGGTGAAGGCCTCCAGAACCACATGCCGCCGCTGCTTCTCCTCTTCCAGCAGCGGCCGCCCTAAATTCCCATCACTGTCGTCCATGAGGCCAGCCTTCAATCGAATGCCCTGCTCCCTATACCTGTCTACAATTTCATGGCTCTCTCTCTCTCTCTCTCTCTCTCTCTCTCTCTCTCTCTCTCTCTCTCTCTGTGAATTACGCAGGCCAAGAATTGGAATGAATGGATTGATCGATGGATAGATGAATGGATGGAGGAATGGAAATATGGTGATCGAGGAGATGGGACCGAGTGGCGATGCTGACGGGCGCCAGGATTTCACAGCACGAAAAGCTTTGCCGTCCGCGCCGAAATCTGCAGCAGCCTCCGCAACACATGTGACGATAAATCGAAGCGCTCGATAACGTGGAACCGCTTCTCGCTGCTCGAATGCCTTTTCTCTCTCTCGGCGGAGAGCGATCACCAAGAGCCCACGGGGGGCAGGTTTTGCTCGATGCTGTGCATTGATTGATCTCTGCCGTGAAAGGCGGACCAGCTCACGAATCCACTGTTGCCTTGACAGACTAGAGTCTTCGCTGCGAAGCCTCGGGGAATCTCTTCTGACACAGACGTTTTCCACAAGCCTGCACATTTGAAATCCCTGACTCTTCCGAGCCCGGCAGCCATACGTGTCATTCTCGCCTGAGCCCCGGGCAAACTGTTGCGGATTTATTCTCCAAATTTTACCCTCTCTTGGAGCCGCACAAACTTTGGAAGTCACTGCAGCAGCTCGCTGAAAGTCCTCCTGAGCTTGTGCTCCTAGTGAGCTGAGCGCATGCCCACCAACCAACCGACTCCACAGGACTCCATGAACTCGGCCCCCGAGTCCACTTCTTTTTTACTGCCCTCGGGTCAGGCACTCACTCAGCTCATGCGCTTCTCTCCTCCTTCGATTCCAATTTCCCGACTCGTTCTTCATCGCCTGTACCAAAAGCAGGGGATGGACTAGCGATCGAGGATTCCAGTCACTGGACTGGTTTGGTATTGAATACTGTGCCGGACAAACATCTGCTCAGATTCTGCTAATGTTCGAACGAATTTGAATTTATCACTGATATGCCTGTTTCCACGAAGCGGTCTGCCCATAATCAGCAGATGCAATTTTGATCCAAGAGATGACTGCTTGACAAAAGTGAAAAATACATCTTGTTACTCTACCACCGCTCCGAATCAAGACGAAATCTTTTGGATTATTGGTCTCGATGGACGAGTCACGAGTTCTGATCGTCAGTACAGAGACGGCGCTGTACATCTTCGATCGAAATGTCGCCGTAAAATTTGAGATTCCAAATCTTTCGCACTTTACGGGCCCCCCGGGTTGAGGAGCTACGAAAGGGTACAAGTCAAAGGGCTGACGAACGTAGAGATGCCCTGGCCGATCTGCAAGATAAGAGAAAGATTATAATTGGGTCTCGTGTCATTCATTCATTAATTCATTATTGACGATCGTGATGACGGGAATAAGATCGGCTCCTTTCTCATCCGCACAGTCGACCCCATCGCAAAACTTGCGACAAAGTGTGACAGAATCGTCTGCCCGGCGTTTTGACCACTAGCAAACAAGCAGGCGCAAAACTCTGAATCCAGTCTGGTTTACTGAACGCAGCGCACCGCCAGTGGCCGACCCTTCCTCCAGTGGATCTCACATGGCCACAGTGAATCCAGTGCCTGGACGGAGAGCAGTGATGTCCAAACGCTCTGTTCTCCAGGGGGCTACTTCCGATGAGGTGGTGGACTCACGTTCTCTCACCGAGTGCATTAATCTACTTCTCAACGACGACTTTTAATTCCCCGATTAATTTTTGATTAATTTCCCGATTAATTTCCCGATTAATTTTCGATTGATTTCTCGCTGTGGCACTCGCCTTTCGCATAATTAATTAATTTCACACGCGTAGTAGACATCGCGGAACGCAGAGGGAGGAGCATCGTTTGGTCACATGGCTCCCCCGGGAGATTTTTTTTCCCTGCAAGCCTCGCAAAGCGGGCCCTCGTGTCTTCTTGCTCGACACAGTGTCGCTTCCTCCGAGACATGGACTCTCGAGTGTTGCTGCTTCTGTTGCTCGTACCCGTCGACGTCATCCGAGCCCCACCGCGGCTCTTCGGGATTGGACCGTAAGCCCGTTAGTTGCTTTTTGCCAGTCCCAGATACCTGGGATCTTCTTTTTTTAGCTCGGGACGAGGACAAGACGATGAAGAGGAGGAGGAAGAAGAAGGGGAAAATGGATTTGAGCTTTTTCCGGAGGATAAGCGAGCGACGGACCGAAGGTTTATTCGGGAGGAGTCATATGAGGATAGAAACTGCGTTTCGCGAACAAAGTGGAATATGGAGCCCGAGTGACTGTGGTAACAGTGGTGACTGGGTTCACCGACGCGCGAGCGTAGACGTAGTATCAGCTTGACTACGGCGGGGATTATATGTTCTGGGCATCCAAATGGACTTCTGTATTTCCTTGAATCATTCAGCAATTTCGTGCCGAATATAGTTATGGCCGGAAAGCTCAATGGCGTATTTCCCGCATCCCCAGATCTGCTGCCTCTATGGAAATCCCTGCTTTCTTATTCTATTCCTCGATGTTTCAACACCTTCAAGTTTGTCACCAGCATAGAAAGTATACACAGTCACAAAATGCGCTCCCTGTTGTATAAATTACAGATATGGATTCTTTGTCTTACCAGATATGTATTGTATTCTGGAAACATCAAGGAGGTTAAGTGTACAGCTAAGAGTGTGATGTTTGGCCAACCTGAATCGTTTGAAACTTTTGAAAAAGTTGAAGCACTCCAGTACATGAGAAAAGTTTACAGTGTACCTTGTCGGGATAGCATCCAGGAAGTCAAATCCAATGATTTTGGCAAGCTTGAAACTTCAGGAAAATTGGAGCGATTATTGTAAGATTCATGGAACTATATAATTATATATGTATATGTATAAAATTTAGTTAAAAATTTAAACAGAAAATTTTTTAAATACAGAAGCAGGAATGAATTATATTATTATATTTTGAATGATATAACTAGAATCAAATTTTAAAGAAATTGCCCGTATTTCATTTACTCTAATCTGAAATATTTATTTGATTTAACTTTAAACATCTTACTTTTGTAGGAATGAACTAAATTTTTTTGGCACATGTGGTGAAAAAAACTTCTATTTTCTTATTATGAGAATTGCATAATCTGTTACATTTGTAGGACTTTGAACATTATCTTATCTTGTCTTTGATGAGTGTGTAAGATCCAAAATGTTTTTGTATTTTGCAAGGATTGTTAATTAAAAGATATCTACTTTGATTTCACTTAAGCACAAACATGTCAAAACAAAAGAGATTCATACAGCTTACATCTTTTCATCATTTTCTGTGAGAAAGAGCTAGATTCTGAATATGATACATGATTCAATGGCACAAGTGCAAAGTTTTTTGTTGAAGCATGTTTTTTTTAGATCTTTTTTTCTAATGATTTTAATAATCTGAATATTGTTTGCAGTGCGAGCATCATTGCAAACAGTTACTTCACCATTCTCTATGATGCAAGACTTCATTACATTTCAAAAGTGAAGATCAAAACCTGTTGTTGTCAGCGTTCTCTCATATAAGAAGTATCTATCAAAATCACTTACAAATCATTTGTTTCTAAATGAATGTAAATTTATTCAAAACAATAATCACTATTCTCATTCCAAAAATTGGAAATAATTCATTTCTAAAATCATTAGTATTATAACATAAATTATTTGACATCTTTTTGATACTTCGAAACATGTCAATCTTATAGTTCATATGAGAGATGCATGTTAAGTATAAGTATCAATCACAATATTTCAATTTTACAAAAAATTGTTCAACATTCGCCTTGCAAGCATTGTTTTCTTCATCTATTAAATTGGCTCTTTTCTTTTTTCTCATCAATCTTTTGTGTTTTTCAAGTTTGAGATTAGACTTAACTGCATTTACGACCAGTGTCTTTGTCTTTTTGCATTGGTAACGACATCTGCTTTTTCACCATATGAATACAAAATCCATGAATTTATGTTTAATCCATGCAATAACTTTTTGTCTAATTCTTTTTCCTTTTTAAGCGAATACAGTCATATTTTTTCTAACTTTTACTGAATACTTTAACTAAATTAATCACATCTTTCAAATTATAATAACTTTATACTTTTTCATCATTAAAAAATATTAATAATTGAAATAGATTCTTACTAAGGAATAACAAGGAATGTATACATGTTTGAAAAATAGACTTATAATTAAATGTGTTTTTCACCAGCCAAGGTTTTATCAGACTTGATTCTTAAATTCAAGTGAAGCAAGAGTGGCATGTGAACTGTAACATACAAACTTTCATCATCAAGCTTTTAACCTTAGTATTTTTGCTCAATTCCGTCTAACATTTGCAACTCTTGCTCACAAAATGAAGAGTAAGATTAAGATATCTTATGCATGTGGAGTATTCTTCACCATCTTCAAGTAGGTATTGTTGAAGAAAGATATTCCAACTCATTCCAAAAATTGTAAAACAACTCATTTTAAACATTGAAAAGCCTCAAAGTGACAAGATGATTGTGCTGGAAAATCTCGTAACCAAAGCTCTCTTCAATGTTATAGGAAGAGATGAGTAGATTTTTCAATAGCCAAATATTTTGAAAATCACTTCTTTGTTTCTTAACATCTTCTATAGTTGAGTGTGCTGAGCTTCTGAATTCTATCCATGTCTTTAATTCAATGTGAGAACATCATTATTAGAGTTCAATTCATAAGTATCATACTAGATGATGTTTTTAAAACAACAGTACCTATAGAAAGACTTGAACATTCTGAAAACCATTACTTTTTATTTCCTAAGGTGAAAAATAAAAAAAAACTGATCAATATTAGATGACTCAGAATAGCAATCCCCACAATTTGAGTTTAGAAATCTGCTGGAATTCTCACTCACCCCTCACTTCACATCAATCCACAACTGAAGAGTATGAAATGATTATTGACAAATTGTGAATCTTGCCCTATAATTCTGCTAAGAGCAAGAAACATTACATTCAATTTTCCGTTCAACTTTGATACTTTTCATGTAATCAAACTCTAAAGTACCTACTTTAGAGTTTAGGCTCAGTAGACTTCATCAGCCAAGATAGACCTAAGAAGATGCAATACAATAAACAGATATCTATCTCTTCGGACAGAAGACTTTAGTGAAATTATTAATTTGATTAAAATTTAGTGAACGGTTAACAATAGGAACGATATATTCTGTCTCTGATAGTTTATTCAACATATTTCATAGCTTCAGCAACTTGCTTCTATCTCGCGTGTTGCCACCTTCGTCGTGCTAAGGCTGTTGAGGCCGCTCGTTTGATTCGACGAAGATAGAAGAGGAAGCATTTGCAGTTTGGAATAGATAATTACTTTGTTGGAATCTGGGAGCTAAGATCGGTCATCGCTCTTGTCGGTTAAAGATATGAGGGAATTTCAGACATGTGTGAGGTGGATAATTAATTCAAACATTCCGATTTTCCTTCGAAAGAATAGAAACACGTGATCACTTTCGTGCGCTTCAGAAAGCAGGGCAAATCTGATCAGCCTCTTTAAAGCTCTGTGATGAAAATTTCTGATTCTCCCTGACGTCGATTGTGCAAATGGACTGCCGGTGGATTCGGATGATCGGAACCGAGTTTCGGATTGGTTGCAGTTCTCGAAGGAGTTGCTCCTCATAGCCGACAAGTTTCACATGTGTCGCCCTGTGTTTCTGGATTGTGTGTTCCCTCGCACTCGCATTGTGTTCTGCTGCCGCTCGATTGGATCGGCTTACATGCGCGTGTAAAATTTCAAATTCTTGTCGCTCCCGCTGGTCCTGGTCTCACACTGAATGTCTGTAATCGTCAATTACGTTTAGCATTACGGTAGCTTTGGGAAAGGTTTTGGTTCGAGAAGAATCACACCGAATATTTGGACCCGATGAAAGGATTGACGAGTTATGGGTGCAGTTTCAAAATTTTACCTTCCATGAGGTTAACTACTCATTTCTTGCCCGAACAATAGCCGCAGATATCAAAATCTGCTGTGCAATGGGCGAAATGCTAACATCCGTGTCGGATTAGCCGTCTTCTGCCTCTTTTCGACACTCAGATCTGTTGGCATCTGGTTGTTAAAAAACTAGCTCTTGGCAGATCGAAGTCTGGGGCGTGCTCTCGAGAGTGTCTTAGCATTGAATGTATGCATGGATGGAGACATTGAGCTCGATGAGTGCGATGGGTGTGAAATTAAAGTAGAATGGCTCCTGCGGACATCGTACATTTGATGATGGTCTCCCATCTCCTAATTTTGTACTGCTCCTCTTGTTATGCTTAGAATGAAAGATTGAAGTGTTGGGTACAAGTATCAGGAGTCGATGATTTTCAGGATCTAGAGGGGAGCAAACCCACTTCAAGATCCTCTCTGTTGGACAGGTCGATCTCCTTCGCACGAGGAGACGCACTCCTATTGACCAGTCCGGAAGGTATGCGGATCGGCAGGACTGGTCCGCACTCCAATATCTTTCCTTCTAAACATCATTTTGCTCATCGCCAAGTCCTTACAAGTGAGAAGAAGTAGAGCGACATGAGAGATATAGCGAAGGTGTAGCGCAATCTGTTAGCGAGCCTGGCTTGAGGGTGGAAAATTACATGTTCAAATCCAGGCAATTTGAATCAAATCGAATTCGACTTCGGATCGCAGACTGGAAGCAGGGTTGTCCAGAGTAGAGCGGATGAGAACATTTGGTGGTTTAGGGTTAACTCGTAAGTTTCAGAATTCGACCGTTTTCCTGATGGAACTTGGAGAAATCATACAGGGCTCTGGATGTGCTGTAACCGAGTAGAGAAACCCATCTTATCAGTCTATCTTATCTGCACTTGATCTGCCGCCATGCTCACACGTCATCGTAAACGCAGTTTGGAAGTTCAATGTCATCGATTACTGCTGACTTTACAAAATACCGCGGATCGGATTCTTAAAAGTTTTCCTCAGTGCTGCAGGTCTGTTTGGGAAATCCCAACCAGCTTCGGTCAAGTTTCGTCGAAATGATGCTGTAAGGCCCAGGGATGATGATTCCTGTCAAGCATGAGGCCGTGATCCATCGGACGATCGTCTCCGATGAAATGGCTTATAGATCCTTTGCAGCATACGCGCAGAATTTGTATCTTTTCTCCAGAAATGGCTCGTCAGCAACATCACGACAGATCTAAGCACGTCCACAAGACTAATCTTACATATCTCCAAAGTCGTTTCGATAATCGGTAATAGCTTCGCGTGCCAGTTACAAAGCTCACCGATCAGGTCCTGAAAGCTGTAGATCAAGTGCTGGTGAGCCACGTTTGTACGAGAGAACGAGCACGGACACAATCTTGGTCTGCCCCAAAGTTGCGGTCGGTGGATTCTTGAGGGTCGAGAAATTAGGCATGCAGGACAGTTCGCGTCCGATGAGGTCTGCTGCCGAAATAGAAAACATCCAATAGAGCCGTCGCTGTCAACTCGTGGCCAGAGGAGCACGAGCACGAGCATGCCCTGCCTCCGGCCCGCTCATCAGTCACAGTGAATGGTCATCGATGGCGTCGAATGTGGGGGCCATGAGGATTGATTGGCCGTAGCAACGACCGAAATCTTATTCGCTTTAAGAAGCAACCCGACTCAAACACTGCGTGACATGTGTCCTTACGTCTGGCCCACTCGAAAGCAACCGCTCGACGATGTCGTATGATTTGCTCCAAGCCTAGTGTCACTCCAATCGCTCCGCCAGCTCCTGAATCGGACCAGAGCGCGCAGCAGCGAGACTTTGGACCTAGCTCCTCCTTCCTAATCTCGGAGCCCAGTCCAGTCCAGCGAGCGAGCGAGCGAGCGAGCGAGCGCGTTGTCTGCGCCATGCAAGTCAAGCACAGTGATTTCAACGTGTTCAGCTTCGAGCTCCCGTGTGAGAAAGGTGCTCGTCGCCATCGCTGTCGCTTGCTGCAGGCCGAGCCAGCTTCATTCAGCCACAGGGCGGCGTTCGGCCATTTCTCCCTCAGAAAATCGAAATTGAAATTGCTGAGTTTATTGGATCAAGTCTAAATCTATAACAGATGGGTTACTTTACTCTATGGAGAGGGCCAAGCTCGAGGAAGAGAATATTTTGACCGCTGGAGCAGCGAGTGAATCGAGAGAGGGATTATATCTCGAGACCTCTTGGGGGTCAAGGGCCAGATGGCCACTTACTCAGCCTGCCATGCTAGCTAACCTGACCTTACTGCTTCATGATTGGTCGAGGCATGAATTTGGGTGGGCATTCTCATGGCCTAAACATAAACCAGGGAAAAATTAGGGAGGAACCTGCGGGTTTAACATCATCCCCTTTTAGAAGCCGAGTAGACATGGACCCTGGAGCTGGAGGTAGACTGGCTGGTGTTGTTGTTGCTGGTGTCCATGAGCCGTCAGCTCTCTTCTAATGACGACCCTTGGAGGCTACTTAAGCGGTTCGCCACCATGGATCCAATTTTCTGCTAGAAAATATGCTTCTCTGGAATCGTTAATCATGTCATTCTCATGCCGGAGATTCCCTGACCTCAGAGAGGTTTAATCATTAAACCGCTGTTAAACATTAGGAACCCGCAAAGGGTTGGGTCACATTAAACCTCAATCAATGTGACCCAACCCTTTCCGGGTTCCTAAAGGTTTGGTCACAGGTCAGGTTAGCACACTCCATGGCTTCTACTTCTACACAAAAGGATTGGACGAGGGAGAGACGAGAGACGAAACAATAAACTTCCTGTGGAGACTTCGAAATTTAGCCGGCCCTGCAACGAGAGCTGTCTTTCGTATCGTGGACCCGCTTTCTCGGTCAAAGGGTTGAGAGAGCCGCTGTGGAAGAAAAGGAAGGGGGACGAAGGCGACGAAGGCGACGACGGCTTCGTCCGGTGCCCCGGACCCCCGGGTGCGTAGAGACGTAGACGGGCTGCTTGCGGGGCAAGCTTCGAGGCCAGGGGAAATGTGCAATCGTGCCACCAATCGGGCTCCCTGACTTCGTTTCATGCAGCGCAGAGGCATATTCGTAGCACGCAAGCTTTTCACGACTCTTTCCTCATCCGCTGGCTCCGTGTCTTGAAAGACTCGGGACGTGCTTTCTTCTAATTCTCATTCTCATTCTCTCGACAGCGATTCTCGCGCATCCTTCCGACTTCTCGCAGCGTCACCCGGGATTAAAAGCTCTGCACGAGAAGATCATCATTCTGATTCCATCATTTCGATTACCAGCCGCTCAATTATGCTCTGACTGCAGCGTGCAGGTTGAAAAAAGCTCGCCCAGGATTGTCGACGAACTGTGTCTGAGGAAGGCACCGGAAGCTGCCAACAATCGGAACGCAATGAGGAACTGCCTGCAGCTGTGCTCGGACGATTATGATTTCGTGGGAGAGTTCGAGAAGAACCGAGCGGCACTGGTCGCGGCTCGAGTGATGCTCAAGAAGAACAACGACGACATCGACTCTCTGCTGGCTGCGCGAGCTCTGCTGCGCACGCGCATGAGCGGCGACGGTGTATCGGATAATCTGGTGAATGAAATTGGCGGCCGCCGAGCGATCAGCCCCGCTGCCATTTCTCCGGCCGACTACAACTGCGGCATGGCCCTGTGGGCTGGCTGCTTGATCAGCACGCTCGGCGAAGCGCTCTTGCAATTCGTCTCGCGCGTTGTCGATAAGCTGGAAAAGCGCGAGTACTTTCTGTAGCAGCTACCGACCTCGCTCGGCCTCCTTCAATGGCCCATGCCAGCACGGTCGTCAATCACCTAAACCCCCACTCATCTCGGAAGTCGATGCTCGTAATGCTTAGCTGCTCGATACAATTCCACGGGTGGACCGAGCGCCGAAGGAAACTCAGATGACAGCTCCATTCCACATCTTCCTGCTGCGCGCGGAGCACCAAAATGCACGGGGACATGGTCCTACGACTCTATCGGAGAAAAAGTTTGCGCCGCTCTCGAATCATATGCAGAGTAAAATATGCCCTCAAGCAGCAGGATATTGAGCTCAATCCATCGCCCTGCTGCCGCTTCTGTCGAGAAGAGAAGATGTGGATGTTGTCGACGGGCATCAAGGAACAAATTCAGTGAAATCGATGAGTGAGAGAGAGAGAGAGAGAGAGACTGTCTTTTGAGAAAAGGCATGCGGTCGACGGGAGAAAATCATGGCCATTCATTCATTCATTCCAGAGAGCAGAGGACGGGTGTAGAAACAGAGTTCTCAAGACAACGCGGAGCTTTGGTTCAAAATGAAAGAGACCCTGTACAGCGATCAGATTTTAGAGATTTTAGAGGTTCATGTGACTCGGGAGGAATCCAGCCAGGAGCGTAGTCGGTGCGCAGTTAATGATCGCAGACAGACAGACAGACAGATACCACTGAAAGAGGAGATCTCCAGCAGCGATGACATGCAAGGCGGACAGAGGCGAGCTCCAGAGGCAACGAGAGAGATGAAGAAGGAAACGACGAGACCTTTCATCGGCATCGCTGATTATCTGATAGGATCGATCTGACACTGATACGCTCTTTGTAGAATTTTACCTGCTGGGAACCGAGCTGTACGACCAAGATCCACGCACCTGGATATTGATGGAGAAAGTGTGATGAATGAGCATGCGAGGGACAGAATAGCTCATCATCCAAATTGCCAATTAGCACAAGCGTCTGACCTCGCGCAATCCCATGAGAACTCAGCACATTCGAATTGTACACATTTAAAGAATGACATTCATTCTATTGGGAGCTACTGAAATGTACGAGTAGATGAATGGGTACAACTGTTTTCTTGTGCTCACGAAGAACTGAAGTGATCTCAAGAGTAGACACAATACGGGAATGGTCAGGAGAATCCGAGTCCAGCATAAGCTGCATAGAAAATCAAATAAAGGATGACCTTCATGAATGAGAGCTGGTTGTCCCCGTGATACACAAGATGGCATCGAGTGTGATGTTCCAGTGTTTGTCCTTGATGTCGCCCAAAGAGTTTTTGTGGACGAAGTCAAACGACGGAATGCAAGAACCTCACTAAACCTCGAATTGGAGGAGAGCCGATAGTCTCATTTAACGAGAATGATGTGTCAGAAAGTGACAAGAAGTTTGGTGAGAGAACTTAGAACCAGCAGCAGTTCTATGGAAAGCCACAAGCACCAAGTCTTTCTTCATACAAATAAATGGAAAGTTTGTTTGCTACTAAAAAAACGAAGACAGCAGAGATTCCCGAAACTGATATCTCCCATTTCTTCACTGTTCAGGTCCAGTTCTACGCGAGCTATAGAATTTGAGCTGTATAATTCTTATGCGGACAAGGTCTTTTATGAATGGACTCGAGTTCCGCAGCTTTGAGTCCGCTGTGTGCGGAAACAGGAGGATCATGATAGATTAGGCAAGCACAACTTGTCACAACTCGCTGTGTGTGTGTAGCTATGTCACGAGGAAATTCAATATAAGATTTCTTCTTTGAAAAAGACGCGCTCAATACTCCCTGCCATGAATGATACTTCTTCGTTGTTTCCACAGTGAAAAGTCTCAAGGGTCCGATTTCAGATCCAGACCAATTATTTACTCTCAGATCAACTCTTTGCTGCAGTCCCAAGATGAAGCAATCGTTTTCAATTAAAAGGAGTTTTGAAACCAAGTCAGAAACACACACTTCTTCCACTCAACATATCTCATTTAATGTGAGCAAATACGCTTTTCACTTTCTAGCACGAGAAGGCTTACTCTTTAGCCCAAGTTAGCTTTCAGCAACAGCATCACAGTTGCAAACTGTGATGTTTGGACCGAGACAAATCAAAGGCTGACTAGTTTCAATAGAGTGACCAATCTGTGGAACACTGCTGAGTGGGCTGCGTAACCTACGTGACTTCCGCTCATGAACTATAAAACACTTCTGAAATCATGAGGCGTTGAGGTTGGAAAGTTTATTTTCAGTCATGTTTCATATTCAATATGCTATATCATGGTTTTCATTCAACACTACTTCAATTATGCAGATTAGATTCATATGTCCTAACATACAATATAATTTGAGGGAGCGACTAGTTATCTTTCACTTAGGGTTAACCCGTCCTAGCTCTACAATACGTAATACTCTGATTGGTCGATGCAAGAAAATCAATTTCTTTTATGGTCCACGCAATAGCAACTATAGGACATTTGACCAATCAAATAAAACCCAGCAGTGTGAGTACTGATTAGCCCTAAATAATATATAACTAGATCCACCCTAATTATATCATAACGAAACTTATATTACATATACATTCATACACAAACATAAGTATATTATACTAGTCCAAGGACATGCGAATGCCAATCATCGTGTAAAAATCATATTCGAATGTTTGAGTTAAAACAAATCCATTGTGTGACTCAAAGATTCTAAATTCTTGCACTAGCTAATCTCCATCAAAGCTGCAATCTTGATACTCAAAATCCCTAAATCTACTCTACTCCTTAAGCCCTAGGTCTCCTACCAACACTTTTAAATATAATTTATTGCTGTGGGCACTAATTATTTTGTCTCGATTTGCGCGCGAAATATACTTACAAATATAACTAATATATATATAGTGATTTTACAAAATAATACGCCATGACCATCACTTATTGGTTATCCTATATAATGAAAGATAATGCTCTTGCAAAATCCAAAGTTCAACAATAGCAAGTTCCATGATAAATATATGATTTAGAAGAATTGAATGATGCTCGCACACAGTAACATGCCATGCATCTATACACTACGGTTGAAGCATTGTTTGCAAGTCTTTCCACTAAGAGTGATTCTAAAGCAGACTATACATTTGCTTTGCTCCAAAGTGACGTAACTCATTGAGCATGTCTCACCAACTGAGCTCTTTGAGATAAAAGTAGTACAATCATCATCTCATACTCGTTGAAGGAGTAAACGTTCTTATCCAAACCGATGAATTCTTTATGGAAAATAATCCGGCTCCTTGTCATTAAATATAACACCGGCACATTGTCACATGGCGAACACGTATGTCTCAATTTGCCACCAAACCATTCTCATCTTGGGTGTCCACGATGATCTGTTGAATCTTTGACCTGAAAAGAATGGAATTAGCTCATAAGCGCCAACATCCTGCCGACTAGTTTACCAACTGAGCTCTGCCGATCCAGAGTCATCCCATCATTTACATCATCATAGCATCAAGCTCTAGTTTGGTCATCTTGTACATTGGTTTCGTAAAAAATCATTTGCAGCACAGTTTATTGTTATATGTCTATGCATCACCGCAAAATCATAGTCATGTATAATCAGGACCAGAGCCCAACATTCGGTGCCCATGACCGTGGTTACGGGTGAGTTTCGGATGACATTATTTTTCCATGGGTGCGCACAAGTAATGCTAAGGGCAGTGTTTGTCACGATCCAACCAAGATTTTGCCTAATTTGAGTATCATGGGTGGGCATAGGTAGCTGCTGAGTTATATTCTGGTCTGGGTGCAGATTTGAAGTAAATTGTTGGCCTCTAATCAGGACCTATCCTGCAAGCATTACAGTAAACTTAATTGATTTGTCAATCATTTTAATGATCGACGATGAACGATGAGAGTAAAAACGTTTACAAGTAATAACTTTTGATATATGACACCTCCCAGATATTTACCAAACGTCCTTTTTCATGAAAATGATTTTTGACTCTGTTTCATGGTTGGAGCCTCTTACAGCACCTGAAACAAATAAGTATACTTCGTCATCATGTTTAGTAATCACTGCTGCCAAACCCTAAATTATTTCAATCTGGATGTAACTGAAAGTGATCAGTTCTCGCAGGTCTCCTCAAAAAGAGCGGCAGATATAATTTAACCTTGACTTCAACAAAAGTATTTTCCAGTTGACTTCTTCAATGCCACTCTCTTGTTCTAGCTTTGTCAACTTTATCAAAGCTCTAGTAATAGTGGTAAATTTTTGCTCGTTTTGCAATTCCAAGGAATGCTGGAACCTTACTCATATATGAAGGTTGTGGCGTGGGTTTGATTTACCCCACCTTCGTTTGGTGAATATCCAATTTTCCTGGATATATGGTATGAACCAAATAACCCAATGCTAACTTGATGATGGGCTGTATCCTACCATGCCCTCGGCTGTTCCTCGCATGTTCCACTGTCCAGTACTCTTCTTAAGCATTCTACAGACAGATATATGTCCAGCAATGTGGATTTGTATCCTGTCGAAGGAGTGTTTTGCCGTCTTCTACCTTTGAGAGGTTCAGGGTCAAGTAAACGAAGCAGGGCATTTTATACACATACTCAAAGTATCAAGAGTGCCCTCCAACATCAAGAGTTGATTGTCACATCCCAGATAGTTGACAGTGCGTTGAGCAGGATGAAGGAGGCACTGCTGGCCCCCTCAGCTCAAAGACAGAATTCTCTCTGAACAAGAAGGCGTAACATTTGGAGTGAGTACAAAGAGTGATTTCTTGCTCTTCATTCAGCTGCTTTGGTTTATCTGACGATCTCACCTTCAAATATGTCTGAGCTATTTGCAGGGAAGACAACATATCGAGAGTGCATTCTCTCGTCGCAATACATCTTTGCAAACGCTCACCAGAATCCGAACAGACGCACTGCAATTAGAAGATTATTTCACTTGGTTAACAAAACTCATGGGTGAACAAGTATTCTCTATGTCTACTAAAAGTACAGGTTCACTTGCTTAACAAAACTTTTGGGTGAACAAGTATTCTCTCTGTCTACCAAAAGTACAAGTTCACTTGGTTAACAAAACTAATGGGTGAACAAGTATTCTCTGTCTACTAAAAGTACAGTCGATCCAGATTCGACCTCACTCGGTCTGAATAATGCTCACAGGCGAGCCAACATGCGAAATCGCCCGGGCATGAGTCACTATAATATACGTGGGCTTAAACCCTACTTACCCGAAGAAGCATTTGAATCATCCTATAATACAATGAGCTTAACACTAGATCCAGTTTTGGTACTGAATATTATACATGACCATCAAAATTTCGAGAGCTTCCCGAGCTACAATACCGGATTCCTTCTCATTACCCGAGCTTGCCCTGGATTGTCTGCTTGGTGATCGCAACTGAAGATTTCCATATCTGCACTGGAGGATTTTTTAATGAACTCTCGCCTTCAAGATCGCCACTCAAGAGCTTCGGTGCCCGTGCTTTCTCGTCTTTTCGCGAGTCTCCTCTGTCGGGGGACGTACGTGTAGCTGAAAACAGCCATTACGGCAGTTCCGAACAAACCCAAAACCACGAAGGCGAAAGACTCGGTGACCTTCGACCCACCACTTCCAATGATGGCAACGACTGCGATGGTAATGACATTCCCTGCACACACCAATATTTAAGCAATTTAGGCTGACGTTTCAAGCACTATCTACATTCTCAACAGATTCCTCGTCCTGTTTGACTACTAGAAGTAAACGTGCTCGAAACGTACAGAGACCATGGACGGGCGGAAATATTGAGTTCCATGTGCGTCAATCATAGCAGGAACAAAATCATTCATGCTCGGGATTCCCTTCAGAGGACACATGTTCCGAAACTGACACTGGTGTGTTCATAACCCTCGATGCAACATCGTTAGGTCCTACTAGATCATGATCAGACACAAGACAATGATGAAAGCGCGTTTGTAGAATACTGTCGCTGAAGAGAGGAAAATGTAGTACCTATGGCAGAATAGAAGTGAAGTGCAGCCTGAACCACGGTCTTCATGGATGCAGGAGCCTCTTGGTAGGCCCAATCGATGGCAGGAATGAACATGAGTGTCTCGGCCAAACTGATGAAGAAGTACTGTGGAATCTGCCAAAGAAGGGAAACATCTGCCTGCTCAGCATGAAGCCCGTTCCCTTCTTGCTCTTGTAAACTCGCGTTGATATACATTTGAAGAATACCCGATGCAGTGAAAGATAACGAGGCCGCGACCAGTGCCCACACCATACGTGTCAAATTTGGCAGCGGGCAAATGTACTTCTCAATGAAGGGATACACGATTTGGTCCATCAGAGGGATGATCGCGAAAACCATAATCGGATTCAACGCCTGTCAATCAGAAACGCAAAGCAAGCATCATCAGTAACCCCAACGATCCCGCAGGAGCAGCTGCGATTGTCTGACAGACCCGTCAGAGGTTTTCTCCTTGACATTCTTACGTTGGTAGATAAATAATTACCTCAAGCTGACACTCAGATCCAGTCACAGTTATGAATGATGACAATGGAGTGGAATCAAGTCGTCATCAGAATACCACGAGTTATGCGTAATCTCAAAGCTAGTGAAATCATGCCATGAAAGTCAGACGATGTTTTCGTCGATTAACGGTATCTGTTCCAAGGGTACACCAGGAAACAGCAGCCGGATGAAGTGAATGAAGATGTGCAACAACAACTCGGTCAAATTACAATAAAGACATGCACCATTTCGCCGGGAGATTCTCAGAGCATTACTTCCGACATTTCCTCCTCCATGTCCCTGCATTCACAGTACTGTGATTGCCCTGACGACTACAAACGTTCGTTCTCTGAGAAGGAATCGTGTCAGAAGCCACTACTGTACTAATTCAAGTCTCCATCGGAAGACATCAGCTCGAAGACAGTGGACGGGGACGTCCTTGCCCGTAGTCACTGACTGGGTCAGCAGCCATGTCAAGGCTCGCTGACCCAACGGCTCCTAACGGTCTTGGCGCCCTCTCGGGCCACCGCGGATGTCGGGAGGGGGGAGGAAGAGCGGGTGCCGTCAGAATCAACGAGAAGGGCCCGCGGTCGGCACGACGGCATCGCGAATCGGCGATTGGGAGATGGAGGAGGAGGAGGAGGAGGAGGAGGGTCCCTCCTTCTACTCACTCCTCGGTCGGAATGCGCAACACGAAGGACCCGGGCAAGGAGTGATTCGTCTGGGAGAGGAATCGTCGAACAGTGCGCAGCGTGGACGAGACGAGACGAGACAGGCAGCTATGGACGATGACTCGATTGACGAAAATATCAAATCCTTGACCTGGATCCAAACCACTGCTCCTCGCTTCTCGGCACGAACCGACCTGTCAATTCCGAAATCTCGCTCGCTCGAGTCTCGACCGAGGTCCACGACCCAGACATTCCTCGACGATTTCACGGTCAGGTATTCGACGACTTCAGTGCTCGTCGAGTTCACTGGACGATTGATTATCATCCGATTATATGGTGCACTGCAAGAGTTGCCGAGGATGAAATTCGAGGACAGATTCCAAGCACGACGGGAGAGAGAAGAGTGGATGCGATTGGGCACTCGATGACTGAACGAGCATCAGAGGTGCCGATCTTACTCACCGGCAGTTGGTCGGGCTCGATGGTGAAGCCGCCGAAGAGGGGCACGTGACCGTCCATGGTCCGAGCCTGGAACACCCAAGTGGAGCTCGTTTGGAAGAACATGGCCGTGAAGAAAGGACAGGGCGTGACGATGAGAAGCACTAACAGCGTATCCTTCAAATCCTCCATGTACGAAGTTTCCACAGCAGCCACGAGCTTGGCGCTCTCTTCCGCCGTGCCCCACGACGAATCTCCATCGCGCTTCGTTGGCTCGTTGTCACCACCACTCTCGCGAATTAATGACGGAATCGGTCGATAGTAGTAAGTCTTTCTTCCGAGCCAGAAGGATGTGATGGCCAAGGCCATCGAGCACGCAGGCATGAGGAAGGCGTAGAAGTAGTTGCCGTGGCCTTGAGCTCGGATGATGGGCGCAACGACGGCACTGAAGAGCGTGCCCAAATTCATGGCCATGTAGTACGCGGAGAAGAACTCATGACTCGCCTCCTTCTTCGTGGCGTCCGAGGTGTTGGGGCCATTTTTCTGGTCGAAGCTGTGGCTCATTTGGTCGCCTCCGAATGTGACCTGACACGGCTTCAGAGCTCCAGTTCCCAGCACCACCAGTCCCAGCGCCATCGGCACCATAACGTGGTTCACTGCAGAGGTCTGCCAACTGACGATTGGTATGGCCGCCACACTGAGCAGTATATGTCCCACAAGTTCACAGTAGGAGAAAATGTAGCAGGCCACGTAATTGCCCTGCAAATCATCACACACCGATCCCTTCATCAGCGATCCATTTCCCTCGCAAGCTATCCTTCTCTCACACACAAGAATCGGGCCGGGCCTCGAATAAAATGGGCAAACGCGATATAATCACGTCCACCAGGACCCAGTTCTATACTCGCCTTCAATCAGACACACTTGGTACTTCAGCCAGGATATATGTGGATATATATATATGCTCCAGATAAAGTATAGTCTCGGAATGAAGTTTCTCATCCCCGTTGTGCAGGAAACGAACTCCGATGTGCATTTACAGTGCGGAGATTTCGTCATCGATAAGGTCCGTGGAAGCTCGAGATCACAAGTTGTGATGTTGAGGTGGCATGGGAGATATGGCTGTGATCGTTAGATGCACGCCAATCGAATAGTCTGATCTGTTTCGTGCATCTCTTTAATTGCCAGTTTGAGAAGGACTACGCTACGGGAGGAGGAGGAGGAGGAGACTCACCAGGAAGCCATCGCTGACAAAGGAGCCGATGAACGGGCTGACGAACGATCCGATGAGGAAGAAGTGCACGATCTCTGTGGCCGCCACCTCGCTGAAGTGCAAGCTCTCGAGCAAAAACAGAGCCAGGATCGTCTGTACTCCTCTCAGAGCTATTCTCTCCAAGAACTCGAACGCCACCAAATACTTCATAAAACCTTCGTGCATCACATGCTGCCGCTTCGGCTTCGGCTGGATCAGCGGTTGAGCCATCTCCTCCTCTTTCGCGTTATCCATGATCTCAGCCCACGACAAACACAGTGTTCCGACGGATGGATGACCCAGGCAGGCACGAGCTTCACAGTACCCTCCGCAGACTTTATCGTCGTCTGTTCATTCGGGTCTCGACTGGCGATGATGAAAGTGCTTTCCTCCCTCTCCTTCACTCGAACAGTTTTTCTTCGTCAATCGGAGCAGTTTTTCAGTTTTTCAGTCATAAGAGACTCCAAACCAGAGGAGCCACTCGAAGGTCCAGGTCCCTCTATCGGGAGCTGCGAGCTCTCGAGCCCCTGCTCGAGCTTCACAAAGCAGCGAGGACACTCGATTTCTTCGACGAGAAATCGAATCTGCTTCCAGTGTGCAGCCTCCGTGTGAACTGTTCCCGGCAGACACACTGCCGACTCTGAAATCCTGACTGCACTGGGCTCCGAGGTCTATGGTCGAATGCGCAGCACTTTATGCTTGAATTTCTCGTCCGGACCCAGGGAACCTGTCGCTCTGACCGGCAGCTAGCAACCTAGACCTCTGACTCGACGACTCTCCCCCACCAGACCACACCTGATCCCAGTCAGTAAACCCCAGGTCACTGACTGTCGGTTGTTGTTTGTCCGTAATCTCACGGTATCCAAGCACGGTATCTTCGCACGACGAATGCTCCAGATTATCTTCACTGCATCCTTTCGTCCGTGTACTTACTGATAGCCCTCCGTGTTTATGACCAAACATTTGAAATGTTTGGTCATACGAGAAATGTCACATTTCCCTGTCTCGTTTGTTCAACTATCACAGTGATGATTTATTGGTGTCGCGCTCCATTGATGTAACTTTGTTGAGATTTCTAGAAGAAAGTATTCGGCTTCTTTAGTTGTGGCGCATTCGATACCACATTTTGCCTTCGCCATGGAACTCGTGTTTGGTGTTAGAGAATGACAAGCGAATATTCGTGATATTCTAAAATGTGAAAGCATACCTTTGTAAGGTATACCTCCTTTTATGTATTATCCACGGGTAACTTCAAGTGACCTAGAATATATTTGTAATATATTTTCCATGTGTGAAGGTTTCTTCAGGGCCTTTAACAATGTTTCGCACTATTGATACCAATGAATAGTAGTCAGTCATGGTGGATACAAGGTGATTCTTTGATATATTTGGTGGGGTGCGGCTAATTATCACTCAATTTATGTTAATTATATTTCACAACTAGTTTGTTCCCGTGGGAACACACAAGATATTTTGATAATTTTTTTGATCTTTCTTGTTACCAACTTTGATTCTGCGTTTAATCACGTCATCGTTACCTAACTCGACGTGTAACCCTGCACAAGATATTTTGATAAGTTTTTTGATCTTTCTTGTTACCAACTTTGATTCTGCGTTTAATCACGTCATCGTTACCGAACTCGACGTGTAACCCTGCACTGCAGATAGCACAACGTTCACTGTTGCATGAGAAACCTCTTGTGCGCGTGTTCATTTTGATATGAGATAACTCCAACCAATCAGAGATCTTAATTCTTAAATAATTTATATAATAATTAGCATAACTGAGAGATAATTAGAACTTTTTTTTTTCTTGGAAAAAATCTTTGCAACGTTTGGAGTACATAGCAAGGGATGAGAATCATAAGTATTGGACATTAGCATCCTCCAAGTGAGTTTCAGATAAATTATTAGCTTCTTATTTACAGTTTTATCACTTTGTACATGCGAGCAAAGAAGATGTGGAGGGGTATAGAGTCTATACCCCTCTAGATCTATGCTATAGATCAAGAAAATGCTTAATCTATTTCATGGAAAGAAATAAATGAAGTCAGTACAGCCAATATTCACAAGGTTCCAACTGATCAAGCACAAGGAAAAATTTGTGTAGAAAAATAGATTCAGTATGTAGAGTATACTAAAAATCTAGGTATATTAAGATGTGTGTAAATCTATAGCTGAATTAGAGAGTCAAAAGAAAATCTCATTTTCTTTCTTTAATGATTCAGATTTCTCAAGCATACTTAAAAATATAACCCTGTATTGACATGATAAATTGAAATATATCTGTCATCAATAAATGAGGTGATAATAAACGTCTTAAGAATAATGATTCATGTCAAAAGTAATTTCGATGACTTATCTTCCGTATGTAATTATGAACATGACCTTGTCAAAGATTTATGTCACCGTCAAAAGTTCTTGTCACACATTTGAAAGTTGCTTTTTTTTTATGTCATCAAACACATCTTATTTAGAAAATAAGATCAAGCATGATGAGAATGTAGCTGAGGTAAATTCATGCTAAGATTTACACATAAACTTGGAAATATCAATTTGAATATTTTGGTAATTGATATTAAATCATGAAATCTTGAATTATATTGGATATTCATAATTTACTATTTATTAATTTTAATGATAGTACTTACAGCATTATACTTGTCACAAAAAATTAGATTTTTATGTTATGTAATATTATTAAAGGTTTACTTTGTACTTCAAAACTAGTAATAGCAATAAATGCTATTACAATATGTATACTAACAGTTCTAGATTGCAGAAAAGATAATGTTTCTCATGTGAAGCATCAACATGTGTCAATTTTGTATAAAACAAGGAATAGTATTCATAGATTTTTCTAATCCTATCATCTACTCTCAATCAAGCATTTTACTTTAAAAACTTATCAAGTGAGTATCTGAAAAAATATATGATCATAGACTAGATTTTTTTTTTCAATAAACATTCAACTTAAACAAATGTATGCTTTCAAGACTTGAATATATAGGATATAAATTATACTGAAACATGATCATTGATGTTTTTTTCAGTAATAAATTAATTTTGGACCTCCCTCAATATTATGCCAACGTTTGATAGTCAAAACACTTTAATTGCTCAACTTAAGAGACTATAATAAAAAAAATTGCTTGAAGATACTAATGCTTTTAAAAAAACCACACATACATTATTACATGTGCAAACTGGAAGAATTCTTTCAGATTTCATCAATCTAGTATGGAATTCTTAGTATATGATTGTATCTAGCTTTTGTATAGTACATAGAGTTTTGTAACATGTTTAAATTCTAATTAATAGCCTTCTCGCAACATCTTATCCTTCAAGTTATGACCTCCTTACTTCGATGATGATGTTTTTGTAGCTGCCAAATTTCGTTTGCGTCAATTATACTTTGAAATTTCAGAAGATCAACATATACATTCAATATAATTTTGTGTGAGAGGAGCTCAAAAGATTCACCTTTTTTTTCTTCAATTAAATTGGATAAATTTCTCCCACAAGAATATCCCACCGTTTTTCCGACTGTTCAGTATTTAAACTCATTTTGAAAACTGAATATTTACTTATGTTTGTGATAAAAAGGAGATATTTCCACAAGAGAGAGGAAGTCAAGAAATCTAAAAATCTGCAGATACTCTAGGTATTTGAACTTCATCCATGTTTTAAACTATATAATATAGTCAAGTCTTATTTTTTCATTGCATTTCAAGAGTTGATTCTTGTATTGAGTGATCCAATCCGAATGATACACTTGTCTGATATTTAATTTCTTTTCATATACATTAGTTACATAGTATATTCTTCAAAGCACAAAATGAGAATTTTTTTATGAATTCTTAATCTCAAAATGATGTAAAAGTTGATTCATTTCATTTTTCATCTATGATGTTCAAAAGTTCAGGATTCATAAACTATTGTGCTGTAATAATATAAATTTTATGATCATGTTAGACAAGAAATAAATGCCAAAATTTGGCATTTATTTCTTGTCTAATTTTTTGATCTTCTAAGTAATTATGATTCTTTTGTTACTTATGTGAAAATTTTGAAATCAAATGTATTTGAATTTATTTCATATTTTATCTCATTCATGTAATTGAACATATTCATCATCATCACAATTTTGTTGATCACATTTAGTTATTGATATCATTAAGTGATTTTCTTCAGTAGTTTTTTATTCTGATCATCTTCAATCCAAATATTTTGAGATAAGATTACAGTTGTACATGAACAAAAATCCGTCAATTTTGAAATTTTTTGTTTCTGAGCAGTTTAGAAGTCTAATAAGTCAATATATGATACATGTGTAACTAAATTTGGAATTCAGATTCACAAGCTAAAAATCATCAAACTTTTTCACATAGATATTTAAGATTTTGGCATATTTTGCTACAAGCCCCTATTCTCCAAGTTTTTTGTTATATATAAAACTTAACCGTTTGAGTTGAATTATCCAGAAATTTCCTATTTTGATATTATTCCTTGCAACTGTCGCAGTTATTTTATATATAATATGTGTCAGTGTGAAAAAGCGTGATTTATATTCCTCCTGTTCAAAATTATTGCACATCATGATGGACATAATTGTATAATCTATCACAATTTCAATAGATATATATATATATATATATATGAAATGATTCTTAAATTTCAAAAGAAGTTAAGGTCATAGATTTTTGTACATCGTAAAAATTTATGACTTTAACTTGTTTTGAAATTTAAGAATCACTTCATTCACTGGCTGGAATGTGATTTTCCTTGAGTTCACCGAGTTGATTTGAGCTGTACAAAAAGCCACCGTTTGTACTTTTGCTTATGAAAAGCAAAGCATGTTTGCCCCCTCGTTTGAACTAAACATAAAAGCGCTAAGTTGAACGTTGTTGCAACTTGAATCTCTTGCTTTTCCTCGAACTATGTGTTACACGCTTTATGTATCGAGAAGACTCTGCTCTTAACTTTCCAATGTATCTATATTGTCCACCAATTCTCCCCCTTCCCCCCTTTCTCTTTTATCCATGCTCTTTAGCGTGGATAAAAGAGCACGGATTCATCACCATATATATATGATGCCATGATGCCTCATGGCAAAGGACTTATGAGTTAAGAACCCTTTGCCATGATCTTGCTTCTAGTGTACTATTGTTTCCATGTCTCGCCCTTCTTTGGGGTGATTTGAGATCTGTGCACTTTTGCATCTCTGATACACTTTTGCCATTTTGAATGATGCTTAGTGACCTCAAGCCTTTCGTTGTCAAACATGAGCGACGAATAAAGGGAAAAATGACGATGCTCTTTCGTCAAAACGTATACCACTGTTCCATGACTGCAGGCACAGTCGTGATTATAATTTATGATGGGAATGATGACTAAAGGTCCATAAACGAGAGAATCGAAAACCACCTTTACTGAAAAGATGACGGAACAAAGCTGCAAAGGGCAAAGATAAGTGGAGAAAAGCGTATAAAGTCTCAACACAAACCTTCATCACTCCTAACCACATCAATCGCAAAACTGCTAACACTTCATTAGTGCAGATCATAACTTGGGAGTGGCAATATTATCATTCCAACGAGAACCACGTCCACTGACATGTCTTATGCGACTCTGGTGAGCAAAGTCTTGTATAGTAGGTGGCATAAATTCACATCAAGGTGCACTCGAAGGTGATACGAACTTACCAACTTTACATTCCCTGCACATTTCCATCCAAAATAATTAGACTATACTATGCGATGAATTGGAAACAATTGGGCCTTCGACTCCGGGCTCAACGACGGGCTGAGCCAGCAAGCAAGCAAGCATTTTGGCAAGGACTCGATGTGTTGTTTCGAAGCCCGAGGTGGAAGCGGAAGAGTCGGTGGAAAGTCGTATTCTGACTCTGCGTGGCCGCCGAAGACTCGCCATTTCGATGTTTCATGTGAAAATGTTTCGTGGCCAACAGTATTCTCATGTGCTCCTGAAGGATTTGTAAAGACATTCTGTGTGGAAATAGAGAGTGACGGACGGAGCCCAAGCTATACTGGTCAAAAACACGAGATGCCCTTGTTTGGTTTGATTCTGAGAGGAAGATGGAAACTAAAATGTCCAAAGAAAAGATCGTACATAATCCCAGAGCAAGTTGTGGGGGAGCACTCTCTTAGCAGTTCTCGTGTCGAGGAAAGGGGAATCAAAGAGCCCAACCGGTCAGTGATTGGTTGGGCTCTTTGATTCCCCTTTCCCGGATTGACTTTTCCGGATGCTTTTGTGAGGTAACGAGTTTCATGTGCGCGTATATGGACGGGCTCGGTGTTCTGGGTTACCTGAGTCCGACTTGAGGCTCTGTTCAGTCGAGAGAAAGTTCCTTTGCATTTCCGCCACGTTTTCGGCGGCGTTGATTTGTCTCTTGTTGTTCGCCATGGGTCCGGGACGTGCATGACAATGATGCTGCGTCCGGACTTCCGAAGAACTTCACTCACTGCGATCATGAGCAGTGAGTGCACGTCGACGCTTTCAGTCTTCTCATCGCCATCTGATTCGCCGGACCTTGTTTGACTCCTCGTGGATCAGAGTGCCACTCTTGATTTGCTCGCTTGATTGATGATGTTCATTCCAGTCCTGTTGGATCTTATGTCCATAATCTTGTACTAGTTCCACCCTCTTTTTCCGAATCCTCTCAGGCAGATGCCATATCGACGGTGTGCAGCTTTCTTATCATGTCATGCACAACAATTGTTCATCTAATCGCTCTGCTCGAAACAGTTTTCACCTGTTTTGTGTACGGTCAGCGTCCTGTCCAAGCCTTAGGCTGTTTCGACATCAAGCAGTCCAAAAATTCTCAGGAACAGTCGTCAGCTGCTATATATGAACATACACACTGTACAAGCCATGCGGAGCAGAATCGTGGCCGTTTGAATTAGCGCGACATATGACTTGCTGCCATGCGAGCTACCATTGTCACCGTACGATTACGATTCGGGAGTTGCAAAATTAGAAAGTATATCTCTCTCCCTCTGTGCTGTAATTGATCTTCATGAAACGCCGACAGTTCCAAAACTCATCTGGACTCTTAAAGGAGCTCCAATGTCGTAACTCAGCACATTATCCGTGCATTATGATGTTGCCAGCGAACTCTCGATGCTTATCTACTTCCGATGATGAACTGAAACCTACAGTAATGGTGCAACTGTTGCATTTACTAAATTCTATTCCAGCTGTGAATAGAGATTATTATGGCCGACCGCACAAACCCGCGGACTGTACGAAGCGTTCGATGCGTGGACTATTCGTTCAACAGAGACGGAAGAGTCATGGCCGACATTTTATTTGCTTGTACCATCTTCTGCCCAAAATTATGCGCAGGTGAGGTTCGGAATCACTGATTTGTTCACGGTAGACACGCCCAGCACTTGATGAGAGCGGGAGAAAAGAAACCCTCTCGAGAAACGAACTGGTGTTCTGCGGCACGAGAGCAGAACTCTCATCAGCACACTCGTTATAATGTTCAGCCTGTATCAGCTGCATTTCTTATTTAAGAATCTTGGTCTTGAAACCCTCTGGTGTCCAACGTAGGCTACATCTATGATCAGATTACATTCGTGTTTGCCAATTTGGTTTCTCCCCTGCACGTTCAGAAAACCCCGAGAAATTATAGTCTATAACATCGGAGAAGGGCAGGGCTTGGAGGAAAGCGTTTAGAAGAAGGACAAGGTTCATGCTGTCACCAATTTAAGAAGGATCCGAAGGAAGCAGGAATTTTCTGTACGCAAGAATGGAGCTCATGCTTTCTGGCAAGTGTGCGGGATTAGCATGGGATCTAACTTCTCTGTGAACAGATTCTCCAAGGGGGATATGTAAAAGGTGCCCGTTCCTGACCCAGAGGTTCTTACCCTCACGCTCATCTCCTCTCGAAGGATGCTCTTGTGGTCGCCTCGTGTGCACACGCTGTATCTCGAATGTCTAGCCTGATTTAGGGTGACCATGAATCAGAGTCCACAAACGGTGAAAGGCAGTGGAATGTCGAAGAAAATGAACATCGAACAGCTTCTGAATCACTCGCAGAAAGACATTCTGTTCTGTAAAATTACTACGGGTTCCAGTTGCCCTCCTGATGGGATGCGATGGAATGGGAGGGGGTGAGCCTGCTTGTCGACGATCTAGGTTAGAACACAACTGTGAAGCTCTTCGAAATATCCTCAGGCAGAGATGGCCGTCTATTTGGTGGGTGGGGCCGACGAAGACGAAGAGGCAGGAGGGAGGTGAAGCAGGCCGCTAGTGCTTCAGGGTGGAGCACAGTGCAGTACAGGCCATAGAGGGAATTGCGTTCCCTCAATGGATGAAATTCTGGCCCTGGAATCGACCAGTGGATCACGCTGTGCTGTATTCCGGTCGTGCTCCTGTTCAGTGAGCCATATTCACTTTTCGGCTCAACATTCCCACCATATTCTATTGTCTGTTGTGGCAAGGGAAGCTCACTGCTGAGCCTTCAGGTGGTTCAGCTGCCCCACTGGAAATCACAAAGGTCACCAGAGATGAGGCGCATCCACAAGGTGATCAGCTCTTCGGGCAACTGTGAGAGAAAAGCTCGCACCTCCGACGCCCCTGATTGACAAAGTGATCGCCAGACTGTATCCAGGCGCTCTGTAGTCATGACATGTGAACGACTCAAGATTGCCCTTCCAAATGATTGCTCATCGGTTCACTTTATTTGCGTTGTGGATTTGTGGATTTGGTACGTGAAATAACTCTCCAGGATGTGATTATATACAAGACACGATAGTCATTCAGAAGGCACATGAGCCCATTTAAAAGCGGTGCGGGAGCGATGACTGATTTTTGCTGGTAACGACGAATATCTAGGGCTCTGGAAAAGGCGAAGGGAATTTTGTCTGGCCTGTAGCTTGCGCAAGCAGGGGGCGCAGGGCCTTGCCCTGATGCGATGCTGGGACGCCAGAGGTCAGTAAGCACCACTGTGGTCGCTTCCTGGCCTAGACCAGGAAGTCAGAAAAGCAAAAGACGCTGGAAAGGGCGATTCTCGAGCGAGTTCAATGATGAGTAGATTCACGTGACAGCAGAGTTGACGCAGTGACAACTGCAGATCGCCACTTTCAGCTGAAAAGTCGGAGCCCGATTTAGGCCCGGCATGAACGGGGGATGGGTGGGAATCACAAGGCGCTTGTCTATTTGCGCTACTTGCACAGAAGAAGACTCTGAACCGATGGCTGCGATGCGTACGTGAGGTCGCATGAACCGTGTGAAGCGTATGAAGCTCGGATCGTTGAATGCTCATTCGAGACTCGTCGAGCCGTGGCTTGAAGCTCCCGCCCTCTGGATTTCGGCTTTGGACCTCCGAAAGCACTTTCGCCTTCTTCTTGCGTGTGCCGGGCTCAGCAAACGCCAAGTCCAGTTTCAGAGCCGAGATTCAGAACATCTGAATGCGCAGTGAGCTGGTGAGGAAAGAGGCCATGCGCTTTTCCACCTCTAGATGTTGCGGGCTGCCTTCCGAATCTGGCTGGAGGAGGAGGCAAAGGCTAAGGCTAATAAAGCTGAAGCTCTCTGCATCTTCATCCACCGGGGTGCAGAATAGCCTCGGAAGAGATCGCTGTTGGAGAAGCTGAACAGGCATGGAGGCAGGCGTTCCTGAATAAGAGGATAGAAGAATCACAGCCTGTCCCCACCCTTTGCCATACCTGAAGCCCTCAATAACCTCCCGGCAATAACCCTCTAGGCATAAAACGTAGCGACGTAGGCCTGCAAAAGCATTCTCTGTGGCCAGTGCTATTCTTGAACTGCGCAAGCATTCACGATTCTCGAGCTCGAAGAATCAGAGCAGTCTATGTGAAGTGAAGATGGCTTGGTACCAGGAAATCGAGATGACTCTTGCCGACTTTTTGCTCTTCCTCTTGCTCGACAGGTCCTAGCACGGACGGAATCCAGATTTGACGACCGCAACTTTCTACAATTGTTACATTCCTCTGTGTCATTTTATGAGCTGGGACGTGGAGGACTCGGTCGGTCGTCGTTCGAGATGTGGACCTGTCTCCTTTACTCCGATCCTACGGAAGAGCACATGGAGAGAACACGAATGTCTGCAATTGCAGCTTGTACTCTGCTGAGAAACGAGAATGATGTCCTATTCTGCACGGAGACCGTGTCTCTTTGGGAGAGCATGATGGCCACTGCTCGTAATCAGTCGGTCCGATGGCAGTACAGCGGCACAGTCTCGCTGTGGTTCGCCCATCTCATATATTCTATCGGGCATTCAATTCTGCTCTACGTGTAGAGAGCACTGTGTCTGCTTACATATATGTCTCCAGATGTCAGTATGAGTCTCGAATTTTATGCAGGGGACCACGGATGCAGAAGCAGATTTAGAGATAGAAATGTACGGAGGAACTGGAACCCTCATAAGTCTTGATACGAAATTAGCTGCAGAGTCTCAAGTTTAGAGCGAAGGTCAGGGTTAGAGAAGAAGTGATTTTCCGATCGACGAAGTAACGCAACAGCTCGCCGTCTATTCATTACATGAACGAGGAGATCCGCACGGGAAAAATTCGACGAGCGAGCACACCACATCACGCGGGGCTTGAAAGGTTGTGCGAGAGACGATTTACAGAGCGTGATGTGGCCCGGCAGAAAACGCAGGGAGATGCACCAGGAGCTGACATTCACCGGATGCAAAGATGATACTGTTTTGGAATAGAATTTCTCTGTTTCCAGTGTTGGTGAAGGAGCTGCTGCTAGTGAGTGCCGGGCACCGTTGCCATCATACCTTTTCGGAATTCGTCGACAGCAATGAAGTGAGGACATTCGCCGAGAGAGACGAAATCAAGTGTTAATCGAGTATATACTTTACAGCAAAAGGTCTGACAAAGGGTCAGTTTTGTACGAGCAGGCGACTGCCCCGAGGTGTGAAGTAGCCAGTCCCAGTCAGAGAGAGCTTATTGATATTAATGCAATTGATGCAACGATGACGGTGGAACAGACCACAGAGCCCGAGATGATGCAATCACGTGGACCCAAGAAGATACCGTGGGACAAGGAAGCAGGACGGCCAGAACGAGGAGATCTCGAGACCTGCTTTCTCAAAATTTTGCACCGATACAGTTAACCAGATACTGACTGACCCAGAGACGAAGAAGAGGAGGAGGAGGAGGATTATTTTCACGCCAGAAAGCTTGACTCACCCGCGATGGAAGACCGAAGAGGACCAAATTGCGATACAGTAGGCCATCCGGGAAACGTCGACGAAAGCGCACTGAATGATGGAACATTTTGAAGGCGGGCACCTCTGCGGAGAAACGAATGGATCTGGGTTCATCGAAGCCGAGATTAGGAGGCTGGAGGGAGTGAGCTGAATTGTGCGTGAAGAGCAGAAAGGCGTCAACAAAGGCGGCAAGCGACAGGGAAAGACAAAGGCATGGCATGGCATGGACCACGTGCGGAGATGTAGGAAGCCCTGAGAGTTAGAACACTGAGCTTTTGCACAATCAAAGCAGATGTAGCCTAGAGACGAATGAGAATTTCAGTCGAGGAGAGAGTCAACCTATTTTGTTCGGGAGCTTTAGCTCATACATGGAAATCACGTGTGGGAAATATTAGGCCAACAGCCCATGCTGCAGCAGTTATTACGCGTCCCTCTCATCGGCATGGGATTAAAAGCAGTCTGTATGACATCATGACAAACTTTCCAAATACATTCCGTTTCTATCCACTCGAGTGAAGGAATCTCTCAGAGACAGAAAGTCGTCACGTTCGTCAACAGCACTGCCATCGAGGGAAAAGCGCCTCATGACGTCGACCTTGCAATCTCTGACGAGTCAGCAAGTCCTTGTCTGGCTGGACCCACGCCCCCCAGTGCATCGTGTCATTTTCCCTGCTATATTCCTTCGAAGTGTATGGGCCAAAAATGAAAGCAAACTCACTAACCCCATCACCGACGGTCCACAATCGCACGCATGGAATTTGGGGGCCTGCGCTTGGCGGTAGCGTGGTCTGATCTTCAGACCCAGCTTGCGAAAAGCAAAGGTTCGACTGTGTGTATGGCTCACAAACAACACGGTGTCACCATGTTCGATTATGTGATGAAGCTTTAAGGTCAGAAGGAGTTTGGAGAGGGGAAAAATTCTAAGTATTTATTGGAGCAGTATCACCATCATGATAAGGTTACTTTGAAATTTAGTGTTCGTAGAGTAACCCGAGTTTGTCAAAAGTGCAATGGATGCGGTGCACGTGCTTAAACAAGCAATTTAGCGACAAATTTTTGGACTGTGTGTATGGTTCACAAAACAACAGGGTGTCACCATGTACGATTATGTGATGAAGTTTTAAGCTCAGAAGGAGCTTCGAGAGGGAAAAAAAGACTAAGCAGATATTGCATCTGTATCATCAGGACGAAAAGGTTACTGTGAGATTTAGTGTTCGTAGAGTAACCCGAGTTTGTCAGAAGTGCAATGGATGCGGTGCACATGCTTAAACAAGCAATTTAGCAACAATTCTTTGGACTGTGTGTATGGTTCACAAACAAACAGGGTGGCACCGTGTACGATTATGTGATGATGTTTTAAGGTCAGAAGGAGTTTCGAGAGGAAAAACAGACTAATCAGATATTGGATCAGTATCATCAGGACGAAAAGGTTAGTGTGAGATTTAGTGTTCGTAGAGTAACCCGAGTTTGTCAGAAGTGCAATGGATGCGGTGCACATGCTTAAACAAGCAATTTAGCAACAAATCTTTGGACTGTGTGTATGGTTCACAAGCAAACAGGGTGGCACCGTGTACGATTATGTGATGATGTTTTAGGGTCAAAAGGAGTCTCGAGAGCCTATAAAATACTCAACTAAAAAGTATTTAGTGCAGTAGTATCATCAGGACGAAAAGGTTAGTGTGAGATTTAGTGTTCGTAGACTAACCTGAGTTTGTCAGAAATGCAATCGATGCGGTGCACGTGCTTAAACAACCAATTTAGCAACAAATTTGTGGAAGACGGGAGGTGCTGCTGACCCACTCCGCCCTCGTGACTAAGAGCAGTAGGTGCATAGTTTCACAGCGTTGACGAACACAATCGTATCGTTGTACCGTGTAACTTGGGACATTAGGATAGACACTCTTTCGCTTCGAAAAACAAAAAGATGTTGGAGTATGGAGGTGTATTTCTCAGTTTTCTAGTTGTGTTTGAAGACTTTTCAAATTGCAAAAGGATGTTGGAGTATGGAGGTGTATTTCTCAATTTTCTAGTTGTGTTTGAAGACTTTTGAAATTGTAAAATCTATGGATAAACAAAAGTAAGTGGGCGTATGGAGGTGTATTTTTCAATTTTCTAGTTGTGTTTGAAGACTTTTCAAATTGCAAAATCTATGGGAAGACCGAATCAAGTCTTACGCCTATGAAACCAAAGGTTAGTATGGTGCTAGTCCCAATAGAGTCACTAAGAGAATCATATATTGTTTTAAGTCTAGTGTATCTAAACCATGTATCCTTGGAGACATTATTTACTATTGATCCTCCCGAAGAACAAACGGTGACCTACTATTACCAAACCATATGTATATGTTCGCCATTATACTCTTATGTAATGGCGAACACAACAGCTCTTGTTCATATGTAATTGCCATTTGAACTTGAATGGGCAGAAAGTCATTTGGAACAACACATTGATCCCAACATTGCAACAGGTTCACTAATACACATGTGGATGGATAGACCACAACCAAGGTGGACTCTCGTCTATGAATAATAAACACACAAAGAAGGAGTGGATTGTAATTTCAATTTTTTCATCAAGTTAGACCTTTAGTTCACTAAGTGCACACGAACATAGATTAAGTGTTTTAGGGCGGTGAGTTTCGTCTCGACGGCTTAAGTAGACAATATTATATACAATTGTCTTATACTATTGGTCCCCAACAATTTTCCATTGTAACCTAACCTAACAACAGGTTACAAGTATCCTTGACAAGGGTTAACCCTAACAATAATAACTCAATGTTTCATTTGATATTTAATAACTAAATAAAATATGAAACTTCAACAATTGGACTCAGATAATTAGGTTATGTAATTAAAAACAAAAAAAAGCTCATCTGAAAGATGTGATAAATTTTTTTTTGAAGGAATATGAATATTCTCATGCAACATAAACTATGTTGCATGACAAAGAGTATAAAATGTCAAAGTATAAAATCTTTCAAAACGCTATTAAAAATTCAAATTTGAAGTTTTTTAGAATAAGTGTTGCAATTTTGTAACCTTTCAATCTTTATTTTCTTCAAATTAAAATATTGCAAATACTTAAATTCATATGAATAAAACTTTAAAATAACATATATTACATAAAGATTAAATAAGATTACGTTTTTCGATTTTGTAAATCAATTAAAATAAAATTTTAATTTTAATATATTGAAATTAAAATTTTTTCAATCTCTTGAATTTAATTAAGTATACCACTGCAATTTATTTATATTTTAATTTTAAACTAATGTGAATAAAAATAATGCTAACATATAAATTTGTGGAATAAAATGAAATATTTAAAAACATTCATTCAAAAAATTTTAAATAAATTTTTGTGCAAAATTCACTTTTGAAGAAACTAAATTACGCCTAGCTTTAGGTTGATGAAATTTTTTTTCTTTTCATTTGATAATTTCATGGTGAAAAATTTGAAATAAAGAAAGAGTGAAAATCATTCCTAACAAACAGTATTCTTAATTTTAAGATATTAAAAATAAGTCTCTTTTTTGCAAAGATGGAAAATCGGGAAAACTGTAATGTGTATATAATGAAAATCAATCGCATCTTTGCGAGACTAAATTTAAACAAACATAAGTAACTATGATGTTACATTGTACGACTAATCAACACAACGATAAAAATTGCGAATATTTACTCTAATGGCTTCTTAAATCACTTAAGTGTATTTAGAAGAAAAATATTTAGAACATTGTCTTTAATCATTTCATTTGCTTGCTTCAATCTATAAAAAATGAAGCTAAAAAAAATCTTGTCTCATCATTGATTGCACAATGTAATCTATGGAGAAAATATATAAATTCAAATCTAGTGAAAAGTCTGTAAATTATCACTTGATTGATATGCTAACTATAATTATAAATGTATTATACTTGCGTTGAAATCTCAACGCTTACAGCAAGAGTTGAAATATATTACGTGACTTTCAACACAAGAAATGCTTATATCATCCAATTTTGTGTATTTGCTTTGGGAGTTATTCAAGCCTAATTTTTGACTCTATTCCATGTGATATTAAAGTTTTTAAAATTTTATGCTTAAATAGGTTTCTTTGCGTTTTAAATTGAAATAGTCATATTTCAGACAGGACATATCAGACATTAAACTAAGCGTTTACATGAGAGGAATTGAAGTGGAGGCTGGCATAAAAATAACAATAAGGATAAGGTTGAATCATGTATCTACTCTCACTTTCAAAACTTTTACTTTTAAGGATCCCACTTCGTTAAAAGATTTCTTGATTATCAAAATCTAAATTTTCAGAGACATTATCACATTTGAGTGCCATTGCAATCTCCATATATTTTACAACAGTTTTCTATACCATCAAAAAATATGGATGTTAAGACAAAAACATCCCACCACAAACAAATCTATCAACACCCTAAGAATGACACCATGCAATTCTGACTGCGGTTCAATCTGAATACAAAGGAAACGTAAATTGAAATACAAAATCTTGCATCACTTTTCAAATGTCCGTCGATTTTCCATGTTCACAACCCTTCATCACTTAAGGATTAAAATGTAACGTGACGAGCTACCAGATGAGGCTAAGATTTGGATGGTACTATAAGGCATATACTAAAGCAAGAACCGAAGGGTTGCTCGCATCTCGGATGCCCTTTAGTAGTGATTAAGAATCTTCATGGACTGGTCGTTTGGATCTACAAGAGCTGGAGAATTTCCTCTTTGGGTTGGACCAATGAATGTTCCAATAATATCGTGCCTAAATTTCCATGCAGTCGCTTAATCGTAGCCGATGCAATCGCAGGCCTCCTTTGGACAGTGTGGAAGGGTGTCCTACCCGAATGAAAATCTGGAAGTCCTTGAGAAGTAGTTTAGCTAAACGATTTGTAAGCATGCAACGATCGATGATGGCGGTGGCGAATTGTTGTTCACAGGATTCAAGAGTCAAGAGTCAAGAAGTCGGGAACACTCACTCTCCATATCTGAGCTGTAACACGAATAGAAGAATCTGCTGGCGCCGGAACTATGGCGACATTTTCGATCTGAATGTGAGAGCAAAAGAGTTTCAACCCATCGCATCATCGAGGAGAAAGTTGACTGGGCACGTAATCAAGGTCAGTGTAGATATGGAGATCAAAAACGGTGTGAGCTGCACGTTTGACCGGGACCGAGGTAAACTGATAAAAGAAAGGAGGAAGGAACTCATACTCGAGCACATTGTTAGCAGCTGTGCGCTCCTCATTATCACCTATTCACACGTTCACAATACTAGCACATGTGCATATATATCTGCTCGCCGAGTCATCTTGTTCATTGGCAGAGCTTGATAATTATTGGACTGGATTCGTGCGTGCATCTGAACATACGTAAAATATCGTCTGCCATCCGATGGATTAAGAGGTGAATGTGAGACTGAGTCAGTAGAAGATGATAACAAAATTAGTCAGTCTCATGATGATGATGAATGATGAATGATGAATGATAATGGCGATGGAAGGGAAGTTGATGAATCAAAATCGGAGCGAAGGAAGCTTAAGCTTTCAACGCCGCAGTTTTTTGCTTCTGACATTCTTCGTCGAACCATCTCAAGAACACGGGTCGTTCGACGTGGAGACAATCACGAAATAGGTAGTCTCGGTATTTCGAGTTTACAGGTCTCCAAAACTTGGCCAATTCCGGAATATGGTCTTTACTCTGAACCATTTTACGATTTTTCTCCACGAACGAGTAAATGGGTTCGATACTCTCGACCCACTTCTTGATGAACGGATACAGAGCACCGAGCAGAAATCTGTCCTCTGTCATCGTGACTTCCCACTTGGGTGGATAAATTGCCTGGTATGGATGGTTCAAACTCATTTTCTCGACCGAGTCATCGACGAAAAGTATGTCCCTCTCGCTCCCGGGCCATATATCTCTCAGCTCCTTCACCGGCTTCGTCCACAGCACTCCTCCATCACCAGTTCCCACCTCGATGGGAACGCAGTTCTCTTGCGTTAGCCTGAATGGGTTTCTGGAAAACGCTTGCATCTCTTTCAAGTTCCTTTCACCCTGCGGAACGGATCGAGACTAGCATCAATTTCTCAATAATCCAAAATTTAAGAAGCCCAAACACATATCCATCGAGCAGCACGGATCGAGACTAGCATCAATTTCTCAATTCTCCAAAATTTAAGAAGCCCAGACACATATCCATCGAGCAGCACGTCACGATTCCCACAATTTTGGTCAGTGCCCACTTAGCGGCTTCTTATCGATCCTAATCTGATTGCATGGTTATCTAGCAAGAGGACATGGAGTGACAACTCCTCGATAAGACAAGGGAAATTTCACAGACGGATGTCGGTGTGTGGCTGTTGTGATGGCATTTTGACCACTCTAATACTGGAAGTGGAATGGCTTTGGTAGCATTCGACATTGGATGACAACTCGAGAAACTAGGATTACCTCAAATGCCCATCTGTCGGGGACACATTTGAGATCCCTCAGAGCTGTCCACAACTGGTCGAAGTTGTATAACTTCCTACTCGTCCAGATGCCAATGTCACAGGTATCGAGCATGAGCGAGAGGAACTGGTACAAGTCCGGTCGCACTTTGAGCGCCAGAGTCTGATTTTTCCAGTCCTCTTTCACGTTAACCTTATCAAAATCTGTCTGTCTGTTCTTGACGCCAGAAATTCGACACAGAATGCCGTTCAGATCGAGCACGACGAGCTTCCTTCGAACGACGTTCCAATCAGCTGGATGAGCTTTCGGGGCCGTATAGGTCATGTACTTGTCCAGATCTTTGAGCGACAATTCCTTGTGGATGCAATAGTTGGACGAGTATTCGGTGGCATACTCATTCACACGGTACTTATCTTTCGACGATCCAGCCACTCCAGCCATTTCGACTGTCCAATGTCGATCCAATATGCGACGAACAGACGACAGTCAAAACAATATATTCTTCGCAGCAGCAGCCGTAGCCATGCTTCCCATGGTCGACTGACCACGGCGAAGGTCCACCGAAGCGCTCAAACGTCAACCACACTGTGTGCGCTTCGGAGATGTGTGAAGCGTCGTGACGCTTGATGGCCGCATGCACTGCTGGGCTGGCCACATGTGAATAGCAGCTTACGAAGATGATGTTTCTACGCATGTTGGTTCGTTAGTGTGCACTTGGATCTTCAATGCAGAAGACGATTGGAGTGTTTGGAATCAAGCTATGGAAGTACGAAGCTTTCTCTTCCACCTTTCACAGACCTGAACACTGTTCAGAATAAACGGCACTTCCTCGAGTCTTCATGTTTTTATTGCAGCATTTTGAATACGAAGGCAACTTGAGTGAGTGATGCCATTCGATTTCCTTTCTGGTTGAGTGCGCGTCAGATATTCTAAAATGGATTTGCTTACTATTGCTTTTGGTCAGAGAAAGAGATCAAGTGGATAGCAAAAGAGAAATATTCGAAAGCGAAAGAATCAATAAAGCCCTCCAGGGACTTTGTAAGAATGATCCAGTCAATCACTCGTGGATATATGGTGGATCTATGTCGTCTCACACTACAGATCAACCAAAAGTACGAGCTGCAACAGATCACTCGGAATTTATCATCCTTTACTTCGGAGCTGTGAAGATGTGAAGTGACTGCTCAATCAATAATTGCCAAAAGTAATGTATTTTATTCTATATTCTTCATTCACGCGAACGACGTCGGTGAATTACAAGTTTAAGTAAACAGTTATTATCGCAACAACAGAAGTGTAGAATTTTCATACCTTCTCTACAAGTTCAGTTGCAATCAAAATTGAAATGACTATTACATATTTCTCTCACTTAGTTCATAATACCACGTTCCAATATTAATCGAAATACACTTTTGATAGTATAATGCTTGTACAACTAAAAAATGACATCATTCATACATTCAAAAACATGTCTCGGCTCCTGACGAATTTACCATTATGAATCCAATGGAATTATGGATGTCGTTTTTCTCTTCATCAGATGATTATGAATGAAAGATATGTAATCGAATTAAATCACGGATTTTAAGCTTTTCTCAGCCGTAAGTATCAGCACTTCGAATATTACCCACCTTAATGGTTGCCATCACGAACTCGAACAGAAATGGGATCCTGGACGGTTTTAACGCACGATCCCTTCCCAGAGGATCGCTCAGTCGTGCCTCATCGGATTGCAGAGTTCCCCTTTCTGGTCAGAAGTCCAAGTCGTAAGTGGAGTCGAAAGTTGAAAGTCCACCATTTCGCCCTGAGCAGGCATAGTTCACATCTTTCGGGTCCCAACAGTCATGCTCGAACCTTTCGCGGAAGCTCATGGTCTGTCGATGTTTAGGCCAACGCCGTGAACCGATGCGACTGCAGTGATGGACACATTGGCAGCAATGTGATCACGAGTGCTCGATTAGAAAATATGATAATATCATGTTGCCAAATTGCTGCGCTGTGTCGGCTTCCAAGTTGCACGAGGAACTCTTTCCAGAAGTGTCCACCTCTCAGTATATGTATATCTTATAGTGAATATGCAGATTCGAAAGATGCACAAAACACGATCCTCCTTGATCTTCGATGCCGACATCTGCTGGTCGCTCTTAAGTGTATGCGTGAATATGTAAGTTTTGGAAGTCTTAATAACAAAATTCATGAGAGAGTATATTTGAGGTTAATCGATCACTTAAAAGTTCATGAATATGTTCTAGTGTTTATTCTTGGAAAACTCGAAGATCGTGCTTGTCAACTTTTCTTCAATTATCAACCTCCCTTGTTCAATAGGCTATAATCTCCAGTAGTTTTGGGAGAAAATGTGTGTTATTTATGATATATAATTTTTCTCAATTCATAACAAATTTTAGAATGTATTGGATTTATTTGGATTTAACGGAATTTAAATAAAAATCAATTCCGTCAAAATATTTTTTTAATTATCCATTCCATGAAATTCAATGAGATTTGTATAATTTCTATCTATATTCTGTTTGAAATCATCAACAATAAACATCATCGATTCAAGAAATTGAAGTCATTGTTAATTACTTTTTGGTTAAGCATCAATATGTTACAGATGTTATCAGGCCATTTTGTTATATATAAAAAAATTATATTAAAAAATCTTAAAATTTATAAATCATGCATTCAAATTAAATATAACTTCTTATATATATATATAAAATTTTAATTAATTTTTAAAAAATACTTTATGAATATAAAATTGTAGCCATTAATTATATTTGGAGAACTGCTGATCAGTATATAAAAAAAATTTCTGCCTGATCCTCACGGCACACCAATCTCGCTCGGATTTTCTTCGGGATTGTACAAAGGGAAGCTTCAAAGGTATATTCCACTCTCAGAGGATCGCTCAGTAATGCAACATAAGTGTCCCATGTTATCACAAAATCTGTCTGAAGAGTAAGTGCGGTCGAAAGTTCGATTTGTCGTCGATAGTCCGAGATGACATGTATGAGCATCTACTGCATAAGGATTTCGATTCATCCAATAATGAGTTCGCAACCTCAGTAGTAGCGGAAAATCGTGCGATACCAAAGCCAAGACCTCAGCACGTGAAACCATGCATGTGAAGGTTCATGGTAAGGATGACAATCGTCTGAATTGGAGGATGCAGCAGATTGTAAGATGCGGAAGAGCAGCTTCCTACCCGCGCTTAGACTGAAACAACGCTTTCCGAGATTATATATGAAGCTGAAGAACAGCAAGATTCTTTCAAATTTGCGCTCCTTCCGAGCTTACACCTGAAAATCTACGAAATCTGCCATTGCAGTCGGAGCCATCTGAACCCATTGCGAGCGGGAGAACTTATTCAAATAATAAATAGGATATTATGATGCCAAACTGCCAAACTCTTTAGGCTTGAGTTTTACCAAGAACTTTCTCCGATTTGGACAACCTTCAGATTTATCCAGATCCAATCATGAACTTCAGATTCCAGAGATGCACAGAACACACAATGATCACGATTTTCATTTGATGTCTAAGTGTATAAGTGCAAACTAAGGCGTAAGAGAGTCATAACACCATGAAGTTGTATCGACCATTTGAATTTTCATCGACAGGAATCATCCGTCATGATTGCAGGACTTGGAGATCGTTATGATGACATAAATCTGTTTGTGAGTCTACTCTCGGTTACTCTGAATATCTTCTGATATCAGATATTTCACCTCCTAGCCTGTTTTAGTGAAATGCCAATTATTTCCCAAGAAGAGATATGAAAATGATTAATCACCAAAGGAGTTCCTTGTATTCAAATGCTCCAGCATTTGAATACAACTACAAAGATAGTTGGAAAGCATTTTCAGATAGAATTTTTTAGTCAGTTCGAAGACAGCGTTATAAAACCTCTCACTCGATTACACAACTACCTGAAAGTAGGCTCTTCAACGGCCGAAGACGATAAAAATACGAAATTGCAGGTTTGAATTCAGTTCAAAACCTCCTCTGGACCACTGTACACGTTGCTGACTGCTGATAATTTTCACTGTCCATGTTCAGCCCAAATCTTGTCCAGATGTTCATTACAGGTCTTCCTATTCAAGAACTTGAGAGTTATGTTTGCTGTTCATGCAAGCCTCAGATAGACCTGCTGACAAATGATTTTTTTTGCATCATTCCCAATCACAGGATACAAACTAGCAATCCTACGTCCAATTCAACTACAGATCTACATCTTCAGTTCATTCGATCAGCTCATTTGAGCAATTGTGATACCACAAACAATTCTTATATTTTTACTCTACAAAATCATGATCAGGGAACGAATGGTTATTGGATTTATAACACGGGGAAGAGTAGTTACAAGCTTGGCCTGGGATCATTCAAAGAATGAGATTCATATAATTCAATTGTATCTACACCCACCACTAGTGCTATGTTATCCTATAGTTGCAAATGTGACATAGGACATAAGCCAAGGTGCGCCATAGATTCCCACTTTTTTGACTAATCTACTTGAATCTACAACTCTCACTGTCCTGAAAGACACAAGCATCTTATTGAAGGCTGCCGGGAGTGAGATCCGATAGACTTAATTACTTACAAACAATGGAAAATTCAAAACAATGCATCACTCGTCTAATATTTGGGTTCAACAAATGCGCAGTGTCTTCTCCAGCCATATGGCTCGATCGCAGGAATGGCGCCCATTTTGATCATGGCCCATCCGAACTCGTTCAGGAAGGCCATGGGATCTTGCACTGCTCTGATGGCGTATTCCACGCCCAGAGGGTCGCTCAAGAGCGCCACGTCCGACTCCAGCAGGCCCTTGTTCGTCAGCAGGTCCAAGTAGTACGCGGAGTCGAAGGTGCCATTGGTGGCGTCCAAAGCCATGAATCCGAAGGGCTGGGTCTGAGGGCACTGGACCTTGAGCATTGCAGCGAAGTCAGGGTCCATGGACGGATCGGTGATGTTCAGTCCTTGGAAGTTGTAGAGACGCTCGAAAAATGCGCCGCAGTGAACTTGTCCAATAGAATGTCCGCCTGCAGTAAGTCAATGAAAGGAATGTGAAGAATAAATGTTTGTGTTGCAACCTATTTACAACTTGTGCAATGATGTCCATATCTGAGAAAATTCCTGCCTCCCAAAGAGAATCGCGTTTAAATTCCAAATCGGACACCATACGAATTCTCCTCTCTTGGACATCGAGTGTATGCGGTGCAGGGCTTCAGATATTTCATTAGATCGAAAATCCAGTAATTTTACAGCCGAAGCGTCATAAGAGAAAGTAGTGTCCACACGTCAAGTTACCTGATAGGATAATCATGTCTCTGGTATCGAGTCCAACTCTGGCGAATCTGGCGACGAGTTGCGTGAAGTTGTCTGTACGTTCGGGTAAACTACTGTTGACCTCATCGGCGAATGAAGCTCCTCCATCTATACGGCCCAAAAACACGGGCCAGCTAGTGCCACCAACCTGCAGAGGGTTCCACATTCTTCATGCATATGTGCCAGTACAAGCTTGTGCGGTTATGGGACAAG